AGATTGCCCGGTTGGTAAAGTTCCAGACCCTGAAGGTTGGTTACTGCTAGTCATGCTTGGGCCGGATGTTGGTCCACTTGGCACAGTAATGTTCGACATTGTGAATGGAGGTGTTTCCGAAGCACCGTCGCTGCCCGTTCCAGACATTGGAGAAGTCGCTGAAGCTCCACTAGGCCCAGATGTCAGATTTGGAAATGTGACGGTGAACGAACCAGCCGTGTTAGTGACGGAAATCGTGCTCGATTCACTATTGCCTACAGAAGTGCTGTTGGGGAGTATCGAAATAGTTCCATTGAAAGACGACGAGGTAAAAGAACTAGTTGAAGTTAAACTACCCGAGGCAGGGAGGCTGGTGTCCGTAATATTTGGAATTCCGGATTCAGTCGAAGACATAGGACTACTCGGTAGGTGAGAGGTAATAGTACCGCTTGCACTTACACCTGAAGGACCAGGTTGGGATCCAGTTGGCCCCCTGGGCATTGTTGTATTAGAGACTGGGAAAGGCGGTACACCTGATGAAGTTGGTGGGGGGGTGGCATTTGCAGAAGCACTTGCTTTGTTTGTAACTGATCCAGATGATACGCCACTGATAGTAGGATTTCCTGTGCTCAAGGGCGTAGAGGTAATGCTTTGGCCACCAGGAGTTCCCGTCGGCCCCGAAGCGGATGTAGTGTTTCCCGAGTATGGTGCGCTAGTAGAGCTGCGTCCAGTCTCGGTAGGGTTGGTCGTACTGTTTCCTCCTGAAGTAGAAATCGCACTTTCAGTGGGTGAAGTCATTGCAGAAGATTCCGTGATGGTAGGATTTCCTATGCTTGTAGGAGCAGAGGTAATGCTTTGGCCGCCTAGACTTCCCGTTGACCTCGCTATGGACGTGGTGTTTCCCAATGAGAACGGAGCACTGGTAGAGATGCGACCAGTCTCAGTAGGGCCCATCGTGCTGTTTATCCTCGAAGAAGCTGTTGTAGTTAACTCTGTTCCCGAAGTAGGAATAGAGCTTCCCGCGGATGTAATAGTTCCAGAAGTCTCACCCGTGACGGTAGAGCTTTCTGTATTCCCGGAAGAAGGAGTGATGCTTTGACCACCTGGGCCACCTGTTGGTCCTGAATGAGATGTGGCATTTCCTGAGGGGAGCGAAGTACTGGTAGAGCTGCTTTCCGCTCCAGTAGGATTCGTCGTACTATCCCCTACCGAAGATGTTGCGATTGACGCAGTCCTAGAATTAGGGGTGGCACTCTCGGAGAGACTTTGTGACTGTGAGCCTGTCGGACCTACCGGGAACGAGCTGTTGGATAGTGAGAACGGCGCCGACGGAGACAATGTAGATGAGCTGGGGAATATTGTAATTTCTGACTGGCTTCCAATTGACCCGGTGTTTGTGGTGGTGATTGTGTTCGTTGTTAACTGGGATACAGTTACAGATCCTGTCGAAGGCAAAGTGCTGCCTTGCGATGTGGTGGCGTCAGTTGGTCCAGCCAGCGTAGTTGAATTGCTTGTAGGGAACGGGGCCGATGTCTCAGTCCCCCGCGTCGACTCCTTCGTCGTATACCCACTTGAAGATGAACTTGAAGTGCTCTCTGTGCCCGAGTAAGCCGTGAAAGAGACCGATATGGTTGCACTACCGGTACTGGTTGCGCTCATGACAGACGGTGCACTGATAGACCCCGATAGTGTGGAATTAGGGAACGCTGACGATGACTCAGTGCCGCTAACCGGGACAGTGCTGCTTTGCGGCCCTATGGTTCCAGTGACTGGGCCTGTGCGAGAAGTCGCGATCGTGGTGCCGTCAGTGGTGATCATGCTTCCAGTAACAGCATCAGTGCGAGAAGTCGCAGCCGTAGTGCCGTTGGTGGTGATTGTGGCCGTAATTGATATTCCGGAAGAGACGGTGACTAACGTGGTAGTCTGTAGTTCCGTGTTTGATCCACTCGCGGTAGGCGAAGTACCTGTCGGTGAAGTGCCAGTAGAAGTAGATACAGGGGGGACGCTCTGTCCGCCAGGACCGCCCTCTCCAGTAGAAGTGGCGGATGCCGAAATGATCGAAGAGCCGTTGAGTGAGGCAGAGACTCTCGATGATATTCCACTGGTTGACTAGGCTGGAATCAGAGATACTTATCTAACGGATATAGAACTTTGCTCAAACTGAGAGGTAGACTGGGAAGCCCATAAGGCATGAATGGCTAAAAAGCCATAAACAGACTCACCAACGAAGATTCGGACGGGAAGCTTGAACCGCTAGCACTCGGTCCACTGCCAGAGACGGTGATTGACTCTGTACCGGTGTTCAGTGCACTTGAACTCGTCGAGGAACCATATCCAGTCGTCTGAAAGCTTGTGGTACCAGAACGTCCCGCAGCCTCAGTTGAAGAAGTGCCATTTGATGGGACTGAATTAGTGGTTGGAAGCGAACTGGTAAGCGAAAGAGACGAAGTCGAAGATGCTATTTGCGTAGCACTCTGTCCTTCGGCGCCTGATCCAGACCCAGAAGACCCTGAATCCGAATTAGAGATTGTATGAGATTGCAATTTTTTAATGACATACCTGTCGACGTGATGGATTTACTGCCAGAACCTGAAGAAATACTGATGCTAGATGAAACAGACGGAGTGGCCGATGAGGTCGAAGATTGGCCCTCAACCGAACTAGATGAAGATGAAGTGCTGGTCAAATGCGGTCCATATGGACCATAGGACTGGTATTCATATCCTATATCATCGGGTGGGGGTCCACCATATGCGTCATACTCAGGAACATCGACGTTGCGAGGTTGGCCACCAAGGTCGCCATCACTGCCCGTTCGCTTACGAAAACCAGGCATTGCAATGATGCTCGGAAGACATCCCAGCAGCAATAATGCCGACACGAGGTCGACAGCGAGAGTAGAGGCTCTCATGCTGGGCGTACAGGTGACGACCTGCTGCTATGGTGTGTGGGCTGCGTCAAAATGGATGCTGACAACACGCGCTGGTACTAGATTCGACACGGCGTAGTTGGAGTTAATAAGAGGAAATAATGAACGAAGAGATGCCTTGCTTGAGGCAGGATGTAAGAACGAATAGAATGGGATAAGATGGATGGAGGATGGAGGATTGTTAGAGAGATGAGCGGATGAAATGGAAATCTCACATGCGAACTCGATACCGGGCAAGAGGTCACGAATATTTTAGTGCACCCAATCTTCTCAGAGGGATCACAAGAATTAATCAGGAAGGCGCTTCCATGAGCGTGGGGTCAACTTCCAACGACTCACCGGTGCCTGGGCGTGTGTAAATCGACAAGATGGGAAGGCACGCCTTAGTAACCTCACTTTGCACCCACCTCGGAGGCAAATTAGATGTTCGAACCACTGCGGAAGGTGACTAACCCCGCTTTTTCTTGACATTGAGGTTGCTCAAGATGCTGCTTCTTTCCTTGCTTGTTCTGCATTATTGTGTAGCCCTGGAAGCAACCTCCAGTTTATTGTTGGCACTTATTCTGGGCGTCAGGGCCTCTTCGTCTGCTATATGTAACAGCGTTTAGTATTAATATCGGAGAGAAAATCTTTCGCATGTAGCTCCTCTAGGAAATTTCATCTGCCGAGTGCCGTATGTGTCCTATGACAATAGGAAACTGGGTGAGACTTTCTACGAATCGAGGCATCTTCGTGTTCGGGAAAGAAATCACATCTAGAAACTTTTTCGATGGAAGCTATTTAGCTAGAGTATTTCCTGCCCTAGTGTCTTCAGAATATTTGATCCATATTTAACATAAATCAACATGATTTATTTACCCGAGAAATTTCTTCTAGTATTCAATAAATGGGTTAAAGAAACGACTTCTTTAACATAGCACGAAGTGGTTGAGGCTTACAACAAAACCAGATCCATGACTGCTCCCCAGTATTACGGGTATTATCTGCAACTCAGTACGATCTGAAGGGAAGCTCATAGTTCTCATCAAAATATGAATAATCTTGAAATGCGCGATATACCCAAGGCATCAAGACGCTGTCAATTCTCGGTTCCCATTGTGCCAAACCCAGTGGTTCTAGATTCTGCAGAGTGTTTTGATTCTGGTTCAATTGAGTTACTATTCTCAATCATTTCGATAAAAACCTTCCCAATGAGAGGATGCCCATATCTATCGTCATTGGTATGTTGCAGGCTAGAAAGTCATCATGAACGTCTTAGTGGGAGTGCAGATCATTTGCCTCGAGTGATACGACATCAGGGGCAGTAGACGTTGAGGCTGTATGCATCGACCTGCAAGCAGCCTACCAAAGTGAAAGATGTTACCTGCAGTCACCCGTTTATATTGCTAGGTTTCCCCGAGTTCTTGCCACACCACCCGTGCGATGACATTAGCCGTACTACATAAATGACAACGTCCAACATGAAGCCTGCTAGCACTCTCTCTGCCGATGTTCAGCAATGATTCTGCCCTGTAACGAGTCTGAATCGAGGTCTTTAGCATGTATCATAGCAGAAAGCAGGCTTGATCGTCGGCAGCAGATGAATGCAGTGTATGTTTGAGACCTGAATCGTCTGGTATTGTCCAACGCTTGACCCGACAAGTCGTACCTGAGAAACGGCATCTCGCGGACTAGAATAGATACGACCATGCCGTTGCGTCTGACAAAACGGTCCGTTTGTAGAAACACCCTCGCGTGCCGCCGGATTTCTGGTAAAGGAGCAATTCCACCGACATAAGCTTGGAAATAAAACCTCAATGCTTTCCACGCCGATTCGTATGAGACATGAGCTTGAGGTTGGTAAACACGTGCAAGTTCCCTGTGGCAGATTGAGACAGCCATGTTAATTTGAGCATACTTGTAGCTAAGCAAAGTACGCAGATATCTTTCATAAGCCTAGACCTCATTTACAGGATTTGGCGTCCGAGTAACATGATTCCAACCGCATTTCACAAAAGGTTCCAAGCGAATTAGTGTTGGTATGACACAAGGTTTTAGTTGTTACCCATTCGCGGGGCATGTCTTTGCACTGGCGGTCACCCTTGACCAAAACCGGAAGCTGGCGCACATCGTCAATTTGATCTATTTCGTATACCGTTACTATGATGCTGTAAGTAGCATTCCACCTGTGGCGCGTCAGGTTAACGCCACCTCGAAGGGGCCGAAGCCTCATGCAGATGCGGCCCGTTTTCTGCATGACGTGCATGATCTTCGATCATGTAATTTCGGAGATATCGGCTTGATTCGTAGGCTGTGTGCCCTACTCAGCTTTCTTCGCCGCCTCTCGCAGATTTGGTGCGGTGCTCTGCTCCATCTGGGTGTTCTGATCCTCGATATCGGCGGCCCAGAGCGCCGCACCAACTGCAACAACATATGTCAATTTCTGCATTGTTGATCCGAAGGACAGAGGACCCACCCGCATTTGTGAAGGAAAAAAACATAGAAGCAAACGGTATCATTTCGAGAACCGTTGCGATGGTACCGAAGCTGTGACCATATCTCAGCTTATTGCCTATGAGTGTTCTTCAAGGCTTCATAAGGTTTATCCTCCTTAGATAAGGCATCTGCAGCCGAGACAGCGCGGTGTTTCTCCCCAAGGGGAATTCGACGCAGTCGGTTTGACATATTGTCTCGTCGTTGTGGAAGATTTGCAGATGATTGCAGTACTTACGCGGTGTAGGCTCCAGTGTGTTGCTTTAGCCATTCCGATCTCCGAGATGTGGACCATTCTTTCAGCTGGAAGTACTAGATCTACTGTTAGAATCAGAGACACTCTGCGGGGACGTGGAGCACTGACTCGATCGTGGGAAGATTGGCCTCTTGTTCGACCTACGCGTCATGTCAGCAACACATGCAACTGGATCCTGGGTGACTTGTACACACCCTGAATGAAGATGAAGATGATCGTTCCAACAACTGATTCGCAGACTCAGATTAACAAGAATCACCCAAGGTCATGTCGGCTAGTAGCTCACCAGGGATGAAGTTCAGTGGGAGATACATGACGTATCGAATGAGTGCCTTCGGGCTGAACTTCTCGAACGGGCTCTTCAAGATTTTGCCGAGCTTGTCAATCGGGTCGCTGCCAGACTTGACCTGTCTTCCCTCCTTCACAATCTCAGTCTCATTTCGCGTGATCAAGGTGCCGTCGAACGTATCCAATAGAGCCTCCTGGATAAGGAAGTTGCGAGACAAGATCGATATGAGGGTGGAGCTTTCGTTGAGAACCAGCAAAATAGTGGTGAAGGCAGCAAGAGGGCCATTCACGAAGACCAAGATGGCCAGTTGGGGCAGGTACGTGAAGAAGAACATCCCAGCTATGACACCGGCGGACAAACCCAGAGTAGGAAGAACACGTGACGAGAAGGGCTTCCATAACGCGCGATGCGTTAGGAAGTAGACGATGCCCCTAGGATGCGACATCAGCACGTGAACTCACACAGTCGGCAATGCGAAGGGAAAAAAGCATCTTACTTGAATGGGTAGAGATAGGCATGACTCTTGGCCGCATCCTCGAGAAGGATTCGGGCTTTATCGTAGTCTTCCTTCGCGATCTCTCGGGCTCTTGCCTGGATGCTGCTTGCAACTCCGGACGACGACATGATGCTGGCGAGATTGCGCGTTCGTTTCTGTTGCTGTGGCCGATGAAGATAAAGAAGAGAGAGAGCCTAGGGAAGGTAATAGGTTCGTGGAATTATTTTGACGACTGCAATGTCTTTTGTTTGTAGACTGGCTTCGTGCCTTGTTTGTTTGTTTCACGTAAGCAATCTGGTGATGAGGTAGGAGGTTGTTAATCATGTCGTCATGTTGTGGCTTGCTTGCGGCTCACTTTCCCAATCCCGCAGTTTCAGTGGCTTTCTACACAGGTGTGGGGTAGCCCTGACAATTTGACAGGTCAAATCCTTTTGAACTAGTGATTGTCCCGGCCTAATCCCTGCAAATACTCTCTGCCTTATACGAAGTAAGTTGAAGTAAAGTCAAACTACTTTTACACTAACTCGAAAATTCGGGCGACCCTCTATAATCACCACACAGCTTCATTCTTCAACAAACGTATCAATGTAGACGCAAATTAGACCCAATTTGTCGCAGATTTGATAGACTGTCATACAATAACCACTAAGCTTAGCCCTGTTTAACGCGCGGCCCTAATTGCCACTTGGAAGCTACGAAGAAGTTCACGTATCGTCGCGTTGGGTTTTAACGGTTACCGATCTGTTATTGCTATTCCGCAGTAAGCATTTCGTTTTGAGATTAAATAATAAAATAATAATTATGTCTATAATAAGCCAATCAATAGCTTAGGATTAAACATGAGTAAATATACTATTGACACGAACCTGCTAAGCGTCGGCACCGATCCAGTGTCAGGGTACGGCTAGGCCGAAGGCAATAGTACAGAGTGATGGGGAGTAACGGGCGTCCCTCCTACGTAGCACCGGGTGGTCACTGGCGGTCTCAGGTAGGGGTGCCCACGGTGATGCATTGATCTCTGCTCCTTCCCTATCCTACTTCGAGATGGTCCTTATATAGATAGCTAGGCCGCCGCTTGGACCCGGCATAACAGCAGGGTCGGCGATGCCAAGGATCTTGACTCTCGTCATCCCAAAGCTTCACATAGATTGTAATCATGACTCGGGAGTCTTTTGTCCGAAACACCCCTCCGGCGCCCCACCGGTGTCTTGCGTTCAGTGTCCTGACACCCACTGGTGCCTATGGCATTCTGTTCTCTGACATCCAGACACGACCTGCCGCCGGTTGGAGAGCGCATGGGCTACGTGTCAGCGGTGGGCAGTGAGGCACGGGATGGAGTTCGCTCCTGACAAGAGTGAGCTAATGCACTTTACTAGGGCCCGAGAGCCCTTGCCGCAAAGTATTCGCCTTGGGGACGCCACAGTGTCGCCGGTAGTCTCAGCGAGGTTCCTAGGAGTCTGGTTCGACCGCAAACTGACGTAGCACGCCCATGTTGAGCGTGTTAAAACAAAAATGGCAACTCAAAAGCTAGCCCTGACAAAGCTAGTCAATATGTCGTGGGGCTGCGATCTTATACGGGCGAGGCTGTTATATACGGTGGTTATCCGTAGCGCGATCGCCTTCGGGGCGACTGCGTGGCATACTATAAGTGAGGAACCGGCAGGGCCAGCTAAGAGCCTGATGGGGATACAGAACGAGTGCCTCCGGGTAGTCTGTGGCGCCCACAAAGCGACGCCGGTTCGCCACCTGGAAGCAGAAGCAGCAATCCCGCCACTAGACCTCTATCTTAGTGCCCGGGCTGCTAAGTTTGAAGAACGGCTACGGCTTAGCGGGAAGAGAAATCTGCTTCGCAGCGCGAGCGCTAAAGCGTCACATATACTCCGGCAGGATAGACTGGCGAAGAGGAAGCAGGCGTCGCAGCTACTCCGACCGGCAGGGTACACTATGGAGAAGGAGGCCCGGGGCTCCGAGTGGATGAGTGAGGAAAAGGAGGTCCCGGCTGCCCTCCTCGGCCACTGGAGGAAGAGATGGCTCACCGGAGCAGAGTATTACGATCGCCAGCGACGCGCCATCGCTGAGGAACCGGAGGGCCCTTCGATGCAGATACCGAAAGGGGGCAAGTATTTCGGCCTGAACCGACTGGAAGCGTCTACGCTGTGCCAGATCAGGACGGAAAAAATAGGACTAGCAGCCTTCTTATTCAAGACAGGGGCTTTTGGCGTGTACTCGCCGCTATGCCGCTGTGGCGACGCCCCTGAGACGGCAGAGCACGTAATCCTCTTTTGCGGGCTGTTGGAAGGACCGAGGGAACGATCACGGGCCGCTATCGCACCACGGCCACTATACTCTCGCAGAGACCTCGCAACGGCAACAGGAGAACCAGTAGTTAGTGGGACTATTGTAAGGTGGCTGCTAGGGACGGGTCGGACAGCTTCAAGGCCCAGATAGCATCGATCTTCTCAGGGGGACTTTGTTGGTAGGTTGAGAACCAACGTAGTATGGTAGTGAACGCAATGCAGTCGCCAATAGGGCGAACCGACGACGCAGCGTATGTATTTAGTCCAGCCATTAGGGCACGGTTTGACATACGGGAGTACTAGCAGAGGTACCGTATGTCAAACCGTGCCCTAATGGCTGGACTAAATACATACGCTGCGTCGTCGGTTCGCCCTATTGGCGACTGCGTTACGTCCACCACAATACTATGTTAGTTCTCACCCTACTAACAAAGTCCCCCTGAGAAGATCGATATTATCCGGGCCTAAGCGCTATCCGGCCAGTCCTGAGTAGCCACCTTGTGATAGTCCCGCTGACTACTGGTTTCCCCGTCGCCGTTGCCAGGTCTCTACGTGTATGCAGCGGCCATGGACTAAATAATAATAATAAATAGCTAGCTTATAATCTAGATATTAACCCTATTAGTTATATATAGGCCTACCTAAAGAGGTATCGTAGTATATAATGCCCTAAAAATTCAAATTGAAAATAAAATAAGCTCGATGTTGAAGAGTTAAGGCTGCAATATAAAGGGCTTGAGTAGTGGTGCCGGGCGATCTAATTAGACGGCTGACACTAAACTAAAGCGCTAGCTTCGTGCGGTGAAAAGGGCCCGCGGTTAGTATATACAACACCAATCTCTACACACGAAACTTCGTTTTCACTCTATCTTATGTGTATATCGCTTATATTCATGGAGAATTGGCCAAGTGGCAGCTGTAGTGCCCTGTATCAATTTGATGTTCTAGCGGGGCGGTCCTCGGACTTTTGGAACGTGACTGTAATGGCCATTCCACGGCCGATTATATCACGTCCCTTGTCTATTCCAATTATATCATGAATCGTATTTCGACCCTACCACCAAGTTCGGGATCCTGACTATTAACTTGGTTCAGTTCCTTCCATCTTTATGTCGGTAGCCTTTTCACACTACATCATTGGGTCGATCAACTTCAGGATGCATTCGGCCCCGTGTTGTACCGAGCCAGCAATTATTCGACCCTTTGAGTCTTGATGCCTTATATGTGACACAGTTAGCGCTGACTTCGGAGTTTTCAGTGCATATGTGCCCACAAGTTACATATGTACATGTTTTTAAGCTTGAAATACATCATCTCTTGGGTTGCTTAGTTTTTATGAGCATCAGTGGACCAGCTGCAAGTGAAGCGAATAATGTCCGGTGCATTTTCCTGTCAAAACCTGTATTGTCTTTGCTGATTGCTACACCAGAGGCATTATCTCTGATAAATTGGATAAAATCTGAAAACGTCGGCCATGACAATCCCTGAACGAGAGAGAAAGGTTAAGTAGTTGGTCAAAAATTGATTTCCAAATGGAAACTGTGACCTAGTTCCCCATGTTGACACACTGGTGAGCCTCGTCCATAAGATCACGATGGTTACGTTCTGTATTGTACTTTGGCTGGTGACCAGAAGAACGAGTTATCGGATAATGAAAACCCCTAACTCGCACTGTAATAATTCTCATAAATCATATAGGCTCAAAACCTTAGTAGATAGGCCGTTACTGCTAGAAAGTCCTATTGCGATCAAAACGGTCAGTTGTCTAGGCGAGCTAGCGATAGTCACAGGTATTTGATTCTGGTTCTATGGAGGTTCCGGCAAGAAGCACAGCATAGAGTGGGAGAAGTTATATAAAATGCTTAAATACTTTACGTCGAAGTGTCTAACAATAGAGTAAACGAAATTTCCTAGCTGAAGCTTTACGGTTTCGTTTGTTAGGGCAGCTTTCAGACAGTACATAAAGAAGAAAACAGAGAATACTTATTAATTAATTGAGATAGGGTTGCCGTGGAATGATAAACCTACTTGGGTAAGCTCACAGGAAGCATCTTATGTTGGGGTATCTAGATTTGTTGACTTGATAATGGCGGTGGAAACCATAGGTGCGTCTCAACTTAGAGAAATTAACCAGCATAGACTGTCACTTATCACAGACATGAACCTACAATACTTAGTCTTGATCTTATTTTTGAAGTTGGATTTGAGTTGTTAACATTGAAGTAGAGCGTTGCGTGATATAAATCCATACTGAGAAGCATACTGCATATCTACTTGAGTAATCTACTTCGGCCACTACATGTAGATCTCCTAAGTTTATTTAACTGCTGCTTTCCATAAGATCAAGTTAAAACATCCAACACACGCTTCGGGGGTTTAAAATGTTTCGCTTGTTAAAAGCATCATGATGTTTCCATTAGCCGACACCAGAGGCCACCGTCGTCAAGCCGGTTAGGACTAGCCCTGAATCTGACACGAACTGTACAGCTCTCAGCGCTTTCCACACAAGTCCAACTACTTTTAGGAGGTCCTGAATGTTTGCCCCATAGTATGCCACAGCGGCCCATATTATTCGTTAAGATATGTTAGACGTTGTTGCAGTTTACAATAAGTAAAACTACCGGAAACGGAATCCGGTCTAGATACTCTTGCCGATCTTACGTCGACACAGCTGACCAAAATTGACCGCGTTGTCAATGGAGTTGATTCATTAATCAGCACAGCCCATACACCCGGAAGTTACAGTGAAACTATATAGTCTTAATGCTCTCGCGGTGTACCAAATTACATTGTGGCTAAAGACTAATGAGACGGTCTAGCGTCCCTAGTTATATTCTCGGTGACATGCAAATACTGTATGCAGATTCGGTGACAGATTTCAGACATTGTTGACTAGGTCAAAAACTTAATGCCTGTCGCAGCCATGCACGTGCATCACGTCCGCCACTAACTAGTTTCAGGTATTTTTTGCGACCTCTTCTTGTTGACACATCAATCTTGACGAGTCACTCTAAGACCAGGATTATTCTTGAGACAGCAAGAAGATTATATGACAATCAGCCTTGAAACGGTATGTGGTAAATTGACCAAAGTATCATATGATATCATCTGCAACACGTGACATTTCTGGAGCTTAAGAACGCGCACATAGGACGAAAAAGAGCAGCTACAAGGTTAGCAGTGTTGTTGATCACGTAGTAGGCCTGTATATGTAGCTCGGGTCAGACCATGCCAGGCAATACTTCATCTTATCTTTGGCATTTGTTTCACGGAGTTGAAGCTCATGAAGGTCTGCAAACCTTCTTTTCTAGAAAGAAATAGGGCAGGTATGTGAAGGGATCAGATTTGTAAATATGAGCTGCTTACTAGGAAAGCACTTAAAGCACCAAAGCAAGCCCATTTTACGCTCACCTTAACGTCTCTTGCGTATGTATGGAATCGTCATTGATGCAGCCAAGCTCTTGACCTAACATGTTCGCAAGCGCTTCGAGATGCATACCTCTAACCTTTTCGATATTTATTAGCTACTGGATGTGAACTACGGCAGACCTATGGTAGGCCTATACCGCATTCACTTGTTGACCGGGTTAGCCGTTGCAATCTTCAGGGACGTCTGTGGCAGTTAGTCACCCCCCTTGTAGCTCATGAAGAGGCTCCATTTTGTAGTGAGATGGTGGGATAGATCCTTGCGAAAATCAATGACTTGTTGTTGCCCGTGTGCCGCCAAGCCGAATGTCAACCCCGCCAACGGCCGCCTTGCCGCTAAAACATCCAAGCGAACAGGGCGTCGAAACGACTTTCGTGACAAGTCACTGGGGTTTGGATGTAAATCTGGGAGACGAATGATGGCCAAATAGCGTTTGCGACAAGTGGAGATGGGAAAGTGGCATCCCGGGATGATATCATTGTCTACTGTAAGGTGTTGAAGCAACCATACTCGTGGGCAATTCATCAGTGAACAATCAGGCGCCTATGGGAAGATAAACTTTGTGATTCTAAGGCTACCTTGCCCTTGCCTGGGCCTACAGGTATTGCACTAACTAGATATTTCAAGAACTCCCGATCATACGGGTCTGGTGACAAGTTCATCAGGCATTATTCAAATGCGATGGCCTTGATGTGTCTCAGTTTGAGTTCAACAAGTTGCTAAGGAAACAGGGGCATGTGATCAATAGTTGAATGCAAATTGCTTGATGTTAGTAGGTTGGATACAACAACCAAAGAGTTAAAGTTAGTGTGCTCAAAAGAGCAAGATGCTAAACTATTATGTGCAACAAAGAGTTGAAATCAGAGAACCCAGAACCTAGGGGCAATCAAGCTGGAAGTGTTGAGTTACTGTACATATCGTAGCTGTAGAGTTGGTGGCTCCAGTCCGTGACAAAAGTCGCTGAATAAAGTGCTTGCAAGACACAGGCTAACCTCCTTGAGCACTTTAGAGCCGTGCATCCCTCCATTGCAACATGCAACTACTGCCATGAACTTTAGAAGTGAACGGGTCCCTGCCGCCTGGCCTCATTCGTCCACGAGTTGTCTCACTCTGGCTGTGTCGCATCACTTGTTAGTGGCACCAGTGCACCACTGCAACCCGAAAGTCACAATCTAGATTGAGCATCATCCATTCCAACAACTCCGCTGCAGAATCACCTGAGCACCTTCCGTACCTACCCTGCCGTGTCGTTCTTCCTTTCGCTTCCGCTTCATCCTCTTTCGACTTTGAGGATTCTCTTTGACTTCTTCTCCGCCCTGAAGACTCTCTTGTGTATATTTCCACAATTCACTTTGGTCGCAAGCTCTGTTAACGCCCGATTACGAATGGTGGCGCCCCAAATTGACAGGCTGAATCGCCAGTACCCGTACATTGAAATAACGTTAGAACTCGGAACTCGACAGCAGAGCATCGATTCCGCAACACCCTCGTTCCCGAACATTCACGAACCGACGCAAACATGCGTCCCCCGAGGATCGCTATCCTCGTCCTCTTCTTCGCCGCCTGCCTGTTCCTCCTTTGCCGCTCCATTACTTCAGTTGGGCAAGCCGGTCCCACTGCAACCGTCCCAGCAGCCAGCCAGCAGCAGTCAGGCTTCCGATCCTTCTTTTCCTTCTCAGCGCCCTTCACGCTTTTCCCACCAAATGCCATCATAACAATTGCCAACGACAACAGTACGTCTTTCGCCGCGCGACCCGCTGCCTTTGGACCCCCGCTTCCGACGAAAGGTCTCGATGGTCAATTATGGATAGGCAGTGGTTTCACCGAGGAGTCACTGCAGGATGGCGAAGGCGAAGGGGAGCTCGGCTGTAGTGATGTGCCCGGATGGGACGATGGAACCAATAATGCAGCCTTGAAGACGGCATCCAAGGAAGTCAAGTCCAAGTCCAAGTCCCCGTCAGGTACTGCTGCGAGCAAGACCAAAAGCCTCAAGCGCGACGATGACTCCAAGAGTCCTATGGTAGATCGAACCGCCGCGTCCGATTCGAAATCGAAGACCAAGGAAAAATCAGTAGACGACGGCACCGACGACTATTTACAAGACGGTCTAGAAACGTCACAGAAATCCCAGACCGATGCTAATAGCCTATCAGGCTCTGGCCATGCCGATATTCAATCTATCCAGGAGGGGGCCGAGATTGCCGGCAAGATTGTGCTTCTGAGTCGCGGCGGCTGCGGATTCTTGGAGAAGGTCAAGTGGGCACAAAGACGAGGTGCTGTGGGCTTGATCGTGGGTGACAACCAGCGAGGCGGTCCGCTCATACAGATGTTCGCCCGTGGTGACACATCAAATGTGACCATACCCTCCATTTTCACATCTCGTACTACGGCATATCTGCTCTCTTTGATGATGCAGCCTGGAAGCTATATTGAGGACATAATTGATGAGAACGGAAAGCCCTCGCTGCAAGTTCAACACTCGGATAAGGCCCGTAAGAACAAAAAGACTACAGCCACGGCCGTCGTTCCTAAGGCTACTGCTACGCCCAAAGCCAAGGCTTCAGCGGCGAAGAACGCTCCCTCAACGACTGGTGACCCTGCCGGATCAGAACCTCGCAGCCAAAGCTGGTTCGCTCAAATATTTAGCTGGCATTCGAGCTCTGACTCTGCTGATAGGAGCCGGCCGCCTAACAGTGGTCAGCACGACTGGGTCCTGGTAGAGGATTTTTCTGACGAAAAGGACAAGATTATCAGAAACAGCCTCGAGAAGGCATCAAAGTCCGAAACGGAAAAGGATTCAAAATCAAGCTCCAAACAATCAAATGGCGATGGATTCCAGATTGGTGTCGAAGACTGGCGGGATCCGGACTTAGTAGGATCCCAGGGCCCTTCCAAGGGCAGCAATAAGCCTTCAGAGAAGTCCGGTCAAAGCACTACGAGCAAACAGGATATCAAGAGTTCCAAAGACCCTAACGGTCCAAAAGGTGGCAGCATTACGCCAGGGAGCGGAGAGTATTCTGCTGACAGCTCAGACAAAGATAAAAGCATCACAAAGACCAAGTCTGACAAGACCGACTCCAAATCCAGCGGTCATGGCGGGCTTCTTGCCAAACTTTTTGGTGATGACGATGGTGCAGACTTTTCCCAGACCGAGCTGCACCCTCCTCCCATCAACACACCCATTATTGAGAAGCCGGCACCTGGCGAGAATGGCCCTTCTCCCCCTGAGGAACGCGAAGGCCTTTGGGTTATTATCACGCCTTCGAGTGGCGCTAGCCCCTTCTTTGATACGCTCTTAGTTTTGGTTATCAGCCCACTGATTACCTTGACTGTGGTATATGCGCTCCTCATTCTGCGAGCGCGTATTCGCCGTCGGAGATGGAGGGCTCCCAAATCCGTTGTGGAGAGACTTCCGGTTCGAACGTACCATACTGTGGCGTCCACCCCGAGCCCTTCTCCCAGATTGCAGTCTCCCTCGCCTCCATCCCCGACGACACCATTATTACAGAGTCAACATGGTCCTTCGAGGCCTAGACCGCGCTCCAGGACGACTACAGGTGTTCCGTCAGCGGGAGACTTGCTACAGGTCAACTCCAGTCTACAGATACCGAGGTCGCCCACACGAGGGGAGCACGAGAAGACCATATCAAGCGAGTGGAAGAAGTACATGGGCCGACAGGTCGAATGTGTTGTGTGTCTTGAGGAATATGTGGATGGCGTTAGCCAGGTTATGAGTCTACCTTGTGGCCACGAATTCCACGTAGATTGCATGTAAGTGAACTTGCCATCACAGTATGCACGGAGATAAGGTCGCTAATGATGTCTTCAGCACCCCATGGTTAACAACCCGGCGACGTACCTGCCCCATCTGCAAAGGTGACGTGGTAAGGTCTTTGGCTCGAGGTTCAACGTCGAGCCCACGATATGAGCCGTATCGCGATGACAGTGATGACGACTTCCTGGCCCAAGGATCAAGCTCGTCAGCTAATCTGTCGCCCCGTTCAGCTTCGCGGCAAGATGATGGATCAGACGTGGAGCAAGGCATCTTGTCACCTGCACCCCGTAGGGCGCACCGGCAGGTCCCCCAAGAAGGCTGGCTGGGCATACTCTCGAACGGTTTTCGAAATGCGACGTCGTCGCGTCCACGGTCTAGTGGTGAATCGGAAGAGGACCGGGCCAGATGACATGGAGTCCGACGGTGTTAGACGCATCACATATGACTATTTGCGATACCACATACATTTACAAACGGCGTTCGACTAGTGCCATGTCTTCATCTTCTCATTGTGGCACCCATGGTATGGATGGATACACCAGGAGGAACACGGCACTTGGTGGTGGCGGCGGCGCATCATAAGACCCACTCGTTTACTCTTTGATACCACTCTTCATTGTTTCTCTTACTTTGTTAGGCGGTGACGATTTGTCTGCTGTATTTTCTTTTCCACTGCCCTCCTTTCCACTTGGAAGACTTGCATGCACGGGAAGTCAAGCAAGGAAGGCATGGGTCGGTGCTGTGTACGACTCCCAGGCGTGCACACCTTTTTCTTGCATGGACGACGTTGTGTAGGAACTGCTTTGTGAAGCTAAGGCCATCGTTGCTTGGTCTCTCAAGGTGGACAAAATGGACATGGAAATAAGTAGTGTTAATACCCGGTGCGAGCATACATGCAAGGATAAACCCACGGCAGATCGGCTGGGAGTTAGGTTGACATGCTCCTCATCAATCTACGTTTTGGAGGATGCGTGTTCCCGCATCTGTGGGTCGCCTCCATCACCTACTCCTATTTGTCTGAACATGCTATGGACCAACAAGAGCTGTATTGTGTATGAATTGCTCCACAGTTCTGCTCCTTGTATAGCTTCAAGTACTTGAGCACACTAGCAGCTAGTGGCTGGCTTGAAGCATCCTGTCCCCTGGACCAAGAAATGAATCACTGTTCATCCTGGGCCTTTCTTCACACTTTTGCTTCATGATCTCGTCCAGCGAAAGCAATGAGACGATGTTGTGTTATAGTTATGCCAGTTGATAAGTAATTTAAAACACTAGATCATCCATCGAACTGGTGTGCCCATCCCGTTTTGCCAGCTTTTTTCTTCTTCGGCAGGTCATCATAAATCTGGTATGTCGTAAGCCGATGGAACTTATTCCTTTTTCTGACCGAAAAAAACCTAATAAAACCTTACGGGTTGTGCTTTACCTTTGCACCTCCACCAAAAACTCCTAGGAATCTTCATTTCGACCAACAGTCCCGGGGAGCGTGGTTTTCTCTGCTACGTTCTCGGTCCGGACCAGAGACTCTCGGCTCGCCGGGTTGCTCACATTGTCTCGGAGCTCCATATCGGACTGATCAATCGTTTCAGACTTACCCAGTTTCTCATCCAGCGGAGTACTGTAATTTAGTGAATAGTGCTTCTTTTCAAGCATCTCGAAGAAGCTGGCCAATAGCGTGCCGTCAGTGGTAAAGTACGTTTTCATCTCCTCACACAGCTCGCTCGTAGATCTAACTCCCCTATATGATTGACTGCCACAAACTAATCTGCGTAGCTCCGCATCCGGACTATGATGCCGGAATAACGACTACGAAGCCCCCGTGTGATGGGCGACCAGGGGTCATTTTGGGGGACGTGGTGATTTTTCCAGTGTCGAGCTGAGAAGGACTGTGCTCTTCAGAATCCCTATCGTCTGCTAAGTTGGAAATATTCTCTCCTTTAACTGTTCCTTCGCGTTGCAAGTCCTCTTTCACATGTCGTACTCGGAGATTTTTATTTCCACCCACTCGTGGGAAGACTTGCGGGCACCGAGGACTTAACCAGCAGTGCACCAATATTATGGCATGCTCTTTTGACAACTTTTTGGACTAACCCAAGCTCAGCCTCAAGCGACTCAATCTTGTGATGGTCTATTGAGAACACCTCCGGTTCATCTGCGTGAGTTTTGTAGCAAACAGGGCGAGGGTCGGTGTTGTGGCATACTTCAGCTGAACCACATGCCGTCCACGCCCCTCTGCCACACGTCACAGCATGTGCCGCCGTATTGTGAGTCCACCTGTATTGTCATCGATTCATCAGAGCTATGGAACCTTCAAATACTTCCCTGAATTACATAGAATCTTCCCATATCCATATTGGGTCCTGTATAGGGAGGAAGTGCAACATGGTGAGGTCCCGAGTTGAGGAGATATGTATTTGCTCTCGCTTGTAGCAGTCTCCTAGCTGTTGCTGGAAACATATTTGTGGCCGCCCATTGCAAGGCTGTGGTCTGTAGACACCTGCTTAGTCAACACAAGCCCCCAACCGCCCCCAACCGAGTAAGCGTGTCAACAACAGTAAGATATCCATCTGTTGCCGCCTAGATCAATCAAATGCGACATGATTGGCCATCCGTGCCGACACCGACAGCCATATTGTGTTTATCATTTCGACACTCCCATACTTTGCCGCGAAGCTCATCGATTCATGCCCATCAAGATAGACTGTGTGGCTCAAACCTGAGAATTTGAAGATGCCGTAGCAGCGTGAAGAGGAGCCCGGCACGGGGCTTGTCTTTCCTGCGCATCTGCACCGCGCCGAAGAAGTAAGTTGGCTGTTTCTGTGTGGTCTCGAATGACTGCCTAACAAAATGCCGTCTCGCGAAGTTAGCCTCCATTTGTGGCATCGATATCAGCGATGTGATCAAGCTGGTGTTCATCGTTTCGGTACCTCCTCGCTGGGCCGCAACATGGTTGACTGTGTTTCTACTGGTGTGAGCCTCATTAGTCTTCTCTGAAGTTCGCAGCAACTTGATACAGTTAAGATGTCCGTCTTTGAGGGCGGTGTATGATGGTAAATTACCGGCTTTGTCCTAACATTATGTGCTAGGCCACTACAGGCCAAGACAAATCGAAACATATCACCAGGGCCATTTTCAAGATGTAGAATGAAGCGCTGTTTGACCCCATTTATTGCTTCGGTCAAAGATGAGTTCAGGAACTTGGTTGAACAGGTGCTTTGCGAAATGGACACTGTTCTAGGCCATTACATATTGGAGTGCTGTGAAACCATCCCGATCCTGTGCATCTGCGATGCGTTATCGCTTGAGGCAAACATAGGTCTCTGCCAGAAAAGGCAGCCAAGTGTAGCGTTACATCGCCTCAGATTCTGATCCGGGATCCGTTGACTCCGTACAAGTCAATGAGCAGCTTGCTGACATGATTTGACCATGTATTATAGATACGTGCAGTGATGAGTAACCCGAAGTGTTCAGGATGCAATTGGTTCCATGATTATTGAGCATCAGTCGTATGCAGTCGATGCTGCCATAAATTGCGGCGCTGTGCAAAGCCGTATTTCCGTTACAGTCTTGACAGTCGATCAACTCGCGGCAGAAGCTGCTTGAAGGAACATCTCCTGCGATATCAACACTAACAGCTACTGTTGCGTGAATGACGAAAGCCAGTGGAGAATTCCATGTCTCCGTCACTTTGTTTTATTGCCATCTGGCCGAGAACGAGCTGCGCAACTCTGTCGAACACGTCAATATGCGTGGCCAGACTCTTCTCCAAGTGTCCTAAGTCCTGCTGAAGTAGCTTCCACTGAGACTTCAGAGACACAAGTTCCATGTTTTTGAAGTGGCCCTTGCCATCCAGGAATGACCTCGTTGCTTGGGCGCAGAATGTCAAAATGTCCCCGTTCACGTCGATAAGGGCGATTTGTAACTCTGGAGTTTCCGGAAACACAGAATTGTGCTTGCTCACAACTTGAAGATCCTTCATCCTGGTAGTGAGATACTGTCCAAGGATTCCTGGTACTCAACGAATCTCTTCGTCAGGATCAGCGCTAGAGTTGTTCCTCTTCGTTGAGCTTGGTCTTACCTTGTATGCCCGGCTGAGTTCTCAGTCATCTGATGTGGCTTGCGCCTTGCTCCTGTCTGCAAATGCAATAATATCCATTCTAATGAGTCCCCTGTAGTACCCCAACACCTTGTCAGACTTTAGAGTATTGGACCCCTTACACAGAATTGATCACTCACGCAAGTGGCTGGAAAGAAATGGTCCAACAAAGGAAGGCTTACTGTGGGGTCTATAGACGATATTCTTATGTATCTTGGCAGAGTTATTCCTGTCGGACACAGTATTTATTATGTCCAGTCCCTTGTCTTGCCTGGTACGGATATGGAAATTAATTCGTCACAAGAGACGGAAGAGGCCGTCGCTATCGAACATTCGGGTTTGAACAAGCCTTCGGCTAATACCCGCGCTCGCCTATCGGCAACCATAGGCCAGGCTCAGAGGGATATTCCCAGTACTTGAGCCCCATATTGTTTCCACAGACCCCAGGTTACCCCAGCCCTTCTCCAAGTTTCACCCCAGTCCTCCTCCATTCGTTGCCGACGCTACTGTCGGGTAATCCACGATGCTGGGGTAAAGATTTCCGACGACGACGATCTTCGGCGAAATGCGGTGCGGTACAGGTAGACGAGGTTGCAGTGAAGATGCAACACAGAAAGGACTGTCGAATGCACTCGAGCGGTCTTTCCCCGGAAATGATCGGAACAGGCGGGGAAATACTCGACGGCACTTGAACATACGACTATCTCCCTCCCTCTCTCTTTCTCTCTCATCTCTCTCTTGGGATAGATCTATCTAGTTGCACAAGTTGAACAACCCGAGACCCAGGAGATGGCGGAATGGTATACCATAGGTATCGCGCTGTTCGCGGCGATAGGAACATTCCTATTCGTACGTTACACCGGTTCAAAGACAATGATTGGACACATCTGCTAAGTCTTACCTCGCAGGGCTTCGACACGGGCATAGCCACGACCAGTACGATGCCAATTTCTCTTAATGCCCCCTTCCCGATGTCCATCGTAATTATGATCGACTAATGAAGTGTAAACAGCTATCGCCCATCAAAGCTGGGTCGATTACATGCAACACCCCTCCAATGCCATGACGGGCGCAGTCGTCGCCGTTTACATCGCAGGCGAGGCCGCCGGTGCCCTGACTCAGACTTTGATCGGTGACCGGCTTGGCCGGATTCGTTTCATGCAGATAATGTGTATTGTTGTCACCGTCGGCACCGTGATCCAGACGGCAAGCGCCAATATTGGCATGTTCTACGCCGGCCGTGTACTTGCGGGCTTTGCTGTCGGTGGTATGGTGGCCACCGTGCCTATCTACCTGTCCGAGATCGCGGGCCCGCACCAGCGCGGTCTCATCACTGGAATATCCGGCTGCGGCATATCCTTCGGAACTATGATGTCAAACTGGATCGGATTTGCTTGTGGATATGCCCCCTACGGCCCAGCGCAATGGCGACTTCCACTTGGAATCCAGATCCCCTGGGGCGTTATTATGTTTGTCGGGCTTGCTACCTTCATGCCCAACTCGCCGCGCCAGCTGCTGAGAACAGGCAAGGTTGAAGAAGCAAAACGGGAGTTCGTAAAAATCCGCAGGGATCTGCAGTCGTACGAGGTGCAAGAGGAATTCGCTTTGATGCACGCCCAGATCGAGTACGAGATGTCCCGCGATATCCTCTCCTATAAGGAAGCGTTCATGCTCTACCGCCGCCGCGTACTAGTCTCCATCGTCGTGCAAACCATGACAAGTCTCACCGGTGTGAACGTGATACAGTACTACCAAACCATCCTATACAAATCACTTGGTATCGACGCTCACACCGTCCTCGCCTTAGCCGCCATTTACGGCACCATCGCCTTCCTCTCCAACTGCATCACGACGCGCTACCTGACGGACCAATGGGGCCGCCGCAAGATGATCCTCGCGGGCCTGTCGGGCATCATCGTCGTCGAGATCTACGCTGCCGTCATGCAGCGCGTCTTCCAGAACACAGACAACCGCGTCGGCAAGGGCTTTGCCATTCTGGGCATTTACCTTTTCGTTGTCATCTACTACGGCATGCTCAACTCGACCACCTGGCTCTACGGAGCTGAGGTCCTCCCTGTCGCCCTCAGGAACAAGATTATGGGCGTCGCCGCCGCGAGTCACTTCATCGTCAATGTTGCCATCACCGAAGCCGGGCCTAGTGCCTTTGCGAATATACATGAGAATTACTACTACGTCTTTGTCGGCTGTACGGGTTTCTTCTTGTTTGCGGCATATCTCTGTTTCCCAGAGACTCGGAGAAAGACCTTGGAGGAGATCGCGAGTGCGTTTGGCGACAAGGTGGTTGACGTGGATGCGGCTCAGGTGGCGAGGGAGCGGTTGGGGTTGCAGAAGGATAATGTTGAGGATGGGAGGGCTGAACAGGTCGAGAGTAATTCGTCTAGGCCTTCGCCGAATGAGTGAGAGCCTCACAGCCGCGCCGTTGTCCCCGTTTCCTCTACGCTTCAACAAGTTCTAACAATTCAACGATGAATCACGGCAGCTGTAGTCTCCAGGAAATAGGGGTCGGCAGTGCCAGCTTTCAGATAGTTCCAGTACACTGTACCTATATGGCTCTATATGGCTTCACTTTATTTTATCATTAGACTGTCCATTCCACGGAGTAACGGTGTACCTGCCATTACCAAGTTACACGCTCAAGCGTTCATTTTCTTCATGAGAAAACCAATATGCTACTTTTAGATTCATGATACATATTCCCTCACTTCCGAACAGCAATTCGGCAACTCATTCAGACACTCAAAATCACGAGATCGATGATAAAGAAGCAGTAATCCATTGACAAGCCTGCTGCCTCCTTACGCTACAATCACCAAAAAAAAAAATCATATCCAATTTGCACCCCAGTGTACAAATGCTGTGTCTTTATAGCTGCTGTACATCAGGTGCTTATTTTCGCAGTTCCAGTCGCGGACGATTCTACACTGTTGGACCATCGTCTTCGGGGTATGTAAGAAGAGGAAAGAAAAAAAAGAACGTGACAAGATACATTGCAGAATATGCAATCTACACGAGCAATTGACAACAACCCTAGATGGTAGGTACTGCAGCATCCATCTTGTGAGTTTCGATGATATGTGAGAGAAGTGAAAATGGTTTTAGTGCTGTGTTATGGGGGAAGGCGAGAAGCGAGTTGCGATCTATGCTCTGTGGCACTTCTCATAGCTCGAATTCCCCAAACTCGCCGTATCCATAGGGATTCCACTCCTGACCCGGGTAGCTCGTGGCGCTCATGATAGGGTTATCGTCGTCCACGTTCATGGCCGCGAGTTCGACGGGTTGATCAACCAAAATTTTCTCCTCGGGCTCCACAGGGGGAAGGTAGACATTGGCGTTGTGCTGTGCTGTAACGTCCGAGAAGTAGCTGTTCGCTTCCCCAGAACTTCCAGGTGTCACCACTGCGCCGGCAGCCGCACCGGCTGTGGCACCAACGAGGCCACCCGCAACAGCACCGCCAGTGTAGTTACCCATGCTCTTCTCCTCGCAAGCATAGGCAGAATGAACATCTTGGTTCGGTGGCTGGGATTGAGGTTGGTGAATAAATGACGCGGTATTAATTTGTGAAGTCGGGGAGGAAAAGCTGGGCTTCCGAGGCGTGGCGTCGTAGATGTCCTCATTATCAGAGGACTGATTGTTGGCTCTGCCCACGCTGACGTCGAGGCTGGAGTTGGGAGTTTGATGTTTAGGACCACTGGGACTATGTCCCGGAGGCTCAGGACTCACGCTGAAGGTTCTCTGGGGTGCGACATCCGGACTGAGTGAGCTGTTTCTCGGAGGTTCTTCCATAACGAAACCTCTATTTCCAATATGATGCTGCGCCGAAAATACAGGCGGCCTTGTCGGAGGTGATGAGGTATGGCTTATATCACTAACCGTAACTTGATTATGGTCGACAGATTGATGTTGCGGCTTAACCATTTCGGGTGGAGGTAGCGGTGGATTGGGCAGCCGGACCGCAGCCGAGATGACAGGCAAGGGATAAGTTTGAGGGGATCCGGATTGCTGTATACGAGGCTGAGGCTGTCCATGCTGCATGTTCACCGCTGTAACCATGTTGTGGGGTTGTGATTTCTGCGCATCATCTCGTTCAGGCGGCGAGAAACTTCTCACTTGTGATATAGGGCCAGGGAGCGAATCGTCGGCACCTTTGTTTGGCTGGGAAGGCTCATTGTGCCCACGGCCCTCATCAGCTTCAGCTTGAGCTTCAGTATGCGCTTGTACAGAAAAGTTTTGAGTCGCTGGAGGCTGAACAATCTTGTCTTGTTGTGGCACCAGGCTCTGAACTGCAGACTGAACAACTGGCTGTTGTTGTTGTTGTGGTGGTGGTGGTGGTGTTGCCAGATTATGAATTTGCTGATGAAGCTGGGGTTGCTGGCTGTGAGCGTGAGGAGACTGAACAGGGGGACTCTGAGCTTGTTGGGCGAACCCGCCTTGCTGACCTCGCTGAGGCAGCATTTGCCACTGTCCGTTAGGAGGTGTAGCCTGTTGAGGTGGCATTATACGAGGATCCCACTGCTGAGGTGGGCTTCCTGATAGCTGCGTTGTTGGCTGGTATTGCTGCTGCCCATACGGCGAAGCACTGATATCTGAAGGACCCCCATAACCGCGAACGGGCTGATAACACATCGGAATAGGCACTTGATCGTATTGAGGCTCGGGACTATTTGTCCCCTGCATCATAGGAGGCATACCGCGTCCGTTTTGCATCTGGGATGGCGGTACACCAAGACCTATTTGCGGGCCTTGCGGATGCCCAGGTGCAGGACTAGGACCAAACGAACCCAATGGACCTTGGGGCATTGGCTGGCCGGGTATCATTCCACGCCCATTCTGTGTCATGTGGGAAGGCATCTGGCCACGGTCTTGAATTAAGTGTGGAGGCAGCTGTTGACCTGATGACGTTCGGCGCTGTGGTCGGTTAGCATCAGGTTGTTTGGAGCTCCGTTTGAAGGCACCCAGTAGTTTGGACGAAGTGCTTTCTTTGGGAGGTGCCGATGGATTGGAATTAGAAGGCTGCGGGGAGCTCGACTCTCGCCTCTTGCCACCGCCAAAGAATCTGGATACCGAACTCTTTTGCTCATGTAACGAGGCTGGCTGCGGTCGCCATTGTACGGATGTCTGTTCTTGACCCTGTGGTCCAGACATGTTTGTATCTGTTGGGACAGGCCAAGGTTGTTGGGCGTTCGGACCCGATTGCAGTAACTGTCCTGGTGCCATTTCTGGCTGACCAGGACCGCCTGGCGTTTGCTGACCAACTTGCAAAGGCCCCTGAGCAGGGCCTATTGCTTGGCCTGCTAGCTGGCGATCAGTTAGGCCAAAGCCGCCTGCGGCAGGCGGCAGCGGGCTTATCTGTGTTCCAAGGGGATGTAGTGATTGCTGATGGGGTGATAAAGGAGAAAGTCGTTGTAATTCTGGCCTTGGGGAAGAGCCATGGGGTGCTGGCGATGGCGACGGAGTTGGTAGTGAAGGCTGGCGCATGTGGCCATTGTTGACGTTATCAGGTGAACCCAACTGAGAACTTGTCCGGATGGGCGGCGCTTGCGTCGATAGCTGTTGCTCATTTCCATCTGGTTCAGCTTTTCGTCCTGCTTCTTCGGACAATTGATATTTATTCTTGGGGCCAGCAGCCGGTGCACTTGATACCATAGCCAACGAGATCGATGCTTGTCTAGCAGAACCAGAACCCACTGGTTTCCGGCTGGGAGACACACGCGGACCAATTGATGACCCTGCTATGCTCAATCTTTCTTGGGACGAGTTCTGCGACAGATGGGGAGATGTGGCTGGTGCTGCTGCCACTGCCGGCGTTGCCTGAGAGTTTACTGGATTAGAGCTTAGAGGGTGTCGGAGTTCATGCTCGTCCGGTCGCATGGTTGTTTGGGAACCTTGCTGAGATGGCATTATGGGTCGCTCATTAGGAGAAGCCTGAGGTTGCAGATGCATTGGAACATTGGTCTGCGAGGGGCGTCTAATTGCCACCATGCCTCCTTGAGCTCCTTGTCCAGGCGGTCCGAGCTGTCCGGGCTGCCCAGGCTGTTGTGCTGGCGGAAATTGCTGTATTTGGCCTTGAGAGACTTGCGAGCCCGCCATCATGGGACCTTGGCCTGGAGGCACATGTCCGTTTGGAAATCCATACATTATCCGCGGCGCAAAGTTTTGCGTCGGCTGGCCAGGTCCTGGATGGAATTGCTGCCCCGGTTGCATAGGAAACTGGCCTCGTGGCAACATTTGCTGGCTATATTGAGGTTGAGGTTGAGGTTGAGACTCTTTGGCCTGTGACTCGGGTCTCTTGCCGAATAATCCGCTCAGAAAACCACCGCCGCCAGATTTCCGGCCTTCTCCGGCCTTCTGGGATTCTGCAATGCTAGATGCCCCTATCAAGGACGGTTGTCCAGAGCCCTGAGTTTCACTTCGTTGACGTGTGACGTGAGGCCCCAATTGCCCAGGGTGTCCTTGGTATGGTGGCTGTCCCGACTGTCCTAGACGAAGGATACCGGTAGGTTGGGGTTGAGTTTGTCCCGGATAAACAGCTTGTCCAGCAGAAGGGGGACCCATCATGTGTGCGTGTGGCGGGCCTGATTGTCCCAGAAATCCGGGATTTGTTCCAAACCTAGGTCCCGTCATGTTCGGCTTAGGCGGACCTTGTTCTTGGAACACGGGCTGTCCAGGATGCGTTCCCGCGCGCGAGGTCATCTTCAGCTGAAGTTGGCCTCCACCTTGCGCCGGGTAATCATGAGGTCCGGGACGAGAAGCGCCCTGCATTGGCTGCCCCCCCTGCACGCTTCCTGGCGCTATTGGTTGTTGAAGAAGCTGCGTGGGTTGCTGAGTGATAGTTTTCACTGGTTGGTGGTCATCCTTGGTACTACTGCCCTTGAACAAACCCTTTAGCTCAGAAAGTCGCTTTTTCATAGGCGCCGGCGCGGAACCAGCAAAGGTGCTCTGGCTCGAATTATTTGGTTCATTGACCATACCGGACGTCTCAGACTGGCCCAAGGCAATATTAGACTTCTGCTTTGAGAGAACTCCCGCGCCAAAGAAAGACTTCTTTTTCTCCGGTTGGCCGAATTGCGGTGCCCCGGCTGGCTTTGCGGGTAGGTCAAACGAATCGCGGTCTTGTCGGGCACCGCTGTTTCCTAGTGCGTTCTCCAGCCCAAACGAAAATCCACGCTTCCTCGTCTCATGCAGATCTTCTGCGGCGACGCTCGTGTCGGACACATCGTCGGAATGAACCACTCCTGGTTTGTCCGATATAGAGTCTCTGCTACGCTGCATACTGAGTCTCCCCCCAGTCTCTTTGAATAGGCCCGAGTTGTGACGCTCGTTCTTGTTGTCGATTTCATGTGACGATGTCTTGGAACTACCCATACTATCCTGTCGTGACACCTCTGGCTGTATTTGGTCTTCCTGGGGGATGCGGGGCTGATTGGCCGCCTCAGCTGGGAAGGGACTGGGGAAACGCTCGGCAGATACGGGGGGTGTGCTTTTGTTATTCTTCATTTGGCGTGGTAAGGGTAGGGGTAGGTTTGAGGGTTGGGAGGATGACCCAGCGGATACCGGAGACTGAACTTCGGTTTCTTTGTCGTAAGCATAGTAAACAGGCTGCTGAGCGGGTGGGCTGCCGGTCGAGGAGCGGTTTCTCGAGGCGGCGAGTGGCTCCGATAGATGCGACTCTTTCAGCTTCCATTGCCCTTGCGGAGGGAACCGATGGATAGGATTCCCGGCCGCTTGAGGCGAGTCCATGCCGGGCTGTTCTCTCGTTTCAGATGCATTAAACTGCTGCCCCTGCATTGGTGGCGAGCCGGTATGGCCGTGCGGTTGATTGTATGGAGATTGTGGACCACCCGGAGCGGGCCCACTGCGGCCCGTCGTTTGATGTCCCGTCTGCCCCGACTGTTCTGGTGCCTGTGCGGTTCCGTGAGAGTACCCATTCATGAAGCCATTAGGTGCTGGCTGCATTGGCGGCCCATACCCATTGTTCCCGTTGGTCTGCTGGAGGTGCCCAATACTCTGGGATGAGGGCTGTGCAGACTCTTGAGGCGATTGAACAGCGTCCATCGGAGTCGGACCAGTTAATTGGCGCCCGTTTGTATTTGCGCCTCGGTATTCCGCTGGCATGGAAGGCATGGGCGGTGCTTCGTCCTCAGAAGACACCACAGGCGACGGCATCAGGTTGTAGTCGTCGCCTTGACCCGTTTCCCGTCCACTCAGAGCAAACGTCGAGGTACGCCGAATAGGCGGTAAACCGATAAACGAAGGTTGTCGGGCTGGCACTGAAGAATCCTCCTCCTCATGCTGCTGCATGTACTGTTCGGCCATGGGCACATTTGGCCCCTCAGGTGCCATATGGGCCAGCATCTGCGAGTGCGGCTCGGGGAATGCAGGCGTAGGGTTGGGTGGTGCTATAGGTTTCGGGGCTATAACTTCGACCCAGCCGTCCGATCTGTAGTCGGTAGTCAAACGGGGCACATGATGCGCCGTGGGCGACGTGGCTGCAGAGCGTAGAGGTAAAGGTGCCGGCCGGTGCACCGTGACAGGCGGGTCAAAATCGAAACCTTCTTCCTCGACCAGTGGAGTCCAGGTGAAGCGGTCCCCAGTGGGCTGGCGCTTGCCGATGGGTGCGGAAATCTGCAATTGCGAATCCGCCGCCGATTGACGATGATGTGGCTCTAGGTCGCGGTTGGGTGGGCGATGGGTGGGAGCGGGAGGTGAGGAAGTGGTGGTTGTCTCGGAGATGGGCGACACCAATTCAGGCTGCAGTGGATAACGAAGAGCAGAAAGTACGTTGCCAGTGTGACTACGATTATAAGTATAATTATTACTGTTCTCAGGTAGCCGCGGGGCTCGCGGCGGCAGCCAAGGCGATGAGTGATCGTGCTCAAAGGGTGAAATGGCGGATGGATGGGGAAGCTGGGGAAGGTTGGCGGTGGAATTGGTTTCGGACTTGGATTTGTGTGACGCGTTATGTTCAGCTTGCTTAGGGTGAGCTCTGCTGCGAATTGAAAGCCAGGGTACTGATGAAGGGTGACCGCGGCCGCCTAGCGACAGCGACGACGAATGGCCTGGTCGGCATTGTGGACCTCTAAAGGCACTAACTATTGTGCCCCATCTCGAGCGCCGCTCATTTCTCAAATGCTCCAAACCATTTCGGGTCTTCAAATTTGCGGCCTGTGACGCACGTGGTGGGGACGCCGCCCTGCCGGGCTGTTCCTAGATCAAAGACAGTTCTATTAATAACCACTTTCACTAGACGAGATACTGGGGCAGCATTTTAGACTTGTTTCGACAGAGGTGGAGAGGAAGTATGTAGTAACTTTTTTTTTCAAATACTTTCAGGCCACTTGGACAAATCGTATACGCTTGTGGTGGAGTGAGCAACTTGGTGTAGTAGCCTGCCTGCTGAGTTCGGATCAGAAGCGCCAAGAATATGGATTCAGTCCCGTTATATTCATACAGTACAGTAAAACGACCCCGCTCGATGAATGGAGCTCTTCAATTGGTTGTGGTGCGAGAGGTCATAGATGATTGAATTACTGCAGCCGAGCGAACAAGCAGCGGCACGGCGCAGAAAACCGCAAATGCCCCAATATGCTCCTGACTGACGCTGCGATTAAGGAAAAAAAAGGAGGAACAGCCCGAAACAGAGCCAAAGTAAAGCGTCCTCAAATGCTGCCCCCTTCTGAAGAGAAGAACATTAGGAAAATACCTTATCACCCGTTGACCGGAGCTTGCTTTTGCCCTTGGCGAACAACTTCATCCCCGACTTGGTTGCCTTGTTTCCAAACATGCCCGCCGCGTGAAGTAACTCCTTGCTCTTAGTTCCACCACCAAATCCACTTGACGAAGCCTGCCCCTGGTTCAGGTTTCCGGTGGACGCTCGTGCTGGTGGTGGAGGTGCAGCAATGTTGGGGTTGCTTGCATTGAGATACTGTTGATAATACGGCTGCTGTGTCGATGATTGCCCCCCGGTTGGCGACGGCTGAGCCTGCATGTGGGACGCTATGCCCGGTTCCTGGAAGCCCGGAGTGACGGGTGCGTCCGCATGTTCTGGTTGGCTCTTCATGTGCAGTATCCAATTGACTAGGCCCGAATCCATAGAGGCGAACTGCACCCTAGCGTCTTCAAACCTCTCAATTCGCAGCTCAGGCGAGGGAATGCTGAGAATGTCTTTCCAACTCATGACCTTGGCTTGTTGGGAGGCGCTAGCCGCTGGCATCGCAGTCGGCGTCGGTGTCTCCGGCGATAATTCCCCTGGCGAATTCGAGAACGCTAAGAGCTCGTTTTGGGGTGGGCTAGGGGACACGGATTGTGACGACGCTTGAATAAGTGCCTTCTCATCAGCGACAGACAGCCGACGACCCCCGTTTTCGAGGGCTTGGTTGGCAAGCTTGGGGCTTTTCTCCGCTGACATGACCGAGATTGGCGATGGCGGTTCAAAGCCCGTAGTGCCCAAACCTTCAGTTGCGCGGCTACTAACCTGCGATACCTGGTGGGACATGGTTCCGGCACCATCTGGCTCGACATAAAGTTCTGGGCCTGTGGTCTGACCTGGTCGGCTATCAACAGCTGACGCCATGGAGACGGGAGATTTCGCGTCAGCTCTGGGAGGTTGAGATCCAAAGAAAGAACCCTTAGGTTCATCGACAGGGCTCAAGGAAACGTCCTCGGGCCCTTGCTCCCATGAAAACCGTCTAGGACGGTTGGTTGACGCTGGTTCTGGGCCCTTTTCCAGTTGTGATGGAGCAATTACAAAATCGGAAGTTTGCTCCCCTGTGTTATGTTGGCTGGGAGCGGAGCCTGAAATTTGATGGTTGGCCTTCTGAGGTTCGTCCTTGCGCGCTTGGCTCGTCTCTCGGAGCGATTTCTCCTCGGTAGGTCCCAAGTAGTCGTCATAGACACCTGAAAGATATCGACTCTCTCTAGTCATTTCATTTGGACCGGATTTGTTGCTGGCAAGGCCAAGAAGGCTGCCGGCACTGACCATATCGGGACCATCCACTGGGCTAAGGGATTTCATGATGTCCTCTCGCAATCGGTCACTCTCGTTAGCTGGAGAGGCTGTGTCGATAGAGCTCATGGTTGGGTTGCGCGGGATGATTCCAGGCGCTGTGAATTCAGAGGCACCAGTCTCGCTTCGCCGAGGCTGTAAAGGTGCAGTTGGCGTGAAGTCTGATGCGGTGGGAGTGCGAGTTTTCGCAGAGTAGATTGTAGGTGAGTCTTCGTACGAGACAGGTGGCGATCTCACTTCACTCGTGCTAGGTGCAGCACCTTCCCTTGTCGACGGCTGGCCAGCTACCGCCAACGTGGTTTCCGTTTGTAGAGTTGGCAGGTTGTAATGTGTGGGATGTTGTCCTGGCTCGCCTGAAGTAACTTCGTCGGCAATATCTTGGTCATGCTTGCCTGCAGCCTCTCCAAAACCTTCTGAGCAGGCCTCATGCTTAGCCTGAACCTTTGAGATGATCTCGTGGCCAATATCCAATGATTGAGCATGTTTCACTGTCGTCGTGGGCTCCATGTCGTAAGAACCACCATCAGTGTCGGTAACGGGAGACACCTCGGTGTCATGCACCGGAGACAACACCATTGATTTTATTTCTGATCTTTCCATCGGAGTGGGAGCCTCTGATCCAATTTTAGTGGTCTCTGACACCCAACCACCGGGTATAGAAGGTCTGTTTCTTTCATGCTGGACCTGTTGATGTTTAGGCGAAGATGAAGATCGCGCACCAGACGTAGCCGACGTGGAAAAGGCATCCGTCGCGCTGTCGTGTGAACAAGTTTCAGGTTGCACTGGACACCGTAATGGCTCTGTGGGCTGTGTCAGGGCCCCTCCAGAAGTTTGAACCGTAGCCTCCGTACCTCGAGCCAAGGGAGTTGCCGATGGGCCTCGAAAAACTGCACCCGAGTCTTGTGGTTCGACGTAGTAATGAGACTGCGTTTCCAATTCGGTTGCTAGCCCTTGGATATTTTGAGCGTCGTTCACAAGGCCAGATGAAGAGAAGAAATCATCACCAAAGCCAGACATGCGAGCCACGTCAGGTAATTTCAGGCTCGTGGAAGCGGATCGTCCGTCATACTTGCCGGGCACTGTAGTGGCCGTCGTTTGCATTGCACCTCCTGCAGGTCTTGATGCCGTCTCCAGGTTTCTAGTTTGCGACTCGTCTATCAAACGCTCAACACCGTATTCGCTGTGTCTCTCCGCCACTGGAGGTAGCGTGGGTTTCAAGCTACGAGCTGTGTCTGAGCCATCATCTTTGTCCAAACTCGGGCGACGTCGCTGTTCAATTGGTGATCTAAGGTTGTTATCACGGTCCGCTCCAGGCATGCTGTCCATACTCGCCCGGCTTGACTCCATGGACCGACGCTCCTTCTCCCTTTCTTCGTCCATTCGCCGGTAGATGTCAGCTGGCCGGATGAAGTGTGGTGATTTTGCCACCGCCCCAGAAGCGGCAGACTGGCCCGGTGAGTTAGACCTCTGCCCCATCCAAGGGCGAGTGCTTGAGCTGGAGCCCGGGCGAGACCCAGATCTGGAACCGGGCTGATCTTGCTGGCTCATGCTGCTTTTACGAGGGGGGAATCGTGACGACCCCGCGCCGGCGCTTTGTGGTTGATATTCTGGTTGAACCAAAGGAATTGCCTCTGGCGGCGCAAATGGGCGCATATCTGCTGACTGCCACGACACGAGTTGTTCAGGCGCGCCGCGCTCAGAAGCGCTCCCCAATGACGAAGGGTCGGAAACAGTAGCTGACTCTGCCTCTACGGTTCCAAACTTGGTGATAGTCGCAAACGCGGTCGTTTGTGCGGGCGCATGCACAGGCGTGGACTGTTGGGTTTGGAGATGTAAAGCCGGCGGGCCACTTGGACTTCGTGAGTCAGTCGATTCGATTCTGCCGCGGGCCGTTGAAGCAGCCGGTTGAGAGAAGGTTCGCGCGCTGGCCGAGTTCACGTTTTGACCCGGTTGGTATGGACGGGTATTATTTAACGGCGGTGGAGGCGGTTCGTCGGGGTCGTTAGGTTTGTCATCATCGTACTCGTTTCCCCAGTCATCTCCATCGTAGCTCTGCACCTTTGCTTCGACCCATTTCCTCGTCTTGGTCCTGTTGATGTTGGGCTGGTATGCACTGCTCGGTGTGCTTGGGGTCCTTTGAGGCATGACGATGCAAGTCAGTGGCAATACTTCTAGGTCTGCGGTGAGTTGGTGTTCGAGGGACAAGCTTACATGGGAGAGCCTCCCCGATAGATATTTTGGTAGGTACCATCCGCCATTGCGTGAGGGTGCTCTATTGCGACATGCTTGGAGCCAATGTAAATATGGTAAAGATTTTGGTCGACTCAATCCGGAGTGGTTGGCGGCAAAGGCTGTGCTTATCGAGCTACCTGTTCTGTAGTCGTACGCTTGTCACGAAAATGCAGCGATTAACCGGCCAGGCCGCAGTAAACCACCGTTGAACAATCAATCCATGAAACAGGACAAGGGATGGAACGGAAGGCAATAATCTACGGGTAGATTGTTGGCATATCAATACACGATGCTGGAATGTTGATTTGGCGTCTCAAAAGTATGTCGCGCTTGAGGGTAAAATGGTAGGAAGATGAGTAGAGTAGAGTTAAAGGTCAGTCGCCCGCAGAGCAATGTGGCCCAGCAAGTATGGAGTATGGGATGACGATGCAGCGTTCAGCAATTTTCAATTTCGCAAAACGGGCTGGGGGGTCATTGGCCGCCACATAGATCGGCGCAGCTAGAGGTCTACTCCGACTCGCAACCAAACTTGCCGACCTCTCACGCTGAAGATGTCGCTTTGCCGTCTTTTATAGACCACTGACACCGCGTTTGCTCTATTGGGGAAAAGGCGAATCATGGTGGCGCTGGCTGCAGTTGGTAACGTCTTAAGCGCCACTCACACGACGACAACCTTTGGGATCTTAGACTTGGAGGCAATCTCTGGTGTATGCTGCTGTCTCGCGAACCACTTAACGCGCTTGACGGAACGATGATAATTCAAGTACCCCATAATCTCCATTCCTATTCTATCGACTATCACCTATCATGCCACGAACGCTAAGGCTGTGCTGAGGTCACGGCCCAACACTATGTGCGCACAGAGGATCGCGGATTGATCCATACGATAAGGAGGAATTGAACGGCCAAGACAAGTTTCCAAACTGACGATGGATTGATGGGGGGAGAGGGGGTTGTGTCAGTCACTCATCAAGCCTGGTGCTTCACTATCAAGTACATAGCGCCACTATTCCTTTGATTGTGTTCGATACTTTCCATGACTTGTTGCTTCAGAGTTGCAATCACAACCGTTACACACCGAACCGGATATTTTTATCGACCTAACTTCACATTATGAGGCGTCGCTGCCAGCAGGTTGCCAGATACATACATTGAGAGAGAATCGAAGGCTTGTGAAATACAGCAGTAGCTTTTATCACCTCCATGTTCTCGACCACGTTAACGTGGACTTCGTATCCTCGTGATGCCTGCCGAACGGCTACAACTAACTTTCCAAGCATGCAGTTGGGCATGAGCCATTCTCGTGGCGATGTATGTTTGCTAATAGTGCTCAGTTGCACTTCGTTCGATGATGCAGTTTAAAATAAGGTCCTACTCCGCACGAAGTAGAGTGCTTGGAGTAGGAGTGTACTTTGTAGACAATTGACACTTCAACAATCGGAACGCCTCCAGAGCTGCAAAGTTGGCAGCACAGCCACTCTTCCCTCCCGAAATTGGCTTAGTACCACCCAGAATCCCCAATTCCAGGCCGGTTGGGTCCGCTTCTACTCGCAACTACCCAAAGAAACACGTAACGCTGGATCCAGGCCAATTTAACAGTTTGAATTCCGGCTGACAACCAGTCCTTCATTGACGACGGCATCCAGGAAACACCCTACCCAAGTTTCGCGCCAATTCTTCATCTCCATTACCAGGCGACATATTTTCCTGGCTCAAACAATCCAAATTTTACTGGTGATACCACGTGGGTTCTCCGGTTCTCAGGCAACCAAAACGCGCTCGCTCCTTGTCCGACGACTTGTCGAGTCCGATTCTGCCGCGATCCTTTATTCACTGACACCTCTCAACGACGCCGATAGCACCCACGACTTCCCACAAGAACTACAATTTGACACGCTTGATACAGCGCCGGATGCCAAAACATATACCGACCATCGCAATAATTGCTGGAGGATTCCAAGGCCGGAGTGGACAGACCCTTGAGAGCAGCCAACAATGGCCGTCACATCCATCCAAGACCGGACCGCCGAGTTCAAGTCGGTCTTGACGCAAGTCCAAAAACGACAGGCGCAGTCCAAAGTTGGCGCCCAACGACGCTCCCTTCTTACAGATTCGGAAAAGGACGCAGCAAATGGCGACGCGACGAGGCCGCGGCGATCCGATTTCGCCAGAAAGGCAGCCGAGGTTGGACGAGGAATCGCTGGGACGATGGGAAAACTGGAGAAGCTAGCGCAACTTGCGAGGCGGAAGACGCTGTTTGACGACCGGCCCGTTGAGATCAATGAGCTCACATTCATCATCAAGCAAGATCTATCCTCCCTCAACCAACAGATCACTGGGCTGCAACAGCTAGCGCGGCAACAGCACCCCAAAGGCGACCAGGAAGGGGAACATAACAAGAATGTCGTATTCATGCTGCAAGGCAAGCTGACGGACGTATCTGCCAATTTCAAAGATGTGCTCGAGGTCCGGACCAAGAACATACAGGCGTCGAGATCGCGGACGGAGAACTTCGTCTCGTCTGTTTCGCAACACGCACAGCCGGCGATACAACAGTCAGCATCCCCTTTATATGGTACACCAAGCCGAGGAACGCCATCTCCAGGAGGTGACACCCTTTCCCTCAACCCAGTCGGCGATCAGCAACTGCTTCTGATGGAGGAAGCACAACCACAAAATACTTATATCCAACAACGAGGGCAGGCCATCGAGGCAATAGAGCAAACCATCTCTGAGTTGGGTTCTATCTTTGGCCAATTAGCACAGATGGTATCGGAGCAGGGCGAGATGATTCAGCGCATAGACGCCAATACCGAGGATGTGGTAGACAATGTCCAAGGCGCCCAAAGAGAGTTGCTCAAATACTGGTCTCGAGTGTCAAGCAACCGATGGCTCATTGCCAAGATGTTTGGAGTTTTGATGATATTCTTTTTGTAAGTCACCCTTTCCCAACCTTCCCCATAGATAGTACTGAAGTGCTGACCACTTTTGACAGACTATGGGTTTTGATCGCCGGATAGAAAGACTGCATGAGCAGGGAGCTGGTGTAATTGCGTTCTGCACAGTACTTGTCTGCATGCATGGCGACTAAAGGGGCCAGCATTTTTTTCGATAGACCCTTATAATAGGCGTAGACGGCCAACTTGTCGGATGCGCACGGCAGGAATACAACCTCTGATTCTGCGATGAAGTCAACTTTCAACAAATGTTACTCTTTGAAATACGGTATGCACCTATCGTTTTTCGCAGGCGTACCGTCGAGCTAGACGCAACAGGTACAGATGCTATTCTTAACTGTCGATATTTTGATAACGTATCATTTTGCTATAAACAAATTCAGGGTATTGCCAAGACGACGATGTAGGCCAAAATTTGGGCTCGGCTCAAGACGACCCGAGTTTGAAAACCCCACCAGTCCATCATCGGCCAGAATTTCCACAAACAGCAGCGAGTCACCCGAGTAAAGACGCCGACACAAACCTGATATCGTGTTTGCAGACAAATACTGTGAATCTGCCTAGTTAGAACCCCTGTTTCCGACGATGATATTTCTTTGAACGCTAGATTTCCCAGTTTATTAAAAAATCTGAAAACCACATAGGCCATCCACGATATCTACATAGGTTGAAAGCCCTGTAGTCAAGGGTTGACTATGGAGTCATGCCTTGTACTCGGGTTCCCTAATCCGAATTACTTACGTCACGGCATGTGGCCCCAAGTCTCGGCGCAGATGCCTCGATTTTTGCCTGATGTACGGAGTATGAATGCTCCATTTCGCCGCAAATATGGAGGCGGGGCATAATTATCCAACGTTGCAAGACTTTAAAGCTTATAGATACCCCATTGACATGATGGGCCAAACTTATCCATTGTCTCTGATACAGCCAATTCAGTTAACGACTGTATATTAAGAATAATACTTTACAAATGGCTCCCACATCATTCAAGCTTAACACGGGGCAGGAGATGCCCGCAGTGGGATTTGGTAAGACATCACTCCATCACCCCACTTCACGAATGCGAGGCAGACGACATTGAAGTATACATCGCAAATTTCGTGACAGCGAACCGTGACAATCCAAACAAAAACACACTGACAAACAAACAAAATAGGAACATGGCAAGCCGCACCCGGCGAAGTGGCCAAGGCCGTAGAAACAGCACTCAAGTCGGGCTACAAGCTCATCGATGCAGCCTACTGCTACGGTAACGAAGACGAAGTAGGCGCGGGGCTGAAAGCGGCCTTCGCCTCGGGCATCAAGCGCGAGGATATATTCATTATGACCAAATTATGGAACACATACTCGACACGCGTGTCGCTTGGGCTGGAGAAGTCGCTCAAGGCCCTGGGACTTGACTACGTCGACCTATATCTGGTGCACTGGCCCGTGGGCATGAACCCTAACGGCAACGACGACCGATTTCCGAAGCTGCCTAACGGCGAGCGCGACATGCTCTGGGACCACGACCACATCCAGACGTGGAAGGACATGGAGAAGCTGGTTGAGGGCGGCAAGGCCAAGGCCATTGGCGTCTGTAATTATAGCAAGGTGTACCTGGAGAATTTGCTCAAGCAGGCAAAGATCGTGCCGGCTATCAACCAGATCGAGAACCACCCAGCGCTGCCTCAAGATGAGATCGTGGGTTATTGTAAGGAAAAGGGGATCCATGTAGTGGCATACTCACCCCTGGGCAGCACGGGGGGTCCGGTCATGAAAGCGGAGCCGGTGGTTAAGATTGCAGAGAAGAAGGGGGTTAACACGGGAACGGTGTTGTTGAGTTACCATGGTGAGTTTGTCAATTTTCGTTTCATGGATTTCTGCTGATAACATGTTTAGTCGCAAGAGGCAGCACAGTGCTGGCCAAGTCGGTCACTGAGTCACGAATCGTCGAGAACCTCAAGATCGTCGATCTGGACGACAAAGAAATGAAGGCATTGGCCGAGTTGAATAAGGATAATGTCACGAGATATGTCTACCCGCCCTTTGGTATCAATTTTGGCTTCCCCGACAAGGCGTCTGGAAAGGTCATGCCAAATGGAGTACCAGCATGACTGCAGCTCTCGTCGTGCTGATATCAAATGGCCATGTGTACAACGCAGTTTATCTGCAAGTAATGTTGGGTGCTGCAGACCATAGTACATTATTGTAGTGAATACTGAAGGCTTTACCTAAGTATTTAGGAGGCTGTGGCCAGAGCAAAATTATAGACTTGGCCATATAGATGAAATAGACGTCATGCATGATCCAAAGATTATGGCACATGTAACTCCTTCAATCATGAAGGACAAGTCATCGTGCCGATTGCCACGCCAAATTTCCTGAAATAACTCCTGTAACCAAATGTTCTAACCGCATTGACCACCTTTTTGCATGCACCCCCATTTTGCAGGGTCTAACTGAATCAACCTAAATACTTCGTCCATATTATTTATATACAGAACATACTTAATTTAAGTGTCTGAGGAACCGGAGGGCCCTTCGATGCAGATACCGAAAGGGGGCAAGTATTTCGGCCTGAACCGACTGGAGGCGTCTACGCTGTGCCAGATCAGGACGGAAAAAATAGGACTAGCAGCCTTCTTATTCAAGACAGGGGCTTTTGGCGTGTACTCGCCGCTATGCCGCTGTGGCGACGCCCCTGAGACGGCAGAGCACGTAATCCTCTTTTGCGGGCTGTTGGAAGGACCGAGGGAACGATTACGGGCCGCTATCGCACCACGGCCACTATACTCTCGCAGAGACCTCGCAACGGCAACAGGAGAACCAGTAGTTAGTGGGACTATTGTAAGGTGGCTGCTAGGGACGGGTCGGACAGCTTCAAGGCCCAGATAGCATCGATCTTCTCAGGGGGGACTTTGTTGGTAGGTTGAGAACCAACGTAGTATGGTAGTGAACGCAACGCAGTCGCCAATAGGGCGAACCGACGACGCAGCGTATGTATTTAGTCCAGCCATTAGGGCACGGTTTGACATGCGGGAGTACTAGTAGAGGTACCGGGGGCTTCGAGCCTACGGCGTATTTAATAATAATAATAATTTAAGTGTCCGAAGACTTAGATATATTCTTTCGAGCCCTCTTTTTAGGAGGGACCCTTCCTTCGAGAAAAGTATCAATTTCTAACTGCTTATCCGGTAAAATAGGCCGTATTCGCTTATTTCGCTTGTCCTGGGCTGTTCGGATCGCTGATAAGTTAACGAATACTTTATTCGGGTCTGGCTCGACGGGCTGGCGTATATCTGGAGCGTATTTATCGAGTTCTTTATATAGTTGCTAGTTTTCGATACGTAATTTGGTATTCTCGGCGGCCTGGAGTGTAAGGGCCTTGCCCGCCTTGCCTACTAGGGTACGAATATTACGAGATACCCCGCCCTCGGCTTTCTCTATCGACTGTAGTTGGCTAGATAGTTGCTGCGCTTTCTGAGGAGTAAAAGCAACTAAAGGTGGTGATATATGAGGCGGAGGATCTGGTGTATGAGGCTCCAGAGGATCACAAGATACGTCGACTAGTCCTTCGGAGCCTAGGGGCCATATACCAGTCTTCCGCCAGCCAGAAAGTCTCGGATCTTGGTCGAATCGGACGCTCTAACTCGGCTAGCATCTACGACGCGCCCAATTTTGGTACGTATCTGTGGATGGCGGCTAACGAAGTGATCCACCCAGTGTTGGCCGAGTGTATTGTTATCCCCTTGAGCAAGGAGGATTTCGGCAGCGAAGTCGGCCACATAACGCTTTCTAGGAGCCTGTCCACACACTTCTTCGTGTAGGATCCAGTTCACGATAACCTCCTCTTGCTCTGGAGTCAACTTTTGTTGCCTGGAGGCGGCGTCGCGATGCGAATTACCGTGACGAATACGGTAGGACAGTGTAGTCCCCTTGATACCGTACCGATGAGCTGCTACGGCCTGGGAAGAGCCCTGACGGACAAGCTCTTTAGCGCGTTCGATTCGCTGCTCAAAATCGTCCAGACTATTCTCCATTGGATTAGCCATTTTGTACGTAGATAGGGAGCAATTGCGAGGTAAATTGAGAGACGTCGTGTTGTTGAGGCGTAGAAATTCCCTGCAAAATGGGGGTGCATGCAAAAAGGTGGTCAATGCGGTTAGAACTTTGTGGCACTGTAACATCAGATGGTAGCACGATATTTCCCTCGACGTCTGTTCAGCAATTCCAACTAATTTTGGTGGCGTCTGCGACCGCTGGAATCTCTTTGCCAGCCTTAAATGATGACACACTCCTTTATTTTTCAATCTGACATTGTCTTTATTAGGCAATGGTGGGTAAATGTGGTTACCGGCTACGTCCCATTATTTCTGTTCCGCTCTAGTTCTCTCAGCATATAAACTCACCCTAGTTCTCTCAGCATATAAACTAACCCTAATTCGCTCAGCATATAAACTCACCTGCCCAATGCTGATACATTTCCCTTGGCGTATTCAAAAGTGTGTCGAGCCACCACCATATTTAGGTGTTGTATCTTTGAAGAAGGTGAATATATTCAATACTTTGGGGATAGGCGACGACACTTGTGAATAAGATAGAGGCATTCGTGCAATCACATTAACACCAAAAGCGATGAAAACCTCCATGATCTTGTGACACTAGTGCAGACCCGTGACTCCCACTTTGCGTGAAATCTTATATAACTCCCATCAAAGTCAACGACCAACCCAAGAACTTGGATCATACAGCTTTTGCATCAAACGTCTCGTTTGGATCACACTGTTTGTCATCCAGATAATACGTATGTGGCGTGGTGAACGTATATGCTAGGTGAAGTTACAGACGATCGCATGTGATAGTAAAGGATTGCTCCTGGGTTTATCCTTTGGCCTTGTTTTAAGAAAGCTCGCCCATACGTGTTGTTCGATATGGCATGTAGTCCGAGAGGTTCTTGGTAATGGCGAAAGACGCGAAGTTTTCCTACCAAATTTTAGATCTATCGGCTTTTGCCAAGTCGTAACATCTTGACCAATGCGGGGTGAAGTCTTCGCCTTTCATGCGGAAGGAATTAGTAGGAAGCTCATTGACTCTTTTGGTGAGCTCTTGGGGGTCGTCGTAATTCGTTGGTACGTCTGGCAATGATTCAACGAGGAGGTGTATCCAGAGAAAGGCACCTATAGATTCCACAATGTGACCCACTAGTTGTTTTGAGCGCAACACCTCTCGCTGAAACAGAATCTACATCGAATAAAATTTTCCTATTATCTCCTGGATGTAATGGCGGATGTATTTATTGGGTGGCTCATGCGTGCGAGAACTTGGCAGATCACAAATTTCGCCTCAAACGCTGCCTTAGGACGGCTCGACAATGAAACCTCGATTTTGGAGAAACCTAAGACCATCCCAATAAGAGCAAGCAAACCGGAAATGTTACTTGTTCAGACCTTGGTACCTCATTCATCAAGACCATCAACGGGGGAAAGGACATGACGTCTAGGCAAAGACAGGACGGATCCCTCAGAGCTCACTTGGCCTCCGGGTGACCAGGTATAGCGCGTTATTGGATTTTCCCCGAAACTCTATCGGTATGAAACCTTGCCTAATATCTAGAATTGGGTGTAATAGAGAGAGTTAAGACGACCATGCTCGGTTTACTCTTCATCTGAACCATGGTAAAATGAGTAGAAGGGGCCGGACACGGTGCTTTTTCCCGAAACCCAAATCTTGAGGCATTCTTCTGTTCTAGGTTCTTCTCTCAAACATTTATGACGATACTCCTGCCAGACCCAGATTTTTCGGTGATACAATACGTCTTCTCCTTCGGGGAAACCGACTAGGTTAGTCTATCACAAGGTTTCCGATATCCTCTAAGGTCTCAATATAGCCATTGCAGGGTTTACCCGTAGATACATGATAAGCTATCGTCATGTTCATGCATACCCTGTTATATCTTGATTCTCATCTCCTTCTTGTCAGAAAATGGGTGAGTTGATATATTTTGCAGCTTGTTTAACTAACACGAAATACTGTCGAACCGGTGACTACTCCAACCAAATGTGGCATTTTTCCTTGTATCTAATCTACATGGCTCTGATTCTCATGGCTTCTCAGGACATATCAACCAAGACCTTCAATACTAGATTTCCCTTCTCATCTTTCACCTTCGCAGCCATATTGAAAGCCTCGGGGATCTTGTCAAGGCCCTTATACCGTTGAGTGATGATTTTACCTACATCAGGCAACGCCTCATTTTTGCTTGCAAGCATGTTAATAACCTGCGGATACGTATTTGCGTATCTGAATACACCGACAAGATCAACTTCCTTAAGTGATGCTGCCGAAATCGGCAGCGTCTGGATTGGGGTTCCCATGCCGATGATCATGATTCTACCACCCGGTTTCGTCGACTGATTCGGTTAATAGCTGCGACCAAGCTCAATAAAAGGGGTAGCCTACATAAATTGCGGTATGCATGCAAGATTCCACACCAGTACACTCGAAAGTGACAGTAACCTCACCAACTGCCTCGCCTTTCACGGTGGATGCCAAGACCTTTTCTGCGAGATCCTTGGCAAATGCCAATTTATCCTCAATAGTCTGAGGTCTCGCCATGGGCACTACCAATGCCGCATCAGCAAAGCCATTCTCCACGGCGAAGTTGACACGGTCTGCTTGGATATCTGCGATGATGACTGATTTCGCCCCTGAGACTTTGCTCGCAGCCGCACACAGGAGGCCAACCGCGCCCGCACCGAGGACAAGGACTGTAGACCCGGGCTTCAAGTTTGCGCGGTCTCTTGCATGCATCGCCACCGACAATGGCTCGACTAGAGCTCCGTATTCCAACGAGACACTCGCCGGTAACCTGATCGGCGTCAGCTCTACTCAGCCACAACCATATACGCTGAATTGGGAATGTGGATAAGCAACCACGCACTTATGACACCATTTAGCCGGATGATTAACCATCTCCTGCAACGTGCCCTGAGAATGCGGGAACGCTTTAGCCGAGCTGCGGAAATTCATTCCCTTGCAGATGTTGTACCTGCCCTGTTTGCAGAGCTCGCACTCCTCGCACGGCAGGCCAACCTCGAGGGCAACCCGGTCGCCGACACTCAGGCTGCTCACTTCGGAGCCTGTAGCCATCACCACGCCAGCCGACTCGTGGCCCAAAGTCATAGGCTCTCGCACCAGAATGTCGCCGTTACGGTAGTGGCTGAAGTAGTGCAGGTCCGAGCCACAGAGGCCGGTGGCCTGCACGGCAACTTGGACTTCATTGGCTGCTGGGGCCGGGAGACTCCGGGTTTCCTGGGTATTGGGTAAGAAGAGTGCGGACAGAGGCCGAGAAGAATGGATCGAACTTACTACGCGGAGATCTTTCGCCCCGTGTAGAACTGAGGCTTTGACCTCTATGCTGGAGGGCATGATGATCGGCGAAATTCAGGTGTTGACTAGTAGTAACTTCAAATTTGAATGGCAGTGCCGTATGGAACTGGGGAGCAGAGTTGAAAGATAAATCACACGACACAACAGAAAAGAGTTGGTAAATACAATCATTGGATGGAGATCATGCAACTTTGAGGAAGTCAAGAGACAGTTTCACGATAGGCCCCTCATGTTCAAACTGACTATGACCCGGACAAGTCTCCATGATCCAATCACTTATCCAATCCCTCCGATATCGATTCTACGTCGGAAACCACTGGTGATGACAGGGTGCTTTCTCCCCTCAACTTGGATTCAAACCGGATCCGCCGATGCGGGCAGATGGAGCTTGTCCGCGGTCACTAATCGTCGACCGAATTTGCGCCGGCTTAAGCGAATTGAGAACGGCAGAACATTTTGCTGTTTTGGTGAAAATCGTCGTTAATGACCACAAAGCACAGTTGACTTACCCCGACTTATGAAGTCCGCATCAGCTCCTTACCCCACGTTTCGAGATAACTGAAAACAATTTTACTTCGTACCCCGGAGTGGAGTCCCGGGATAAGCTGTCATGACTCGTGGGTGAGATCGAAACGACCAACTAAATATAACGTACCCCACAAGCAAGTTGGCCACTTTTTCTTGGCACCGTATGAATAACTTCAATAACTTAACTAAACTAAAAAATAATAATTCAAACTAGTCGGAATCCTCTTCTTCGTACGTATGTTTATCATTCTCACAAGTACGAGCATTATGTCCGGGCTCTCCGCAGATCCTACAGCGCCGTCGGCGTGGTTCGGCCGGTCTCGTACGATGACGACTTACACGTATATCATCCTGTAGCTGCTGTTCAATATCCCGTTGAGACTGTAAGTCCTGAGCGTCTCGTAAACTAAGAGATCCTCCATCTTGTAGCTGTCGATTTTTAGTCCTTCGACGACGGCTTAGCTCTTGATTAGCCTTCCGAAGTGTAGTAACCTCATCCTCAAGTAAAACTAACCGATGCATAACAGCCGTCGCACCACGTGAAAATTGGTCAATAGCCGTAAGTATTGTCGTCGGGGAGCCATTCTGATGCTGTACGATTCTGTTTTTAACGTATTCAGACTGGGATTGCGCCTCGGTTGGGTTATTTGGAGTCTTTGATTCCCAGATTAAGGGGGCGCCAGACGAGCTCCCAGGAGGTGTAGGCGTATGTAGCTTAATATTCAGCTGTGAAATCACATATTCCGGGTCGTACGGAATAAGTCCTGTCCCCCCGAAACCTGCCTGGATATTCGACTTAGTTATAGTCGTACGATACTCCCTATAGAATGCCGAAAATAAAATAATATTAAATACGCCGTAGGTGTTAACCCTCGGTACCTCTACAAGTACTCCCTTAAGGGGCTATAGATGATATAGCGGGCCCTTAAGCCGCGTCGGGCGGTTATACAGGTAAACTTGTAGCCAAACGACTACTAAACCTCCTGTCCCTCCCTAAGTCTGTGCTACAACCCCTGCCTGAACTACCGATAAGCGTGGTAATGTGGCACTTAAATTCGTCCTCAGGGGTGGGATGCTGCTGATGTGCAGAAGATGCTCGACTATTTTTTTTTGTCGCGACAAGTCGTAGTATCTGCTAATTGGGGTTCTCGTCGAGCGTATACATCTCAACCATACGCTCAAGTGGATAGACCGTAACGTGGTCTAGACGCTCGCAAGAATCGCGGCGAGGGGGCGTGCTGCGCGCCTTCTATCGTGAGGGGACGGGTTCGCCGACGAGCGTTATCGGATAGGCGAGGTCCGATAAGGGGTCGGATTAACGATTCGAATTCTGGACCGGCTGTCGAGTTATATTCCGCCGACGTAGTGCTTGACGGTCGACTGGCTAGGATGCTCGTAATCCTAAACTGCACCAATCTCCCTATTATCGCTAGGTAGGCGAAGTCAACAAGGTGGGCAGCGCGCCGTAAGGGTTGACTAAACCCCCTTGTGTGTCAGCTGCGGGATTCGAACCCGCGACTCGTCACCAACCCAAGTGGGCGAGGCTCAAATCGGGACTTATCTACCAGCGAAGTGACCAACTACACCAGCCGACAAGCCGAAAATAAATCCTCCTTCGAGATATGGATTATATGCGCCCGTATTAGGTCTTCAGTTTCTTGACTAGATTGTCGAGTATCGCGTCGAGATAGTAGTCCGCGTTTTCGGTTAGCTAGAGTTGTACGAGGGACATTGTAGAGTTGGGCAGCGCGTCGGATGCTTAATTCGGGTTTCGATTGAAGCGCCTGACACGCTAGAATCATGTCGCTTTCTTTCCAATTTGATCCCATCTTGGTATGTGTAAAGATGTTAATTAAAAGGTTGTTCGTACGGTGCCAGGAAAAAGTGGCCAACTTGCTTGTGGGGTACGTTATCTGAAGCTCATAATACATTGACTAGGGGTGGATACTGCTGCGTTCTCTGGCTGCATCATTGAGTCAAGAATCTGCAAAAATCCTCTTGTCAACCCTACCTCACAAAGTGTGAGAGTTGGTTGCATACAAGTTTCAGCAAGTCTCATCGCAACACTTAAAAACTCTAAAATCCGAGGCGTCAATATTTTGTGTCTCGTATGTTCTATTCAGTGTGAGGGATTTAGAGTCTTCACTTCACCAACACACTGGAGGGCTTGATAAACATATCTTCTTTCAGATGGCCCTGTAATATAGCTTTTACAATTACCGTATTTGTTGGGAGAATGGCGTCAACTTATATGCGTTAATGGGGTCAATCATTGAATACAAACCCGACACCAACATGATACGAGAAGATGCTTTTTAAAAGTTGAACAGAAAGTCAAGATTCGACAGCAAAAGTTTCGAATCAGTATCCACAGCTCCAACTCCCATATGTACGAACTAAATGTCTTCAACATCTTCACCACGTACCTACAGAGGGGGTTTGCGCCTGTCGCCAGATTCGCTATGAATTTTCCAAACGACCCATCTACGTGCACTGCTGCCACTGCCGATACTGTCAACGCGAAACGGGCGCACCATTCGCCCTGAACGCCATGTACGAGGCCGATTCGGTCAAACTCACCAATCCCGACATGAAACCCGAGATCATCTGCACCCCGACCGCGAGCGGCAACCCGCAGTCGATCGCCCGTTGTCCAAGCTGCAAAGTCGCCGTTTGGAGCCACTACGGTTCACATGGCGGTGATCTGATCAGTTTTGTGAGAATCGGTACGTTGGACGAGCCGGATCTATTCCCGCCAGATATGCATATTTACACGGCGAGCCAGCAGCTGTGGGTGAAGCTGGGAGATGAGGTGTTGGCGGTGGACAAGTTTTATGATCGAACGGAGTATTGGCCGAAAGAGAAGTTGGAAAGGTTTGCGAAGGTGTCTGAGAAGGGTGAGAAGACAGAATGAAGGAGTATGTTGCTTGAGATATTTGTTACAAGGGCTTCGATGTGAACTACGGAGAGCCGGTTACTCAGAGGAGGCCTTTTACCTCTGAGCTATGTATCGTTCATCCATTTGCGGTCTTGAAAAGAACATGATTCTACCCCATTTGCTCATCAACACCAGCTCATGTCGTCGGATAGTTTCATAGTGTAATAGGATAAAATGATGATTGAAACTGGTGAATGGTGAGCTTATCTCAATGGTAAGAAACGCTGACTGCCGAATTATGGTAAATTCTCTCACGAGTCGTCCTTGTCAAGGTTCGGGAGTCTCTTTGAGGACAGGGCCCAATATTGAATAAATATCGTGAAAATCGCCGATTTTGGCCATAAGAGGATTCGAGTTTGTGGGGTGACGGCTACAGCCGAGTATGGTACCAAAACGGGACCATGATCACCTGTCAGAAAAATAGAACGTCATGCCTCTAGTCAAGCGAGTTTGCATGACAATTAACGTCTTGTGACTGGTGAAGGTTGAGAATACGCAGCATAAGTTGTGATCAGCGGCATCGGAGACCGATTCGGCATCCAATCTCTGTGGGTCCGCCTCGGCATCTTTCCTACCATAGTTCCCTCCAAATGCGGTATATTCCCAGGGGACTTAAAACTCCTTGGGAAAGTGCTCTTGGTTCGAAGTGTCTCCAGATACTTATGTCACACAGCCGTGGTGATATAACTGGAAACGAAGATATCAAAATGGCTAGCCTATTCTCACTCGAGGGAGAAACGGCTCTGATCACCGGTGGCACTAGAGGCATCGGACAAGCCGTGGCAGTTGCTTTAGCCGAAGCTGGAGCTGATATTCTGTTAGTTCAGGTATGTGTCATTGAAACATGCCACGATACATTTCGAAAGACTCAAGCTAACGCTTCAACAGGGCAAGACACCAGCAACAGAAACTCAAAAGGCCGTTGAATCATTGGGTCGCAAAGTCTCTGTATATACCTTGAATCTAAGCTCAGCAGAGGACGTATCAAAGCTAGTACCTAAAATTCTAGCCGACGGCCACACGATCCGGATCCTCATCAACTGCGCAGGTATCCAGATCCGCCACCCCCCCGAGGTCTTTCCTGATAGCGATTTCAACCAGGCAAGTCTTACTAAGTTTCGTTTCGCGAAGTAATCTAACATCGATGGTATCAAGTATTGTTAACATTGATGAGAGCAGGTCATGCAAGTAAACCTCAACTCTGTCTTCACCATCTGCCGCGACGTCGGCGCCCACATGCTCAAGCTGGACCCCTCTTCCGTGACGGGCCGACGGGGCAGTATCATCAACTTCGGCTCTCTGCTCACCTTCCAAGGCGGGCTAAATGTGCCCGCCTACGCGGCTTCCAAGGGCGCCGTGGGCCAGCTGACCAAGAGTTTTGCCAATGGCTGGTCCGACAAGGGCGTCACGGTGAACTGCATTGCGCCTGGGTATATTGAGACAGACATGAATACGGCTTTGCTCAACGACAAAGAAAGGTTGGCGAGTATCAGTGCGAGGATTCCCGCCGGAAGGTGGGGTGCGCCGGATGACTTTAAAGGGTCGGTCGTGTTTCTTGCTAGTAAGGCGAGTGCATATGTCACCGGACATACGCTTGTGGTTGATGGCGGCTGGATGGGCCGGTAGACAATGCCAATAAGCAATTAAAATAAATATGTCGACTTTGAAGAGGAATATCGTATTGATGCTTTCAGAACTGAGATGTGCCAGAAACAAATACATTGGATGAGACTATTCAAGTAGTGGACTTTTCCAATGTTCTCACATCCTTCAAGGTTCCCATTACCGATTCCATCCAGGGGTATACCGACGCATTGGCCATCGGATATCCCATGTGTAGAGCGTTCGAGTAAAATCTGGCTTCCTTTGGGGAGCCGTACTCGAAAAGCATCGTAGAGTCCTCAATTGGCATCAGCCCATCATGAGTACCCTGCTGAGCGTCAGAAAAAGTCAGATTTTTAACAGACTGTCAACTTACGTTAATCAACAGAAGTCTGCACGAAGGCTTCTGGATAATCCCCCCCTCAAGTAGGGAGAACTTTGCCTGCGCGCCATCCATATACTCCTCGACGCTCTTGTACCCGTGCTTCATCGCCAAAGCCGGCGTGAGCTGGAAGGGGTACTCGTGTCCATCAGCTTTCTCCAACCACTGACGGTCGAAGAAGTAATGACACCCAGCTCCGTGAGCAACACAGCCACGAAGCCGGTCCTTATGAGTATGGGCGATGCGTATTGCGTAATAACCTCCGGAGCTGAGACCCCAGCACATCAAATGAGACATGTCGAAACGACCGTCCTTGCCCATCCACTCAAAAACGCTGTCCCACAGTCTGTCTGGACTTTCCGGGTCCGCCGGATCCGCCGGGCAGTCGGCCGTCCCCGGAATCTCCGCTATGACGGCTGCCCAGCCCCGGGCGAGAAACTCTTCACAGCGGAGGGTGTTGTCTGGGCGATAACCGTCCAGCCCAGTCAGAAGTAGAACAGCCGGACATTTCTTCCCATTCATCTTCTCCGGCACACGAACATAAACAGGGATTGAATCTCGGTCTGCCCCCTTTTTGTGGGCATGGGGTATATCCACCTCCTGTAGCGGCGACGTCCACCACTTCCCCGCCTTAGCATAAACCTGCTTCTGAAACTCCCAAGCCTTCCATTTCTCAGAACAGCTGATTTCAGGAAACGAAGTGATGTACGGAAACCTGGCAATACGCAAGATGCACGCTGCCCGCAAATACAAGTCACTGGCTTTTTCCTTTTCTCCATCCTTTGTAGCCTCATCACCCTTCGTATCGAGCGCCTGGGCTACGGGCATAAACGCCCGCGTGTACTCGATGGATGTGCCATCATTGATATCCTTTTCAATTAGATGATTGAAAATAGGCTCGAAATCCTCAAATTGACCGTCGTGGAAGGGATACACGGACTTGGTGCACGGAAACTTCCACTTGGTTTCCCATAAGGCCTTGATACCGTCATGATGCGGCATACGGCGCGAGAACGCCTCAGCGCCCATGCTCCAATGGCGCGACAGCGGAGAGGACGAGGATGAAGGGGCGGCAGCTTCTTCGGCAGAGCCGCCATCGACCTTGTGGGGCGACATGGTGAGGAGTCTAAGGGATTACGAGGAATCCGCTGTCTGCGGCGTAATTTCTAGCGGTGCCGAGGCGTGTCACGACGACTTTGCCCGACTTCTTGCGAATCACGACACGAGGGCTGTTATACCAGTTGCTTCTCTCGCGAACTCTGCTGAGTTGTTAGCCATTGACCAATATCTTCGTAGCTGGAAGACGCCGTTGTGAAATGTACGTGTTCACGCTTGGAGGGTATGTAGGTCTTTCAGTGAATCACTTACTCTCGTTGTGTTATAGCAATATTTGTTCGAATCAAAGCGTTGCGAATCCACTTATCGTTCGAAGCGCCCATGTTTGGAACGGGCTGTGGTTATCGACTTTTATATAAGAATGCTACTCAACGGGATAATTGTTGTGCGACAGACCCCGAGACTTAGTTGGGGATATCCGAAGTCCGAAGTAGTGATGGCCGAGTGTTTGTCGTCAAACCAGGGCGGCAGGGTGAAGTAGGTATTATGAGGACATCCGTAACAATTGTCGCACTCAAGCCTGCATCCTTGAAATGGAGCGAGGAAGACGATTAAATAGACAAGAGGAAAGTGAAAACGTGGCTTCGGCTTCTGACCTGTTTGAGTTTCCTGAGCGACCCAGGCCTGCAGGTTGCGCAGCATGTGTCTGTACTATGAGAACTGTCAGTCAGCCCCAGCCGCGAACAAAACCCAAGCGCCTCCCACACTCCCGTCGCGGCCACTCCATAGATGACAATAGCTGGCCACAATGGGTGTTTGCATAAGATAATTGCGTCAAGGGCGTAGCACGTTTCCGGCTTTGAACGGATTCTCAAACTAATAGCCGCATGCCAGTGGTTGTATAGTTAAGTTTCGGAGAGGTCACGAGCCTGAGTCGCCGTCTGTGCGGGGAGCCACTGGTGCATTTGCACATGCAAAACGGGCTGTAAAAACTGCAAAGTTGGTTGCATTGGGTTCGGTTTTTTGCATACCTCGCGTCGGTCGACCACATTATATCCCCTACTATTCGGATCTATCCCTTTTCCATGATTCGTATATACCAAAAATGCAACCCGAACTCCCATCTATAGCTTTAGCTCTAGCCGGCCTGTGATCAGCCGACATTCTCAGAGCCTCCCATTCTACTTCATGCTCTTGCGGCGGAAGTGGCACTAAATGTTGATATGGGGAGCATCACTGGGCCTTACTTTTGTCTCCGTCGTAATAATGTGCCATTTCGAGGCCAGCACGTCTGAAGCCGCACTTGACATAGAAACCTTCGTTTGCTTCGCTACAGTCCAGAATTGTCTTGTAGCAGCCGACCTTCTCGGCGATAAAGTCGAGCGCCTGGATCAGGCGCAGGCCCAGCTTCTTTCCTTGCTGATCTTTGGCCACGGCAATGTCTTCGATGTGGCCGACGAGACCGAGGCTATGGATGCTGAAGGGAAACAAAGAGGTTAGCGACGGTTGCACATGTGCTTGCCCTGTTCTTCCAAATGGCTCAATTGTGCTCCAACCCTTGAAAAGGCATGCCGTGACTCGAACTCAATCGTGGGAAGAGAACCCAGGCTTGTGTGTGGGAATTGGGTGGTCTGATTCTTACAACTTGCGCTCCACGATCAAAGCCCCGGTTCCAACGATGGTGGGCTTGCCGTCACGAACCTCCTCAATCACCAGCACGTAGTATCCGTCATGACCCGTCATCCATTGGTACCTTTCGTTGAACTGAGCCTTGCTAATCTCCCCAACCGTGGTCAAGACCCGCAGACAGTCAAGGAATCCAATATCGTAATCGGATTGACTAAGAGCGCGGAGGGTATAGTTCTCGGGGAGCGCTGAGGCGACGGAGGGGGACACGAGGTCGGACGAGAAAAGTCCCTGATCGGCCATGTTGACCGAGAGTGGCGGATAGTGAAGTTATTCAAGAGCGAATATATGTCGTGGTTTTTATTTGAAAGGAGTGTGGGAAACGATTGAGAAAACGATCAGACTTCGTAGAGGTTTGGCGCGGGAATAAGAGCGAGGAAACAAAGAGACGTTATTTTGATAGACAGGTTGAACGAAGCAACGCTCGACTTTTCTTTTCACTAGGGCTGAAAGTAAATTCCTTCCGAAAGATGGAAGATGTACATCATATTCTAGGTTAGGAAGGGGATACAGCTTGTCACCAAGACCCCTGAATGGATCGCTTTACGGGGTAACCTGGAGCTCAGCCTCACATGGACCCAATGACAGAGAGCTGTGCAGCAAGGAAACCCACCGAATGCCGCTAATAATAGCACGTATAGAGTGGGAACCCCTGCAAGCACCGTGGGCCGTGGCTGCTGATGTCAATACCGAATTAATTTCTATCAAACACATGGAACAAACATTGAACGCGACTAGAAGTCGCTCAAGTGAGGTGCTCAAGCGATGCAAACGAGATTTAATGTTAAGAAAGTTTATCCCGAGATTACAAGCTGATCGGCTTCTGGCGGCTCACGAGTTGGTTAGTTCCTCCTCATTTCCCCGGTTTCGACCACGCGGTTTGATCTCTAGCTCGCGAGACGAATAGCCTGCGACATCGAATCACGATGTTGAGATCGCACCCGGTAGCCGGCAGGAATTATGGAGTAGTTCGTATGCCATGCATTGTTCAAGTTCCACAGCTTGTTGGCTTCCCCGTCTGATCGCTCCGGCTCGCTCTCATTGTTCTGCTCATTCTCGGCCTGCCATTCCCTCGGTATGAGACCCTCTCTTCCCTGCAAGCACGAGGACCTGCATGTCTGCCAGGGGGATTGTCAGGGGCATCGTAGCCGACATGGACGACACGACGAGTTGTTGGGAATGCTCCCAGGACAGCACATCCCATTGCATAACTGTGACCCCCCCGCTGCCCACTACTTATGATAGCGCTAAAGCCAGCCCCATCAAGATCCTTTGGGGCATATTTTAAAGTTCCTGGCGGCCGAACTGGTACTCAAATGCTCACCAACAAGCCTAACCAAGCCTGCCCCGCACACCGTCACATGCGCTCAGTGACGAAACCACCCAACGTTGGGTCGAAGTCTGGACGAAACATTCCGCGTCTGTCGCCACCAATTTGGCTGGTATTGTCGCGCTGCGCTACCTTGCGCGTGTTGAAATGAAATGTCAATATCAAATTATCTTCATCATGTAACTTGAGCCGTCGACGTGGGGAGACTGAACCATCGTTTTTCACTCCCTTCCAACGCAAGTCTATGTAGCTCGTCAAACTTCCTGCCACCGCCACCATGGACCCTGACGACTCTGCAGACGATGTTGGCGACGAGCTCATCCCTTTCGACGATACCAATTTCCACGACCGCGATCTCATCCCCGCTTCGCCTGGTCGGACCCTGCTTCCCAGCCCAATCGCCAGCGCAGTAAGCTTTGCGACTCGATCGACGTCATTGGCCCTCCGTGTGGGCACCTTCATCGGTGGATACAGCTTGAGCGCGGCCAAATTTACAACACTTTCGAGTCTTGAGCTGGGTCGCGGCATCCTCGAGGGCATACTCAGCAGAGCTGGACGAGATGTTATCGTTAGATCTCGGTCTGAGCTGGGCAGGGACAATGCCGAGACCATACTGGAAAGAAGTTTGGAAAACCTCCATCAGACTATGACACAAATTGTCTTTTGGACCACAACAGGGTTTCACATCACTGGTACAACCGTCTCAACGGTATCACAGATATCACATCTGTTTTTATCGGTGCTTGATCAGTTCTTTGGTTCCACCGATTCCTCGAAAGCCATTGCAAGCATCATCACCCTTATTCGTCGCGAATTTCAAAACCCCGCGACTGGTGTCCAGGGAGAAAGAGTTGGAGTTGTCGACTTGATATTGGGATTGTGTGGACTTGCATATTTACAGAACTGGTGTCGGCGAATGATACAGGAGGAGACTCGCCGCCTGGGTCATGAAGAAGTCATTTGGGACGTCGTGGTCCTCAACGATGGCGAGAGGGTTGATGTTCATGAGGACAGTCTGTATGGTGTGCACAAGGGGCGATACGGTCAAGCCAGTGCCATGAATAACAGCGACGGCATCATCGAGGCCATTGAACAGCACGGAGCACAAGATAGTGGCTCTGAGGATGAGCTGCCCGAAATCCATCTTAAGAGACAGATCATGGGCTCGTTACCTAAAGATGCAAGTGTGTCCATCTCGACGGCCACAAACACCACCAAGACCATCACCGTCGAAATCAAGGGCACTCCCGATGTCCCTCTGTTGGCTCCGCCGGGAGCTGATGTCATTGAAAGCGAAATCACCACTCCAGATGTTCTACCAAGCGGCATGCGGGATTCAACCCCGACGTACCGAGTTGTATATCGCATTAGTCGAAATAAAATGAGGAGCACCGCCATGCAGCGAAGAAACGACGAAGACACGCCTCGTGTCGAGGTTATCTCGGATTCCGATGAGAAGTCCGTTGAATCTCCGCCTCCACGCGACTATTCTTACCAAGATCCTCCCCCAGTACCGCCGAAACCGATGAGATCCACAACTGTCCCCGTCTTCTCAAAGGAGGATAGTGCTGCACCAGATAGACCTTCGCGCCAACACCGCTCGGTTTCCTCAACTGGCTCCGCTTGCAGCTCGATGACTTCGCCTAAGGACCGGACCTCTCAAATCCCAGTACCAAAGCCTACGCCTGAAAATGCTGCGAATCAGAAACGAATTCGACAACCACTTGGTGGCCCTAAACGCGCCGAAGAAGCACCTGCTATGACAAGGGTTGCGAGTAAAGCATCGTCCAAACCACCCAAAGACGCCGAGGCAGCGGCGTCTATGAAGGTACCTGAGAAAAGGGGTGGCCTTCGGAACGTATGGAAGAAAGGCTCTGTCCAAGGCATTGCCAATTTGCTGAACAAGGACTCGAGCAGCGAGAATGTTTCAACGGTAGGAAAACAGAAGCAAGGTGGAATCAAGCCGCCGTGGGGCAGCTACAAGCCATCTCAGAACAAGAGCGTCGTCAGTCAAAGTCGAGTTGCTGTACCAGAACGAAACGCCAGCATGCTTCCTGCACGCGAACCACCACGTCCTCCGCAGCGAGGGAATCCGAACTTCTTCTCATCTAGAGACCTAGGCCATTTCGAAGACGGTTCTCCAGTCAAGAGAAGCCAGTCGCGCTCGAGTTATGTTGCCGTGCATGAGCGTCGGCGGAATTCGACCGTATCTCAAACAGACACATTTTCGATACATTCATTTGAAAGCCGACCGACTTCCCCCACCTATTATAGAACAGAGTATAGGTCAAGCAACATGTCCAAGTCCAAGTCTGGAAACGACATCGTTGACTTGGCTCCACCTTCACCTCCCAAACACCATCATAGGGCTAGATCCCAGGTTGGCAGTATGTACTCTCCAAGTATATACACCTTGAAGACGGGCGGCTCGCAGACGTCGTTGGTTCTGTCGTCATATCATCAGAAGAGTGCGTATAGCGACTCGGAAGCAGTGGATACGCTAAGAAGAACCGGAATGGTCGATGGCATGTTCCCAAGTTTCCACATTCTCAGGAATATCACTCGCTACAGTCGCTACGCTTCGGCTGCCTACGGATCCAATTTTCTCAAAATGATGGGTATTGCGAAAGAGATGCCGGTGTTGAAAGCACTTGACGAAATGCATCAAGATGTTCGCTCTTTCGCTCAACACACCGAGCTGCCACCGGACAGCATTCTGTTGTCGTCTTTCGTTGATCCTCAGGGCGGATCGGACTCCACCGGCTCTACTGACACCGGTGTGCCTCTCGTTCACACCGTTTCTTTGGATGAGGAATCGAAGGCTGTGGTTCTTGCTTGTCGAGGGACCTTGGGATTCGAGGATGTCCTTGCCGATATGATGTGCGAATATGATGATCTGCTCTGGCGTGGCAAAACCTATAAGGTGCACAAGGGCATACATGCATCTGCCCGCCGGCTGCTTTACGGTGGCGACGGAAGGGTTCTTGTTACTCTGAAGGAAGCTCTCGAGGAGTTCCCAGATTATGGGTTGATTTTGTGCGGCCATTCTCTTGGAGGCGCTGTGACAGCACTACTTGGAGTCATGCTGGCAGAACCTGCTACGATGGGTACTGCCTTTGTTACCTCCGCCCAACAATACAAACGACTTCTGACCGATGGTCACACCTCTGCAGCTGATACTAGCCACATTTGCTTGCCATCGGGGAGGCCGATACACGTCTACGCGTACGGCCCTCCTGCAACCATGTCCCCGTCGCTTCAGAAGGCGACCAGGGGCTTGATCACCAGCACTGTTCACGGAAACGACTTAGTTCCCTATTTGTCCTTGGGGGTTTTGCACGATTTTCAGGCTCTCGCACTCGCGTTTAAGACAGACAACAGCGATGCCAAAGCCGAAGTTCGCCGCCGTATATGGGAAGGTCTGCAGTCTGGCTTGGCGGACAGGTGGTATAACAACGCACCCAAATCCTCCAATGGTGAAGAAGACAAATGGGCTTATGCAGCGCTCAAGACGCTGCGTGCTACGATGATGAGTTCAAAACTACTGCCACCAGGAGAGGTGTTTGCGGTAGAGAGCACTCCGGCTCTGCGAAGAGACGCATTCCTACAAGCAGGAGAAGAGCAGATTGGGCGGCCAGCCACGCGAATTGTGCTCAAATACGTCCGGGATGTTGAAGTTCGGTTCCGCGAGGTGCGATTTGGCTCGAGCATGTTGACGGATCACAGCCCAGGAAGGTATGAAGATACTCTTAGACGCTTGACCTTGGGCGTTGTGGATTCATAATCTGTACCGGATTAAAATATATGGGCTAGAATGACGCTGGCGTTCGCATGTGCATACCCTTATTCCGTTATAGTAGACTAGGATTGGGTATTTGGGCGGCTCACATCAGATTGACGCAATTTGCATATGAGGAAATTGGATTACAGGAGCACAACTGGACGAGTCAACTTTTTCTTAATAACGTTATACACATGTATCTGTATACTGCATCAACAGGTTCAATAATATGGTCGGTCGTTGAATCACTCATTCGGGCTTCTCGATCATTATCTTGCCCTCCTTGTCATAAAAGATTTCCTTGACCTTGATGCACCGAAGATGGTCCACTCCTTTGCTCAACTCACAATCATGGTGGAACAGGAACCATCTGCCTTGAAATTCAACAATGGAGTGGTGCGTCGTCCATCCAAGAACAGGCTCCAAAATCCTCCCAGCATAAGTGAACGGCCCTGACGGACTCGTTGACGTCGCATAAACCAGGTAATGCGAGTCTCCCGTCGAGTAGCTGAAATAATACAGCCCATCCTTCTTGTGCATCCACGCCGCCTCAAAAAAGCGGCGGTCATGGTCGTCCGCATTGATAGGCTCGCCCGTCTCAGGCGCCAGGATAACCAGATCCTGTACCTCTCCGTCAAAACTGCGCATTTCATCGGATAGTTTGGCCACCTTGGGAAATAAGGCCTTCTTTCCCACTCCCGCCGGCTCCTGGGGTCCCAGCCATTTCTCATCAAACCTGTCGTACCCTCCTTGATAGCACTGCAGCTGCCCACCCCACAACCCCCCGAAATATAAGTACGCCTGCCCATCCGCCTCATCCACGAAACTCGCCGGGTCAATACTAAAACTCCCCTTAATCGGCTCCGGATCCGGCTTAAAAGGGCCCTCGGGCTGATCCCCCACAGCGACACCGATGCGAAACACGCCCGCCTTGTCGCGAGCTGGAAAATACAAGTAGTATTTCCCGTTCTTGGCGGCGGCGTCCGGGGCCCAGAGCTGCTTGCCGACCCAGGGCACGTCCTCGGTGCGTAGGACGACGCCGTGATCCACGACGTCGGTGTAGGGCGCGTCGAGCGACGACATACTGAAGACGTGGTAGTCGGCCATGTCGTACTGGTCGCCGTTGTCGTTGAAGGCGATGTCCGTCTCGCGATCATGGGACGGGTAGACATACACCCGGTTGTTGAAGACGTGGGCTGAGGGGTCGGCGGTATAGAGGTGGGTTATTAGAGGGGGAGACATCTTGGCGCGGGAGTGGGAGGGTGTTGGAGGGAGATGAAATTTGGAAGACTGTGGGGTATGTACTGTTCACGATGCTTGATCTTGGTGGTGTATATCGAGTCCATTTGCTACTGGGAAGAGTGTAAAAGTGGTTACAATCCGGCAATTGGACAACTTGCAGTCCCGAGGCTGACAATTGCAGATACAGGATGCCAGCTTAGTCCTTTATACTTGACGTTGCTTGGCGATGGGGTCTTGGTGCTCATCGGCGGAATGGGTGGGATGTTACATTTATCCCTATTTAGCCGCCTTTATCCATTGATGCGCCGCATCGTGGGTCCCTAACCACCGGAAGCTTGGCGATGGTAGGGTCCGACATATTAGCGATTCTTTTCTATCCGCGAATCGTGTTCACATTCTACTTTAGTCATCTTAACACTGTTGTAGGACCGAACTATTTGGTTTGATGTAATGACTATGTATATGCGCAGTGAGCGATGTTTCCTACATCGTAGGAACTTTTGAATTACTATTTGAGGATATGGGTATATCCATAAGATGAGCTTCCATTATCCCATCATATTAATGTGTGATCTGACTTATATGAGCACTGCTTAGGAGTGTTTGCGTTCGAGAAATCTGAAAACGAGAAGAAAAGGGTGAGATACTTGTGCCGTTGTGATCCTTCACCTTACACCATTAGTGTCATAAAGTGAGATTGCCCCTTACAAAGTGACCATATGATCTTAGGCCTGAAATAGGAAGGTAGTTATGTGAAATTCTGACATTTTACATTTCACGTACTCTTGCCATTCTTCGGGATGTCTGGCCATGCAGAGGACCTCATACAAGATGACCATGAGTCATCATATAACGGAATTCATAGTACGTCAACATTTAAGTGCTAGGAACTGATCAAAATTGCATGCAGGCCGCTATAGCGTGAAGGTTCTCCCGTTTTTAGTTGTGACAGGATTTAGGAGTGTATGCAATTGCAAGGCTAACGACATGAGGCTCCGACTTTGTTGCTCACAACTACGACATTCAAGACATAATTCTGGACAGGATTAAATAATTTTTATCGACCGAGATTCCTCCTAGGTTGAGGCCACCAATGCCTTTAGTACAAACATGTTATCATGTCCAGTCATACGGACTGGGCTTGGTAGCCAATACGGTCTTTATACAGTGAAGTAAAACTCCCCAAACACTTGAATCGGTCGGTGGTATTATGCCCGATCTTACTCAAAGCCACAAGAACTCAATAAGTGTCTGCGAAATTATGACATGTAGTGCCATGCAATCATTCAACACCGGACATCGACTTAAATTAGCATCGCCATTATTTAGTGCCGTTCTCTGCTATGATCATCGGTGGGGTCATACGAAACGTAAGATTTAGATATTGCCGGACATGGGTACTGGGACCAAATATCTATCAAGTATATAGTCTCTGCTTACTAGGAACCGAAGCAACTAACCCATTCATCATACTTCACGGCTTAAAAGTGCAAGCAATGCGACTACTATTTTGTCCCCAAGATTTGTCAATTGAACAAGAGGAAGCCCTCATAGAACCTACAAACACATGCTGAATCTCCCAGTTTCGGACCGAGTGGCTGCTTACGATGGTTAGTAAGCTCCAGGATTTTGATTAAATCAAGTTCAGCTAAGCTAACTACTGGCAACACGACCTGCGGCCTTACCTATTACAGAAGGCCGTAACTGCGCCTGTAGCCCCTGTTATTTGAACATCGTAGGAACATTCGACTTGACGCACACGCTGCACTTTTATAAGATGAGGTCAACGCTCTTCTCTGCGACGAAACTTTACCTAGGAAATTTGGATCTTAGAACCACACGCTCACTTATTTCCAGACGTTGCGAAAGGGTCTTTCAAAATGCAATTGTTTTGGCTACTCGCAGTGACTGGCGTCAGCGCCTGGATGCCACCATACAAAATTCGGGGTGTCAACCTCGGGGGCTGGATGATCTCCGAGCCGTGGATGATGGACAGCGAGTGGCGAACGATGGGCTGCTACAACGGCAATCAAAAAATGTGTTCCGAGTTTGACTGCGTTGCGTTTCTCGGTCAAGCCACGGCGGATACCAGCTTCAACGCCCACTACGCGCGATGGATCACTGTTGATGATATTCAGCGCATCCACGATGTTGGTCTGAATACCATCCGCATCCCACTAGGCTACTGGACATACCGCGACATTGTATACGAAGACAACGAGCATTTCCCGCATGTGGATTTGAAATATCTCGATAATATCATCGCCAAGGCCGCTAGTCTCGGTATGTTTGTCGTCATTGACTTACACGGTGCTCCTTTTGCACAGAAAGCTAGTGATGCTTTCACAGGACAGGTACGAATATGCATTCTATACACATGGATGAGTTGAGATCTTAGGCTAATATCTCGGTAGTGTCTCCCCTCCTCGGCCTTCCCGGCTTTCTTCCAGCAGTCCCAGTATGATCGGGCTTCACAGTGGCTGTCGTGGATGACAGAGCGTATCCACAACACACCATCTTACAAAGCCACCATCGGCATTATTGAGGTTGTCAACGAGCCCCAGACTGACCGGGACTCGGGCGGCATGCCCCAGGCTGAGAGGGATACTCTTACCCAAGTCTACTACCCGCAGGCACTGCAGGCCGTCCGCAGCAAGGAGGCATCTTTGAACGTCTTGGCCAGCCAGCAGCTGCACGTGCAGTTTATGGACCAGCTTTGGGGTGCGGGAAACCCGAAGTCCAACCTACCCTCTCTAACATCGGTAGCCTTCGACGACCACAACTACGTGGGTGGTGCTATCCCGCAAGGGACCGGCGCCAAACAGGCCGACTACATGTGGTACACTTGCTACGACGACAATCGCCTCTCAGACGGAAACACGCCTAAGGTCGTTCAGGAATTCAGCCTGACGGTGCTGGGGGATATCGAGTGGAATTCTGAATTTGACCCCTTTGCCAGCCAGAACCAGGCATTCTACCAGCAGTGGTGGATCGCGCAGCAACGATTGTACGAGAAGACGAATGGGTGGATTTTCTGGACTTGGAAGACCCAGCTAGGCAATCCGCGCTGGGACTACTCGGCTGCTGTGACTCAGGGGTTCATTCCTGGGAGTCAGGCGGGGTTGGATCAGGCGGCTAGTCGTGATGTATGCAGCGAGTACTTTGGGAACTGAGTATGGCTGTGCAGATACTCTTAGAGATGTGCTGAATATTGCGACAGATGGAAGGATTGGGATGATGTTATGGATGTAACGATTATCTTGAGCACAGAGTAAACAATACTTCTCCAATCTCAACACCTCAATCCCCTAATGAAACCCTATGTTCGAAGAGTAAAATGACGTATCACAACGGGATCGAATACCCGAGCCATGCGTTTCATTTGAACGCATACCTCTCGTATAGTTGGGCTCCTTTCACACCATTTAGTTCAAGGTTGGTTACAATAGAGAATGCGATATCCTCTCTAGTATCATATGATTTACATTTACATGTAACCTTGATGATGTAGTAGGCTTAAACCATTAATCAATCGCCTGTAGCGTTCGTGAGTCTTGCGATAACGTATTTCACCCCCATTCCGACACCCCTGTAAACCCCAACAATAACCACACCGCTATTTACATTATCCTTTTATTTCTCAACCACTTTTGCTTCAATTGACTTTATTCCAAGTATTCGATCTGATCTGCTATCAATGCCTTCATATACGGAAGAAGACCTCGCTGCCGCCGTTCTAGACGTCGCAAATGGTAAATCTGTGCGACGCGCTGGCCTGGATTGGGGTATACCAAGGACTACACTTATCGACAGACTTCAAGGCGCTGAATCAAGAAAAACACTTAGCAGACTGGGTTTTGGTCCAGGAAGCCCTTGGACTAGCCGCAACGCACGCGCAAATCAAGGAGCTCGCGCAGCGCGTCCTAGCCCTCAAAGGTGACCACCAACTACTCGGCAAGAATTGGCTGGAAGCCTTTCTAAAGCGTCACCCAGCACTAAGACTAAAAAGCAACGCCCTATCGACTCTCAGCGTATCGATGGCGCGTCTACCGAGGTAATCCAAGCCTGGTTTGCTTCAAAATTACGTATTCCTGCAATTCAAGCGATTAAGCCGCAATGCAGGTATAATATGGATGAGCATGGCCTTATGGAGGGTCAACGGGGCTCTGGGCTAGTTGTCGGGAGCGCTACCTTACGCCCAATACACCAGAAACAGCCTGGTTCGAGGGCGTGGACGTCAATTTTGGAATGTGTGGATGCCCTCGGCAATACCTTTTCCCCCCTGGTTATTTTCAAGGGCAAGGACGTCCAAGAGCAGTGGTTCCCTGATAAAAATCTTCAGGACTTCAAGGACTGGCGCTTCAAGGCATCCCCCAAGGGCTGGACAGACGATACGATAGCTATCAAATGGCTTGAAGACGTTTTTATACCCCTTACGCTTCCTCAGGACCCTTCAGACACTCGTTTACTTATTTTGGATGGTCACGGTAGTCACAAAACTGATACTTTTATGTCTCTTTGCTATCAAAACAACATATACTTATTATTTTTACCCCCACACTCATCTCATGTCCTTCAGCCCCTCGATGTTGGGGTGTTCTCAGCTATGAAAACGGCATATCGCAAGGAGGTCGGGTTTTTAACCCTATTAACTGATTCAGCACCTATTGGCAAGCGGAATTTTATGCGCTGTTACGCCAGAGCACGCCGGAGGGCCCTAACGGCTCAAAATATCAAGTCTGGTTGGCGTACAAGTGGTCTATGGCCCCTAAATGTCGCTAGGTCCCTTACTAGCCCTCTTCTGCTTGAAAATGCAATCGCACACGTCACCAAGGTCCAGACATTCTTATTACAACCCAGAAAGTCCAGAAAATGCTCCAGACGCCTTCAGAGGGCAATGTTGTATGGTCAACGCCAAAGAAGAGCGTAGATATAGAGCGCCAGTTTAGGGAGTTCAATCGACTCCAACAAACTAACATGACTACACAACGCCAGCTATTTAGAAAGATGAAAAAAGGGTTTGATGAGAAGGATTATCTATTAGTAAGCGCAGAATTACAAATTGAGGGCTTGAAACAGCGATTAGAGCTTATGAAGCCACGGAAAAAAAGAAGGTGCAAATAAGTCCAAACGCGAAATTCGCAAGGATTGAGGACGTACGGCGGATAAGGGAAGTATCTAATGAAGCTCTTGTTGATGATTCGGGTTCAGAAATATCTAATGTATCTACTGTCGAAAGCGATTGTATAGTTGTTCAGAATTGAATTTGTGGTGGTTGTTTGAAATTGCAGTGTTATTCGTGGTGTTTTGTTTTATAGGGTGTCGGAATGGGGGTGAAATACGTTATCAAAGGTTACTGCCAATTAAGCCCCATTTACGCCGCTATCAAGATCATTGCAACCCACTCTGCCTCATCATCATGATTGAAACAGTTGAAAAGCCTACGGAAGCATGGGTATCCGCGGCCGTTTCCCATGCAAAAGGTATGGCAGGATGACGGTGAAGGTTTTACAATAGCGAGCAAATACACCAGAATTCAATGGAAGCTATGACCGAAACCGACGCCGAACATATGAATGCCGAAGAAATGACAGGTCGGCGACACATACGTGCAAGCCGACGCAAACATCAAGCCTATATTCTACCGGACAATGCGCTCGGCGCCACAACAGACATTCGTCTAATTCAGTTCAAAAATCCTCTCTACCTCGACTAAGACTACCCTGAAAGGTGGGCCGTCGACGCCAGCAACGCCAACACCGTGCCCTGGTTCGGCTGGAGAACAGCCGATAAAGTCGCCAACGCCTTGAATGTGAATAACACGGATGATATACAGACTTATGTCGGCAGGCTCACAGCTCAAAAGGGTCTTAAGTTCCCCCAATCGGAGAAGGGGCTAAATCCGGCGGTTCTGAATAACACACCGCGGGTGTCATTCGTTTTACCTCTTGTTGGGCAGTCCAGGGTTGCGACTTTCATTACGTTTGCATACAACTTTGCAAACAGCATCTGGCTTGGCGTTTTCAGGTAGGGCTATATATTGAAGGGCCCGGGGCAGCAGGCTGGAGCGCCGTCGATAGAAAGGTTGCCACTGAGGTTGAAGACTAAGGCTGCACCGCCCGCAGAGGAAAAGGAGGCAGCTACTCAGTGGAGTTCTTGGCCGCGGTTTCAGCAGCATGTGCCAAGGATTCCTCGACTGCAGAGTTTACTGAGAAATTACAACGATTTTGTACCACGTTGATTCCGAAGCGGTGGGTTAGGCGAATACGAGTGTTAAGGATAAAGTTTAGTAAGACGAGACCATATATGAAGGACTTCATATGATGTTGACCTATCCCAGTAGTTTCATAGCCCAAAGCTCAACTCTGCCAACCATCTTCAAAACTCCGTATCATGTTCGAAATACTTATGGGTATTCCTCTTGCGTCTATGAACTTCCGTATCGACAAAATTATCTGTGGTCTCACCAGAGTCCTCAGTTCCCAAGTCTTTCTGCGTATATTAGAGTTCCACCAAGGGCATGTTAGACCTCGAACGATGAGGCGCCGCGAGTTTGTATCAACTCCAACCCTGTCTGTAAATTGGCGTCATCCAGGTAAATCGAGCGGTACTCGTGCGAAATTATTGTAAAATCTTCTGTCCTTGGGACTCTCAGGCTCAATCGGACGTCTTACTGGATGAATTGGCGTTGAGAAATCGATCAGCATAGCGATATGCAGTCCGGATTCATGGCAATCGTGTTCATCTTGCAGTTTGGTCATGAAAGATGGGAAACGCGTCACTGCGTAATGAGCATAGTCCGGATTCCACTTTCCACCGGGTGAATCATCACTGCGAAGCAGTAGGATGTCGATTCAAGTGGATGCCTTTCCTTGCAAGCCTACACTTATGGTTTAACTCTGGGTAGAAGCGCAAAACGAGACGGCCGAAGAGGGCAGTCTGTAGTGCGGACAGGGACAGTAAGAGGAGAATTATTGTGTCTAGGTTATCCATGTTGGGCTTGGTTTCATGGTAACAAATGATTGAGTAACACTGAGTGTTGGCAATATTGGCAACAGGGTTGTATTGGAGATGATGATGATAGGGCTAAGTCCCAAAGGCTGCAGCTACGGAACGGCTAAGCAATTGGCCCAAGCGCTGCACCCAGGCACGCACGCAACATTAAGACATATATTATTATTATTAGTCGGCTGGTGTAGTTGGTCACTTCGCTGGTAGATAAGTCCCGATTTGAGCCTCGCCCACTTGGGTTGGTGACGAGTCGCGGGTTCGAATCCCGCAGCTGACACACAAGGGGGTTTAGTCAACCCTTACGGCGCGCTGCCCACCTTGTTGACTTCGCCTACCTAGCGATAATAGGGAGATTGGTGCAGTTTAGGATTACGAGCATCCTAGCCAGTCGACCGTCAAGCACTACGTCGGCGGAATATAACTCGACAGCCGGTCCAGAATTCGAATCGTTAATCCGACCCCTTATCGGACCTCGCCTATCCGATAACGCTCGTCGGCGAACCCGTCCCCTCACGATAGAAGGCGCGCAGCACGCCCCCTCGCCGCGATTCTTGCGAGCGTCTAGACCACGTTACGGTCTATCCACTTGAGCGTATGGTTGAGATGTATACGCTCGACGAGAACCCCAATTAGCAGATACTACGACTTGTCGCGACAAAAAAATAGTCGAGCATCTTCTGCACATCAGCAGCATCCCACCCCTGAGGACGAATTTAAGTGCCACATTACCACGCTTATCGGTAGTTCAGGCAGGGGTTGTAGCACAGACTTAGGGAGGGACAGGAGGTTTAGTAGTCGTTTGGCTACAAGTTTACCTGTATAACCGCCCGACGCGGCTTAAGGGCCCGCTATATCATCTATAGCCCCTTAAGGGAGTACTTGTAGAGGTACCGAGGGTTAACACCTACGGCGTATTTAATATTATTATTATTATTATTATTAAATACGCCGTAGGCTCGAAGCCCCCGGTACCTCTACTAGTACTCCCGTATGTCAAACCGTGCCCTAATGGCTGGACTAAATACATACGCTGCGTCGTCGGTTCGCCCTATTAGCGACTGCGTTGCGTTCACTACCATACTACGTTGGTTCTCAACCTACCAACAAAGTCCCCCCTGAGAAGATCGATGCTATCTGGGCCTTGAAGCTGTCCGACCCGTCCCTAGCAGCCACCTTACAATAGTCCCACTAACTACTGGTTCTCCTGTTGCCGTTGCGAGGTCTCTGCGAGAGTATAGTGGCCGTGGTGCGATAGCGGCCCGTAATCGTTCCCTCGGTCCTTCCAACAGCCCGCAAAAGAGGATTACGTGCTCTGCCGTCTCAGGGGCGTCGCCACAGCGGCATAGCGGCGAGTACACGCCAAAAGCCCCTGTCTTGAATAAGAAGGCTGCTAGTCCTATTTTTTCCGTCCTGATCTGGCACAGCGTAGACGCTTCCAGTCGGTTCAGGCCGAAATACTTGCCCCCTTTCGGTATCTGCATCGAAGGGCCCTCCGGTTCCTCAGCGATGGCGCGTCGCTGGCGATCGTGATACTCTGCTCCGGTAAGCCATCTCTTCCTCCAGTGGCCGAGGAGGGCAGCCGGGACCTCCTTTCCCTCACTCATCCACTCGGAGCCCCGGGCCTCCTTCTCCATAGTGTACCCTGCCGGTCGGAGTAGCTGCGACGCCTGCTTCCTCTTCGCCGGCCTATCCTGCCGGAGTATATGTGACGCTTTAGCGCTCGCGCTGCGAAGCAGATTTCTCTTCCCGCTAAGCCGTAGCCGTTCTTCAAACTTAGCAGCCCGGGCACTAAGATAGAGGTCTAGTGGCGGGATTGCTGCTTCTGCTTCCAGGTGGCGAACCGGCGTCGCTTTGTGGGCGCCACAGCTCAAAAAGAATCTCAATTACTCCTTGCAACTCAGGCTATCAGAAATGGCTCAACACTTAGTATCCGACGTGCTGCAACAATCTGCAAAGTCTCGAATACTACTCTCCAGGCGCGTCTTCAAAAACGTCAATCACGTCGCAATATCGAAGCCAACGGTCGGAATTTAACAAAACTAGAAGAAAATACGATTATTCAAAGGACAATTGAGCTAGATTCGCAAGCATTTCCTCCCCGGCTAAGTGCTGTTGAAGATATGACAAACCGACTGCTATGTGACCGCGACGCGTTACGCGTCGGCAAGAACTGGGCCTCCAACTTCGTTAAGCGACAACCACAGCTCAAGACGGTATTTAGCCGTAAATACGACTATTCTCGGGCCTTATGCGAAGATCCAGAGCTTATTCAAGGCTGGTTTGACCTTGTGCGCAATACAATTGCGAAATATGGGATCGCCGATACCGACATCTACAATTTCGACGAGACCGGCTTTATGATAGGTCAGATTACCGCATCGATGGTTGTTACGAGCTCTGAAAGGAAAGGCAAGCCTAAGCTAGCCCAGCCTGGCAATCGGGAATGGGCTACGGTGATCCAGGGCGTCAATTCCCAAGGCTGGACGGTCCCGCCATACATCATTGTCAAGGGCCAATACCACCTCTCTTCCTGGTACGAAAACGACGCGTTGCCGACGGACTGGAGGATCGCCGTGAGCCCAAATGGTTGGAATACGAACGAATTGACCGCAGATTGGCTAAAACACTTTGACAAATACACCAAAGGCCGGAAATCGGGTGTATATCGCCTTCTTATCCTGGAAGGCACTTGGATTTTATGTTCCCGTTGAAGGAGCAAAAGGAGGGCACATATGCCTAACCTGTATGTATTGTAGCTAACTCTGGTCCTCTCTTCGAGGGTCTATGTATGGAAACAAAAGGGTTCTTATATAGTCAATGAATGGTAGACTTGCTGATTAATTCAGACAAGTTGTAGAAGCATATAGATAAGTAGGGAATGTTCTATCCTCGCCACATTTCTCGTAATAGAGGTATGTGGGGATGGTCGCCGTTCTAGGTGGCGATAGTGGCAAGTATAGGACCCACATGGCCCACAGGGCCCATATTGTCCAACTAAGGCCACGAAAGCCACCATTCCGACGCCTTTGAGCAATATTGCAAAGAGAACAAGATTATTACACTTTGTATGCCTGCCCACTCTTCTCATATCCTCCAGCCACTAGATGTGGCATGTTTTGCGCCGTTTAAAAAGGCCTACGGCTCGCAAATTGAGAAGCTCGTCCGAGCCCGGATTTCGCATATCACAAAGGAGGACTTTCTTCGGCATTTTGCGACGCGTTCAAGAAGAGCCTGACCGAAAGCAATATTCGTGCAGGCTTTCAAGGGGCTGGGCTTGTGCCTTTAAGCCCAGATATTGTTATTGAGAAGCTGGATGTGAAATTACAGACTCCAACGTCCTCCCGGCCCCCTGCGCGGGAAACCCTTCCTTGGGCTTCTCGGACGCCAAACAACCCAACCGAGGCTACTTCGCAATCCGAATTTATTAAATCTCGAATTGCCAGGCATCAAAATAGCTCCCCGACGTCAATTTACGATGCTATCGATCAGTTTTCGAAAGGAGCGCGGAGTATTATGCATAAGATGGCTTTACTGCAAGCTGAGGTCGCCGAACTTCGAGAGGCAAATTGTTACGAACCACGTTCCTAACCAACACAGAATAGGCCCGTTGGCAGGCCTGAGGTGGATACCTGTAGGAAAGGACCGGAAACCAGGATAGAAGCTAGGAGCGGAGAAAGGATGGACCGACTAGGAGGTCACGTGACGGATCACTGGATCACTCGGTGAGCCAGTGAGCCACCCCAGCAGGATCACAACGGATAAGAGTGATCCAACGAGATCAGTGAAGGAGAGATGGATATATAAGGGACAGGACTCCCAGGCATTTCATAGATAGACAGTCTCTACTTCAGTAATCAATCTAAGCATCAATCTAACCCATTGGTGAGGCAAACTGCCTTAACGACTCTATTCCCGATTGCCCTACTTGAATACTTCAGTTACCCAAAGCACTCTACTCCATACGTCAAACCCCGATATTATTGCTTGAGGACTCCGCAGCAGGACTTACTTACTAGCACAAACCCTTACAGACTCTTTAGTGGTTTACGCAGCTAGACTATTAGAGGTTTCGTTACATATGACGAGGGCCGACACCCGTACACCGTTAACACTGACATGATTGTCACAAGAGGAGGACCAAGCCCCTAGGCCAATAGACCAAAAGATCTAGAAATGTCAGTGTTACTGACATTTGGTCCCACTAACTGCTATATACAGCACTATGTGGCTCTGTAATCGCCAGCGCTGTGACAATATTATATAAGGGAGTTCTCGACGGAATCGGTCCCCGGGGCTTTATTTTGCTTTATCTACTTCCTTGGGAGCTAGTAGAGGCTATTACTAGGTGGCGTTATTAGTAAGTGTAGTTAAGGGGTTATCCTTACTAGACGATCTAGTCGCCGTCGGGGGATAGTTGTGAAGGTCAACCCTCGCAGACTCACTACAACCAGGTGACTTACAGCTGGAACACCTGCCGTGGCAGTGTCAGATGGGAAGCCAATCATAACCCTTGTAGGAGCCCCGCCAAGCGTGGATGACTTAGTCGCGCTCCCTCAAACCTAAGTTGTCATCTTCTTTCCTTCGCTCCTTAGAGTAGAATCTTGGTCGATAGCACCTAATCGAGGTCTCTACGAATGCGATGCAACCCAGGTCGTGACAATAGTCCTCTTTTCTTCCTACGATAAGTGTCCTTTAGGGCGTAATAGTAGTAGTACTACTAGTAGTAGATAAGGGCTGGAAAAGGACCTATAGGAGGGCCTCTGAGTTTTCCTCGAAGGCATTAGCCTAGATCTCTTTACCTTCGAGGTTATATTTTAGGCTAGGTATAACTTAGGCGTATCTTACCTGAATATCTTTATACGCGTTCTATGCGTTATTTTCTTATAAAAAAGTTTTCTAACACTACTTCAAAACATACATCGCTGGATTGGAAATATTCAGCAATCGAGAAGATACGAAATACTGAGAGACGGCAACAGGAAAACCCCTGACAGCTCCCCATCAAAAGAAATTAACATGTACCCAAGTATATACTACAGATGGTGGGGGCCGTATTCGTTGAGGGGTCTCTCTTTTGACTTTCCCTTCCCACCCTAAGCAAATGGCAGATCCTGTGGCTTGCCCCAAACATTGCAAGGCAAGAACCTCCAAGCTCCAGCGTACTTTGGTGACAGCTTATCCTCCACAGCATGCAAAGCCATTATAGACAACCGCGGCCAGTCGTTGCCGCCTTCATATGTCGTGTCATGCAATCTCACCACCATCGGTGGCACAACGAAGCGGTCGACGCCATTGCTCGCTTCTGCTTCACAACCAAGGAACACCTGAAGAAGCTTGCTCCCACGTTCTTCCGATGACACGCTGTTTGCAGGACCGCACATTTGTTGGAGGGAAATCAACAGCGGAACCTCAGCAGCTAGGTGCTCCCGAAAAAGGCGTGCGAGCTCTTCGACCAGCCTATACAAGACCTCTCCATTGTAGGATTGCGGTTGCGCGGAAACTTCCTCGGCATAGATTAGTACCTGTTGCAGTGCAGGTAAAAAGTAAAGTTTCCTCTCCAAGTTCGTCGTTGGTGATGTGCCTGGATTTTTGAGAATTTCTGCGAAGGCTGGGAACATCTGCGTTGACTTCATGAGGTGGTAGTCCATGACCCACACACTCCAGCAGCGTGTAAAAAACAGGAAGTCTGCAATGTCCCTCATTTCCCTGATGTGAGGTGCTTGGAGTTGTATCGCGTTCATGCCACGCAACATGGCATTGTGCATATGTGCTGTTTCGTTGGCTATTTGCAAGGCTGGGTGGTTAATCTTTGTGTGTTTAGTCAGTGAAAAATGACGAAACCATGAGTGGAGTTGCAAAAGGAAACAAGAAAGATAGCTATACAGTGTGCGTTCTCAACGGGGTCTCGATCAGTGGCCAGGGGCTGTCAGCCCAGGGTTTCCCAGCGCTTTGGTCGGGATTCTTGACTAGTGGCCGTAGGGGTGATGCATTATCCCAGGTTCCAGACGTTGCCATTGAATGTTGCCGGGATTGAATTTTCCCAAGACAGTGCTTACGAAGCTGGCGAGTTGGAAATGCCCGGAAACCAGCGCAGGCCTCGAGGTCAGGCCAGTCATATATCCGTATGGGATCATACCTTCAGGCTGTTTTGAGGAACCGTCTCAGTTAACTAACTCTACCTGGTTGCTGTCGAGCTGGCCCATGCAGGTCACCTGCATTTAATTAACATTAATGGGTGAATACATATTTCCCATGCCTACAATACCCAAGTAATAGGTACTGATGGAGATCCCGGGTGGTTTATCCAGATTGTTAGAGTCACATCGCTTAAGCTTATTGATTCTAAAGGCTGCAGTCCAATTTCCTGATCGTTTTTCCTACCATACACGCTGCAAAGGATATTTTCGACAGTGGGATTCAAAGCAGCCAAGGACAATAAACATGGGCAGCGTCGATAGTCGCCCAGGTTGTTGCATGACTCCAAATTAATTGTCCTGTCGGCCGATTGGCCCACTCAAATCGCTCTAATAGGCAACTGATTAACACTGCATATCGGTGAGGACTGCCCCAGTAGGGTCATTGATGCAGACCGGTCTATTTATCCTAATGCTCATCCTAGGAGCCGCAAAACATGCTTTGTGACATTTCAGCGCTCTGCTGTTGGACCTCTTTACTTTCGCTTGCACGGAAAGCGGCTTGTTCTGCATTAATTTTATTGATTGTCTTGACAGACTCGGATCAGCAAATTGCAGGTACTTAAACATGAAGATAAGGAGGGCTGGAGGAGAGACTCTGCAGCTTTAGCATACTTAGTTGTACATGTCCAACTAAGTTTTATTTGTACTATCAAGTTCTATGGTTATTGCGCCCATTGTTGCCTTTGACTAGGTCTCAACTTCTCAGAAGTTCCCGCCAGGTGGGAGAGCGTACGTCTTAAATAGCTGGGGTGCATCCTGAAATGGCTGGTACGGACAAAGCTATATCGGTTCATTGAGATACACATAAAAGCCCAGGAATTCATATTCAATTAGGTGCAAACAACTTTCTTGCCGACATTAATCTGAGCTGGTATGTTGTAACTCATTTGTTTACAACTTGCGATAAATGAGCAAGTGAACAACCTGCCATATCCACTGAACTGTATATGTGCTGACGTCTCCTTCAATGAGAGAAGCACCTATCAATGACCTCTATGTGCCTATGGGCATATTTACGTGATAGCTTGAAGTCTGTTCTCAAGCGGGGTTTAAACAATAGCTGCCCACCAAGATCTGCGGTTTGTATCAATGGTCCTGATGTTAGGGGAACGGCCCATGCCCCCGGCTCAGCGCTCTGCCACTCCTCGCCTGATTGCCTGATTGTTCCGGGGTTCTACACAGTGCTTGATGCACGTCACCCAATTTGACTAACCTCATAGAGCGTTGCCAAGCTTTGGGTCCCCATAGTTTCCAGGATATCGATTTATGGTTTGATACTGAATCACAGTTCAGACTACCGGTTGTGTTTTCCAATCCGCTCGGACATGCCTACACAAGCTAGCATGCTGCTAGTAAGCGAGGCACCAATTTCGGTCGCCAGACCTTTGTAGAACCTCGTTGGAGAAGTGCCCATGATCATGGATCAGTCTTCCCGGTTATCAGTCTGTTTGCTTTTCGAAACTATGTCCTTGACATTCTCTGTTAATTGTAATCGCAAACCTGCGCCCCTTTGTACAGCATTGATGAGGTGAGTTCTTGCTTACCCACGAGCCACACTAGCCAAGCAGCGTGGCTGATGTGGTGAGACTGACCAAATTAGCAAGCTTATTTATCTAGGTGATTGAAAATCACGGAAGTCCCTACTCATCACGATGGACACGATCTGACAGGTCCGCGTGTGCTTTGAAGCTCCGTGCTTTCCCAGAAGACACGCTACAGGCAGCCCTTTGCCCCTTAATGCTGGGTAATAGCGGAGAGAAGAGGCGCACCGGTCCGTTGACCAGCATAGGGGCTTAGCCAATTCCCAGTTATATAGCAGTTCAGGTTTGTTCACGTCTCCATGATTGTTCATATCGTAATTGTCCCTGTCAACTGGTTGTTGTCTGTGTTGACACGAGACCATGTTAATCCCACCACTTGATGTCCTGGCCAGCTGGCCCAAGGCGAACTATACTGATCCTGTGACAAGGAGTCAAGCTGGTGTCGTCGTGGAAATCATATTTTGTTTCTTGGCAACAGCTATCTTGGCCATCCGTGTCTACACTCGAACATATCTGTCAAAAGCATTTGGCATTGATGATATCCTGATACTGGCTGCTTATGTACGGGTTTAACCCTTATAGTCTCAATGCCGCAAGCTAATACCAGGCAGGTTCCCGCTTTAATATTTGGCATATGTTGCCTTTACGGCGAGTTTCATCTGGGCTGGGATAGACACGCGTGGGACCTCACACACGCGACAATCTCCAACAGTCTAAAGATGGGGTACGCATATATTATCTCTACCGTAAGGTTTACCGGGAATACCGATACTAAATAAGGGGCTAGCATGACTGTATATGTCCTCTTCGAAGTGGCCACGACCGTTGTGAAGCTATCCATTCTGGCCACAACACTTCGGCTACTCGGAACTGCTGATAAGACCAAGACCAAGGCAATCATATATTTATCTGGTGCCTTCATTATATTACAAGGCGCTGCGTTTGCCTTGGTCACAATATTTCAGTGCAGGCAAGAAAAAGTGATGCAAAACACCCCCTAATTGGACACAGACTAACCATGTGGGTTAGACCCGTCTCCGATTACTGGACGTTGTCCTTCAATCATCAAAATTGCGTCAACGAAACAGCTCACTTTCTGACTGGTGGTATCCTAAACACCGTTACTGACTTTCTTGTGGTGATCCTTCCCATCCAGACGGTAATGGGGTTGAATATACCGAGTAAGCAACTGTACATCGTCATCAGTCTGTTCTGTGCCGCATTCATGGCCTGCATTGCTGGTGCCGTAAGGACGTACTACACATATCGCTTCACAACCTTTTACGATCGTACTTGGGAGGCTTATCCAGTATGGATCAGCAGTAGTGTAGAGCTTTATACAGGCATAGTCAGTAACCTTGTGGCTTCAGAGGAAATTACTAACGCTGAGAATAGATATGTGCCTCCGTTCCAGTCACCAAACGATTTTTCTCTACCAGAGCTGACGGTTCATCACGAATAGCCGAGGCAAATACGCAAAGTTTATCTGCGTCTCCCCATCGGCCATCATGGCCCAGCCTGCACATAAAACAATCGTTCCGTGACTTAAAATCCGGCTTATATCGTGACGGATATGTGGGGGATAACCCGTCACTCGCCTACCGCCTCGGCGCTCTCAAATCTCCTTGGTATGGTGAGAGGCAGCAACTCGGGGAGAAACTGAGTCGATGGACCAACATTTTGCTGCCCGCCAGAAATGCAATATCACGGGGCACATGTGTGCCTCGGGAAAACAACTCAAGACAGCAGCTACGGCCTCAAGAGGAAACTTTGGCACCTCGAGAGGCCGTGGCTGTCGATCTGCCGGATTACCCCAGGGCGTCGCTGCCGTCGGGCTTTTATTATGGCCATACAGTCTCGGAGCAGAAGAGTGCAAAATATCCAAGAACGAGTGGGTGAACATATCAATGGCAGAAGGATGAACTTTGATATTTTATGACGAAATATGATGTGTACAGGAGTTGGCAAAGTGTATTTGTTTTGAGTGGCCGGTCCACTTTGAAGCGGCCGTGCCCTGAGGACGCTCCTACAAACGAGATATGAATCCTGCAAGGGCTACGAGTCCATGTGCTCAGGATTATATGAACTGCGATCCTGGCCATGTTCATTGCTTGCCATTTGTGAATATATTATTATTATTATTAAATACGCCGTAGGCTCGAAGCCCCCGGTACCTCTACTAGTACTCCCGTATGTCAAACCGTGCCCTAATGGCTGGACTAAATACATACGCTGCGTCGTCGGTTCGCCCTATTAGCGACTGCGTTGCGTTCACTACCATACTACGTTGGTTCTCAACCTACCAACAAAGTCCCCCCTGAGAAGATCGATGCTATCTGGGCCTTGAAGCTGTCCGACCCGTCCCTAGCAGCCACCTTACAATAGTCCCACTAACTACTGGTTCTCCTGTTGCCGTTGCGAGGTCTCTGCGAGAGTATAGTGGCCGTGGTGCGATAGCGGCCCGTAATCGTTCCCTCGGTCCTTCCAACAGCCCGCAAAAGAGGATTACGTGCTCTGCCGTCTCAGGGGCGTCGCCACAGCGGCATAGCGGCGAGTACACGCCAAAAGCCCCTGTCTTGAATAAGAAGGCTGCTAGTCCTATTTTTTCCGTCCTGATCTGGCACAGCGTAGACGCTTCCAGTCGGTTCAGGCCGAAATACTTGCCCCCTTTCGGTATCTGCATCGAAGGGCCCTCCGGTTCCTCAGCGATGGCGCGTCGCTGGCGATCGTGATACTCTGCTCCGGTAAGCCATCTCTTCCTCCAGTGGCCGAGGAGGGCAGCCGGGACCTCCTTTCCCTCACTCATCCACTCGGAGCCCCGGGCCTCCTTCTCCATAGTGTACCCTGCCGGTCGGAGTAGCTGCGACGCCTGCTTCCTCTTCGCCGGCCTATCCTGCCGGAGTATATGTGACGCTTTAGCGCTCGCGCTGCGAAGCAGATTTCTCTTCCCGCTAAGCCGTAGCCGTTCTTCAAACTTAGCAGCCCGGGCACTAAGATAGAGGTCTAGTGGCGGGATTGCTGCTTCTGCTTCCAGGTGGCGAACCGGCGTCGCTTTGTGGGCGCCACAGACTACCCGGAGGCACTCGTTCTGTATCCCCATCAGGCTCTTAGCTGGCCCTGCCGGTTCCTCACTTATAGTATGCCACGCAGTCGCCCCGAAGGCGATCGCGCTACGGATAACCACCGTATATAACAGCCTCGCCCGTATAAGATCGCAGCCCCACGACATATTGACTAGCTTTGTCAGGGCTAGCTTTTGAGTTGCCATTTTTGTTTTAACACGCTAAACATGGGCGTGCCACGTCAGTTTGCGGTCGAACCAGACTCCTAGGAACCTGGCTGAGACTACCGGCGACACTGTGGCGTCCCCAAGGCGAATACTTTGCGGCAAGGGCTCTCGGGCCCTAGTAAAGTGCATTAGCTCACTCTTGTCAGGAGCGAACTCCATCCCGTGCCTCACTGCCCACCGCTGACACGTAGCCCATGCGCTCTCCAATCGGCGGCAGGTCGTGTCTGGATCGGTGCCGACGCTTAGCAGGTTCGTGTCGTCCGCGAACCCGACTACTAAAAGTAGTGAGTGCTGCTCCGCTAGCTCCTCGTACAGCGTTGAAATGTATAATATAAACAGTATCGGGGATAGCGGTGACCCCTGGGGGACGCCAGCTCGTAGGGGGATTGGCTCTGACTCCTTGCCATCGAACCGGAGGCGTACCGTCCTATCCTCCACGAAGCTGCGTACCCACTCCTGAACCCACTCCGGGTAGCCTTTCCGGGCTAATATGGAAATCAGCCGTCTGTAATTGACCGTATCGAATGCCCCCTTGATATCTAGCTGTAGCAGCGAGGCGATGCCCCCGCGTCTCCACGCCGTATAGACCACGTCCTCAACTATACGTATTGCCAGTTCGGTGGACCTCCCAGCGCGGTTACCCATTTGGCCGTTTGGTAGTAGGCCGGCCGCCTCAGCTACTTTGGTGATACGCTGGCTTATCGCCGTCTCTATTACCTTCCCTACCGTGCTAAGCATGGCAATGGGGCGCCAGCCGCCAGAGGTCTGCTTCTGAGCTGTCGTTTTATTAGGCTTAGGGATAACAACCACCCTCGCTGAGCGGAAGCGCTCCGGGTAGTACCCCAGCCTAAAGCTAGCTGTTGCCAGATCCGCTAGGATCTCCCATAGGGGTTCACCGCAGGCCTTTAGCAGGCCAGTGGGGATCAGGTCGTCGCCGGGAGCCTTCCGAGCAGCCGTTCCTTTGATGATAGACTCGATATCCATTGTGGTCACCTCCCTAAGGACGTTCAGCTCTGGTCTCGTCTGTAATAGGCCGCGATCGAGGTCCGATAGATCTATACACGGGTCTGGGAAGAACCTCTCAGCTAGTAATTTTGCCTTCTCATCATGTGTACGTGCCGTAAGCGTGTCGCCGGCGTCTCTCCGGAGATCTGGCAAGCCGTGGGCCTCAGGGGGGCCCAGCTCCGTAGCCTAGCCCACCTCTGCAGTGCCCACAGGCTTTTGTGATCCTTCGCCGTCCCCTCGAGCTTCTCGTGCCAGCTACGCGTCTGCGCTTCGCTGATTTCGAGCCGTTGTTTTTGGCCGGCTCTTGTATATTCGTCCCAGTTGGTCTGCGACCTTGCCTGGAGGTAGTCCCGCCGTCGTCTCTTCGTCTCAGCGCAAGCCTTGCTAACCTGCGGGCACCACCACGGGACCCCAGCGCCTCGGCCAACGGTGCGTCTCGGGACCGCCACGTCGGCGATCTCTTGGAGGTTCCGGATAACCCAGTCAACAGCCTGGTCCAACTCCGTTATCGTCTCAACCGGCAAATAATTCATAAATCTCTGGCTTGATTCGGCTGCGATGAGCCACTTATCCGCCATCGCCCAGTTCCACCCTTCGACACTGCGGCGGCCCTCCTTGACTGCTTCCCCGTTGGATATTACCCTAATCACTTGCGCTCTGTGGTCTGAGCCCTCTAGGCCCGGGTCCCCATCGTAATCAATCCTAGCCCCTTTCGTCACCCAGGCTAGGTCGATAGTTGAGTCTCGTTGTTTGTGCCTTTGCCGTGTGATTTCCCCGAACGGCGTAACGAGCTCTAATCGCCAGCGTCGCGCAAACTCCACTACGTTGTCGCTGCCCCGTGACGACCGTCCGTGGACGTCCCACAGCGGGTGATGTGTATTGAAGTCCCCTACGAGGACCTGTGTCCCCTCCGGCGCCCCATTAGGGAGGTCTTGGAGCGGGCTGACCCAGCGGCTCCCGGTCTGGTTTGGTGAATAGATAGACCAGATTGTAAGGGCGTCCGGGCCTGCCCCGAACGTAATACTGCTCCAGTCCATCCCGTTACGGGGTCGCAACGTAGCCACGTCGTATCGTTTATGGACGTATAGCGCAGCTCTGCCGCTGCTGTACACTGCTTCGTACCTGGACGACTTCGGGCAATAAATCGCCTTCGTCCGCCGGTTGATCCATGGCTCTTGAACCGCTATTATATCATAGTCACCCCCCTTATCCAGCGCTAGCGTTGCGTTCGCCTTTGAATCTGCGATATTCCAGTAGAGAATAGAGACTACCATTAAGCTGTCGATGGTATATCTTCGTTCGTACGTCCCTTAGTGAGGAAGCTACGCATTGCTGACGCAGACCGTTCGGTTCGCTCCTGCTCCACTCGCGATCCGCCCAGGGGGCGACCCCGGGGTCGTACAACTGTAAACCCGTCGCTGGTCAATGAGCTAGGTGGTGTGAGCCTGCCCTCACTAGATAACCCGTCCGAGTAGCTGCGGACCTCAAATGGTCGGGGGCGGTGAGCGTACGCCTCGCGTACGCGTAGCCGCTGCTGTTCTGCCGTAGGGCAGTCCCTGTCCCACGCCGTGTGCTTCCCTTTGCAGTTCACACAACGTTTTTTGCCGCTAGGTGCCTTCTCGGGGCAGTCTTTTTCACCCCCTGGGTGTGCCGTTGCAGCGCAGACGCCGCAACGCGCCGTCTTCTTGCAGTGTTTCGCGATATGGCCGTATTCGTAGCACTGGTAGCACTGCCGAACCCGAAGATTGCCGTCGTACGGCTCGCAATCGAATATCTGGGCCTCCCAAATAAGCCCTTTGGAGCATAGTTCCATCGCCGCCTCCACGCTATCCACGTGTAGTATCAGGGCCGCATACGGTGCTTGCGGCGCCCGGGGGAGGTTTCTTTTAGCCTTAGAGAGGTGCTTTGTATTGTCCCGTCGTGGACCTCTCGCAGCCGTTTCGCAGGCAGCCCCTTCGCGATCACTGCAACTTCTCTGCGGTTGAGAAGTGCCTTATCGCCGAAAGCACTACGCACCCACCTGCTGTCCGTGGTCGCCGCTGAGGCCGACTGCTTAAACGTCATTACGGTATCGCCACTGCGCAGCCTGCGGGCCGCCACTGCATCGGTGCTGCCGCGTGCACTGTTCACCGCTTTTACGACCTCAGCCGCCGATCTGTTCTTCATATTAGGGTCCTCTGTCCCCCGGATCACTACCTCTCTCTCCCTTCGCTGGGGCACTACAACCCGCTGCTGCCACACTGGGGCTTCACCGGGTCCCCGTCCCTGGGCCGATCCTGAGGCGATTGAGGCCCAGGATCGAGTTGTAGGCAAGGCCACGTTCTTCACCGTATCCTGCATGGTCTTCTCAACCATCGTCTGGATCGCCGCAGGAATTTCGCCAAGGGCCAGAGTCACTGCCAGTACGTCGGCATGTGTGGCGGGTCTGTCGCCCCCCTCCTCCAGCGTCCTGCCGGCTAGTTTCAACCCCAGCCAACGCTCCATCAAACCCCCCATGACCTCAATCTTCTCACGTGGGACCAAGTCGGCAATCTCTTGTTTTACCTTTTGTAGTTCTCTTCCGATCCCTTCCCTCTCTGCGTTCTTTCTGCTGGTGCGCTCCACGTTCGGTGCGTGGGCACTTTCGTTGGCGTGGGGGTGGTGAAAATTCTGTTCGAGTCCCGCCCGTCCCCCGTCGATCACCATCGGCGCCGCCATCGCTTGCGTCCTCGCTTCGCGTGCGATGCGAGGTCACTGTCCGACGTAAACGGTCGTTAGGAATCGAATGCCGCAATCGGTTTGATGATTTGACGCTGTTCGAAGAAGTTATCGATGAAAGTCAGAAATCTCCCTTTCCGCTGAGCTTTCCTAGTTATATAAACTTTCTTCCTATAAGTCCTTCTTTCTATTCTAATTATTATTATTATATCTAGTCGTATCGTTAAGTCTCGTTCTCAGGTTAAGAAAATAGAGTAGCGAGATTCTCTTCTTTCGGTAATTCTTTAATATACCGTTATTATACCTTCCTATTCTTACTACGAGGGTCGCGGTCTAACTTTCTACTTAGTTTCTTTGTCGGACTCCGCTTATTATATTAAATACGTTTGTACGAATTAGTTATGTTATAATATTTGAGGCCTATCTTCTTCTTAATTACTGAGGATTAGTATTACTTACTTAAAACTAGAGGAGGAGCTTAATTATACAGAGGAAGAATTAGAGAATGCCGCAATCGGTTTGATGATTTGACGCTGTTCGAAGAAGTTATCGATGAAAGTCAGAAATCTCCCAGGTTTAAGGGCTACGAGTCCATGTGCTCAGGATTATATGAACTGCGATCCTGGCCATGTTCATTGCTTGCCATTTGTGAATATATTATTATTATTAAATACGCCGTAGGCTCGAAGCCCCCGGTACCTCTACAAGTGCTCCCGTATGTCAAACCGTGCCCTAATGGCTGGACTAAATACATACGCTGCTACGTAGGTTCGCTCTATTAGCGACTGCGTTACGTCCACCACAATACTATGTTAGTTCTCACCCTACTAACAAAGTCCCCCTGAGAAGATCGATATTATCCGGGCCTAAGCGCTATCCGGCCAGTCCTGAGTAGCCACCTTGTGATAGTCCCGCTGACTACTGGTTTCCCCGTCGCCGTTGCCAGGTCTCTACGTGTATGCGGCGGCCATGGTGCGATAGTGTCCCGTAGGCGCTCTCTCGGTTCTTCCAGCAGGCCGCAAAAGAGGATTACGTGCTCTGCCGTCTCGGGGGCCTCTCCACAGCGGCATAACGGCGAGTACACACCGAAGGCTCCTATCTTAAATAAGAAAGCTGATAGTCCTATTTTTCCGGTCCTGATCTGGCATAGGGTAGACGCCTCCGGTCGGTTTAGGTCTGAGTACTTGCCCTGTTTCGGCATTCGCATCGAGGGGCCCTCCGGCTCCTCGGCGATAGCGCGTCGCTGGCGGTCGTGTTGTGCTGCCCCGGAGAGCCATCTCTTCTCCCAGTGGTCTAGGAGGGCGGCCGGGACTTCCTTCGCCTTGCCTATCCACTCGGAGCCCCTAGCCTCCTTCTCTATCGTGTACCCCGCTGGTCTGAGCGATTGTGACGTCCGCTTCCGTCTCGCCGGCGTGTCCTGTCGGAGTATGTGTGACGCTCTCGCGCTCGCGCTCCGAAGCAGGCTCCTTTTGCCGTTATTCCGTAGCCGTTCTTCAAATTTCGCCGCCCGGGCACTGAGATATAGGTCTAGTAGCAAGATAGCTACCTCTATTTCTAGATATCAGACCGGTGTCACTTTATAGGCACCACAGACTATTCAGAGGCACTCATTCTGTATCCCGACTAGGCTCTTAGCCGGTCCCGCTGGTTCCTCGCTTATAGTGTGCCACGCAGCCGCCCCGAAGGCGATCGCGCTGCGAATAACCGACGTGTACAGTAGTCTCGCCCGTATGAGATCGCAGCCCCACGCCATGTTCACTAGCTTTGTTAGGGCTAGCTTCTGAGTCGCCATTTTTGACTAACCCGTTCGGTATGGGCGTGCCACGTTAATTTGCGGTCAAACCAGACCCCTAGGAACCTTGCCGAGACCTTCGGCGTTGCTGTAGCGTTTCCAAGACGGATACTCTGCGGGGAGGGGTCTCGGGTTCTAGTGAAGTGCATCAGCTCACTCTTGTCCGGAGCGAACTCCATCCCGTGCCTGGCGGCCCACCGTTGGCACGTAGCCCAAGCGTCCTCTAGTCGGCGGCAGGTCGTGCCCGTGTCTGTGCTCACGCTGAGTAGGTTCGTATCGTCCGCGAACCCTACGACTAAGAGTAGGGGGTGTTTCTCCGCTAGTTCCTCATATAGCGTCGAGATATATAGGATAAATAGTATCGGGGAGAGTGGCGACCCCTGGGGGACGCCAGCTCGTAGAGGGATCAGCTCTGACTCCTTACCGTCGAACCGGAGGCGTACTGTCCTATCCTCTACGAAGCTGTGTACCCATTCCTGAACCCACTCCGGGTAGCCCTTCCGGGCTAGTATAGAAATCAAACGCCTGTGGTTAACTGTGTCGAACGCCCCCTTAATATCAAGTTGTAGTAGTGTGGCGATCCCTCCGCGCCTCCAAGCTGTATAGGTTACGTCCTCGACTATACGTATCGCTAATTCGGTGGATCGCCCCTTTCGGTTACCCATTTGGCCGTTTGGTAGCAGACCGGCCGTCTCCGCGACGGTAGTGATTGTGAATATATATTTAGCACTGAATACTTCTCAAGTCGAGACTGGCCTTTTGGTCAGACAAGTTTCTTGATAGCAAAAGTAGTTATTTATAAGGCTGTGCATGGTTTGTAAAGAAATTCAACTTTTTGTTAACAAATCATCCAGTTTAAATTGTTACAATTCTCGCTACAAGGCTAAATGTAAGTAACTACCTTGCCTTGAGGTGGCCAATAGCGTCAACATAAGGTATCTGGTAACATAACAGCAAGCACTTCCTGTAAACGAGAACATCATCTCATAAAGTCCCAATTGAACATTCAAATTACCTAATGGTTCTCAGTGTTCTCAAAAACTACACTCAAACTCATCCTAACGTCTATTTCGTCCAGCTGCGTCACGAAGCACCAAACTCCCGCAGTCTCATCTCCAACACCAACATCCAGAACACATGGCTCCTGCACTACCACGGCGCATTCCCCTACTCAGCCACTGCATCCACCATTTATTCCCACCTCACCTCAACTCAGGCGGCATCGTGGATCCACATTGGCGGTACGCCATGCACAGCACAACACACTTCCACAGCATCAGCTATGAGGAGTTGAGCATCTCGCACACCTCTGCAAGTCTTTGCTTTGGCGGTGAAGACAATCTGGACATGTTGGAGACGTGGGTGGAAAAGGGGGGTGTGGTGATTGTACCAGTAGGCGTTGGACATCGGCTATTGAATGATGTTGACGGCGCATTCGAGATGGTTGGGTCGTGTGCGAAGGATTGACACTGCAACATTTGCTATGGAAAGAAGGGAAGGGAGGCCAAGATCCAATTGATTGCGAAGTTCTTCTGGTTCGATCAAGATCCCGTATCTGGCGATGACGAGCCGGCTTTGCACGTATAGGCTTATTATCCGACGTACACGTTGTCACCCTTCACCGGTCGACTATATCAATATTTCATCATTCGAGGAAGGCGTTCAAAGACGGGTAAGATAGTTAAAAGTGGACATATGCGTAGTCAGTTCACTCGTTTAAAATTACTTGCCGTTTACGCCAAGTCATGATCAAAGGAATCATAGTTTATATGAAAGACTGGTAGCTTGGTGCGAGGGATTGCAGTGAATTCATTCTAACACTGCCCTGCTGTTGAGTGACACACTGTATTCATGAGATTACAAGAGCAGGAGGAAGAGCCCCCGCCAACCAATATATGCTGAGCGTCCTGCTAATACCGGAGTACAGGGCGTTGTAGACCTTTCTTAATATCCCTCGCACCAAACAAGTATTTGACAACGAAATATCTTGCGAAATTTTTCTATCCGATTCTTCACCCCTTGAAGATTTCGACACCGAGCATGTGCTCTCAAGTATCAGATTGGAAATGCGGCTACTACAGCCGCATAGTCCCATGCAAGAAGGAGTGTGGCAAAGTTCTCAAGTTCGTTCGACTTTGGACTGAGTACTGCCGTACTCGTAGGGTATTTGAGGGGGCTCTTGAACGGGAACATTGGATAGTCCCATTTGGCCGTGAATGATTGGGCTCTTCCCTAGATATTATTAGGGGCGACTTAGCTGCAGATGTCAAAAAGGGTGCCCATTGGACCTGGGACTAGGAATATGGTCACTGTGAGCATTTTGTTCATGGTTAAAACAGATAATATTGGTCGGCTCACTTGCTAAATAAATAACCAGGTCATTAGTCCACACATTTCCACCTTTTGTTCAACCCTTGAGCCAAATCATAATAACTATTTTGACTACTATGAACCGTATTGTTATCACTCTCCATCCATATACATGATCAAGTGTTAGACCATACTGACCACCACGAGCTATAGAAAATTGTGAATGAACAAGAGCTGAGCAGTCCTTCTGTAATTGCAACTTTCAAATCCTCTTTGTATCCTTAGCAACCAGATTATCAACCTCAACCGCAGTTCTCAATTTTATGGGCCGTCCAAGACCATCAATGACGTCCTGATAGACCTCGACAATGCGCTGAAATGTGATATGCGGTCTATGGGAGCCTCTGTCACATCCTGTCCCTGCATCGAACGGCACAAAACCATAGTCGTCTCTCGGCATTTGCTTCCACTCGTCCTCCGATTCAGGAAATGGTTTGACCACAAAGACCAGCTCCATCAGGGACCCGAATTGCTTCAGTGTTTCTTCTGCCGACTTGGATGCGAGATTTCGGTCGTCCTTGCCGCAATCCAACTGGTATCCGAGATGCTTGATGCTGGATCTTCCTAAGTGCAGGGCAAGGTGCTGGATCCTGGGGGACCAGGACTGATTGGCGACGAGTGAGAAAGGGTCGAAGACTTTGGATACGTCTAGATAGGCTAGTTCTGTATTCCAGTTAACCAGGACCGGCTGCAGGTTAACTTCGAGATCTGGCATGGTGGCTAAGATGTGTTCGAACGATCCTTGGTTCTTCAGGTATCGAGCCATGACGTCCCTTGCCAGATCAAACGGTCGACGGGTCTTCTCAAAGGCATCAACCGCTGCCTTGGAATGTTTATTCGCGAAGGAGACGTCCAGAGGCGTAAAGGTTGCGTTCTCGCAGAATAGGATGATAGTTCGTCCAGCACGGTCGCAGATCTCTAAAGGGCCCTGGGTTGACTGGATGAGGTGAACGTCAGGGGATTGGAAGTGAAACTCCTACAACAGGCGCCTTAATTCAGCAGGCAGTCGACTGAATTTTTGGAACAAGCCTTGTATCTGCATGTCGGAATCCTCCAAGGCCGATCATGACGATAATCGGACTTCAAAGACGTCAAGGACGGAGGGTTTTTTCTGGTAGAGAGGATTGTGTTCTTCGCGGAAACAGTGTACAGGATTATTGGAAGGGCCCGGAAATTTCGAGAAAATATTATATCCTATAGACTAAGGAAAAGCGTATGGTGGACGTTTCAATGTTCTCGCGGGGTGCCGTTCTCAATGGGTAGGCGGGTTGCCGCCATTCGGAAAGGTGCTGGGTGGTCGCCGCTTCCGCAATTATGCAGTCTAGCCTCAGGAGCTTGAAAATAAATTGGGACCATACGCAAAACATTTATCGAAGTATAGACTTGACATTCTTCGCTTCCCAAGGTTGTCGCGGCGTATGGGAAGTATTACATGGCAGTGGGGGAGAGGGGTCGCCGAGCAGGTTTGAGACGGCGTCTTCTTTTCAACCTTCAACTTTCAGTGGTGAGCAGTAGCGGTGGGCATGTAGATGACAGCACAAAACATCATTGTCTGACGTTTGTTGCATCATCAAAGGTTGTTTTCCAGTTGGTCGTTGGCGGAGCTGATCAACATGGCTCGCGTTTTCCACAGGGTTGGAAGAAAGTAAATGCCGATTAAGAAACTGCATGATGAGTTGAAATAAGACACCAATATTCGCTGAGTAGAAGTGGTCGTTTACGAACATATATAGGCAGGCGTCAGTAGAATAAGGGAAACAATCCGAGTTCGCTATCGTGGGTAAATGGAAGCAGATCGCAACAGACAATTCTATTGGGATGTCTGATTGTGAGCAACGGCCTTGCGTTGCTTTGATGAGGTTGAATCAAACATAAATTGGGTCTTGGGATATCAATTTCCAACAGTGCAGCTCTGTTAAAGCATCACAAGTAATCGTCCATACTGAAATAAAGATGAACCCATTCCGTCATCTCATAGCCAGTTGCCAACTCTGTACTCCAAACACCATGTCATATAGAACCGCACTCTGTCAACCCTCAATCTGTAGCATCTGCTTTAGTCCAGCTTCCGCGGCCCTAAGCCAGCGCCCCCTTTCCTCCAGGTCATCCTCAACACCACCCACTGCGTCCTCCTTCCGTCTCCTTGCTTCCCTTGCCGTCGCAGTGCTGTTCTGTCTCTTTGTTTCCAATGGCTGAAGTTCGGCCTGCAGTCTCTCCAACTCCTTCTTCTTCCGCGGCATCTGGTTCTGCAACTGCTCTAGCTGCCGGTCGAGGTTATCCCGCTGTCGCTTCTTTGCCTCGACAAGGTCCGCCGTCTTGGCAAGTGGGAGATTCAATTCTGGATTTTGGCTCCCTCCATCCACGTCACTCTTCTTCAACTCGGTAATCGCATTCTCCAGCCCCGAGATATTCGCAGGCAGTTCCTCTAGCCGAGCTGTCTCTATCTGGACTTGTTCGTACCGCTTCGACAACTCCCGTCCCCTCTTCTCAAGTTCCGTGACCATGTCCGCCACCTCTGTTTTCAACGCCTTGAGCTCCGCTTTTGCCGCCACATTCTGCTTCTCCAGGTCGAAGTTTTCCTGTGGGCTGACGATTAAGGGCGGGTCGCCAACGATGGCGCGTATGAACTTCTCCTTAGTCACCTGTTCGACGTAGCTGAAGCGCAGTTTGGAGAAGAGTTCGCGGTAGTGCGTCAGGTCTGCTTCGAGCGAGGCGGGTGTCGGCGCGTCGAGCGAGGAGTTGGACACATCGGAGGTACGTTGATTGGGGTCTTGCGATGCAGATGCGTTGGTAGAGATTGGTTCGGAGAGTTTGAGGATGGAGATCTCTTGGTTGGCAGCCAGAGATCTTAATACTGACTGAACAGACTCTGAAGAGGCTGTTTTGGACTGCATCGGGGGTATGTCGCAATTTGACTCTGGTATATGAGGATATCTTTGTTATCCGCTGAACGATGCGCCTGAGTAAATTGAAGGTGGTAAAATGGCAGAATGCTCCAGCAGGAACCTCGAACACGGGCGATCCACGTTATAGCTGATGTGAGTTGTCAAGTGCTCCAGGTCTCAAATTGAGGAGCTCTCTTAGTCTAATGTCACACATCCGGTAAAGTCGCAACCGCGAGACTATTTACTTTCTCCCCAAAGAGGATAAGCGTGTCAAAGGTGGGATGCTCGGATGCTTATCGTGGCGGTGTTGAGGGGCACAATCGAATCATCTGTTACCAAACGTTCGACCCCACCTTTCCGGCCACCCACCTTTCTGGCCACATATTACAATCCAATTGAAGGTATTTGAAACAGTGTATTCAACGTACCATTATAGCTATTCACATACAACCAGCTCTAATAGAAAGCTGTGCTCCAGGGCTTCCTGAGGTATAGATCTGATAGATTCTGACGCCTTAGCTGGGTCCAGTATTACCTGATTCCGACGTTGTACCTGGTCTCGTTGCCGTTCTACTTCAAGGGCTCGATCCATCGCTTCCTTAATCTGTACAATGTTACCAAATCGTTCATTAGGCCCTAATCGTACCTTCTTACGTGGTTTGGGGCGTAACGAAGTTATCTCGGCTTCTAATGCATGTACTGTCAGATAGGACACCTGGTTCCTAGGTTCAGAAATAATATGGCACTAGAGAAGACTAGTGTCACTTGAAGTTCAGACGGCGAAATGAACCCCTCTTCCCGAAAGTAACTCCGAAGTTCGGGGTCAGACACCTGAACAATGCACCTCCGACATTTCCGAAAGAATCTATAAAGGGCAGAGCAACGGGAGTTCGCGAGAATAGAACACAGACAACAGCACACCTCATTCATAATACAATCTGATGCACTTCTGACTACTCGATTGGACACACGTGATATTCGACATGTACACGTTGGGTCAAAGTAGCGACCTCGACGCTCTGTACATCTAGCCGACGAGTCAGCTTCCGAAACAATAGCCGTTGCGACGATCGCAATGGCGTAATCGCTGCCAGACTATCCCTAGCTACTAAGCTAGTCACTGGTGTCGCCATTATTGTCGGATCAAGCCAATTACCAGCTGTTGTTGGTGTAATTGGTCGTTCTGATAGGGGGGCTATCGTCGGCTGAGGTCGCGATGGATCTAATGGGTATATTCTGTCAGATAGGGCACCTGGTTCCTAGGTTCAGAAATAATATGGCACTAGAGAAGACTAGTGTCACTTAGAGTTCAGACGGCGAAATGAACCCCTCTTCCCGAAAGAAACTCCAAAGTTACGGTCCACTTAGGGGTCAGACACCTGAACAATGTACCTCCGACATTTTCCAAAGAATCTATAAAAGGCAGAGCAACGGGAGTTCGCGAGAATAGAACACAGAGAACAATACACCTCATTCATATACAATCTTACGCACTGCTGACTACTCGATTGGACACACGTGATATTCGACATATTCCAGTTGCAGAGAAGCCTGATTGTATATTATTGATCGTGAACGACTTCGTATATGCCTCGATATATAGCGAGAGGAACGTCGACTTTTTAAATGGAACAGAACAGTACTCGATCGAGAGAGATGTCGCTAGCGAGCGATAGTACCGCTTTAATGGAGCAAATACGGCGACGTCGAGAGGTTGGAGCCCGTGAGAACAGTGTGCTGGTAAAAATAGTAACGAGATCTTGTTACAAAAGGCTAACCACATGAACTCGACGTTATCGTGAGCGATATAACCATCTAATATCAAGAGCCGCTGCTCGTCGGGATCAACTGGTTGTGTACGAGGTATAAAGATATCACGAAGCCATCGAACGGCGATATCTGTACTGATCCAACCGTTGGACGAATAAGTATATTGCCAATCAGGTATATCGTCGCAATCGTTAAACCATTAGGCTTGGAGGCTCTTGCCAGTGTATATTACTGCTGGGGTCAACGAATTACCCATCGCCGATATGGCATGTAATATAGTAACCCATTCGCGGCTTTCGTCACTCCGAACGAATGTTGTCCGTTTCTCTGACGATCCGTACACTGTACCCTCGATCCCTTTGCCAATCGCGATGCCTGTTTCGTCCATATTCCAGACGTTGTGTGGAAAGTAGTCGTGAGCTAACATCAAGGCTTCGTACGTCTCGAAGAAATCGTCGATATTCTGCGTCGATAGGCCATCAAATCGCTGACGGTCGAGGCGTCGAGATTGGATACTTCCGACCTCTGGATGGCGTTGAATAAAGCGATGAACCCAATGGCGACCGAGGCCCTCTGATCGACGATCCTGAGGCAACAGAATTAACGCCATCTTAGCGATGAATAGCGCCGACGGGCTACGACCCTCGCGATCCATCTCGAGGACCCATCCAATCAGCGCGTCTTCCTGATCCCTAGATAGCTTCATCGACGCGATTGACGCGTCAGAATGGCTGAGGCCATCCCCGAGTCGTAATTGGAGGGTAGAGCGTGGAACGCCCCATCGGAGGGAAGCCTGGCGCTGGGATATCCCTTGATTGATATCGTTGAGAGCGCCTTGAATCGAATTTTCTGAATATAGAGGCATTGTATAATAATAGCCAATACCGACGATAATCTGTTGTGCCGAAGGTTGTTGTAGTTAGCAGATTAGGTGGCCAGAAAGGTGGGTGGCCGGAAAGGTGGGGTCGTACGTAATATGCCTGCCCACTTTGAACTACTTCACAGTATATTTAAGAGAAGCGCAATTGATTTCGTGGTCAAAGCTCAAACGGCGCTTTCATCAACCCCTCCCTTCTTGATCTTCTGGTTGCTTTGAATCAATTGGGTGCGTTCTGAAATCTCCTTTAATACAATGCCTCCCCCAGACGACCTGCTCACTGATGACTATGTCGCTGAATTACTTGCCAAAGAAGCTTCGGACTGCTCACTCAAGTATTCAGCCATGGGTCTTGATGCTTACAACCAGTCGGCCAAGTGAGTATTCCATACTGTTTCCAATGCGCTACGCCTTGGGAGCTCCGCTGCGCATCGTGCATCGCTGTCGTCTCGTCTCCAGTTTCCAGGGCGAAATCGAAGTCGAGGTTGAGTCTCAGAAGCTAACTGAATGACGCAGGCGCCCGGCGAATCAACCCAAACCCAACACGCGCTTTCTAAATCACATCATCCGCGACACCAACCATCACAATCGTACCCTGCTCGCTAGAGAGAGCGCCGAGTCGAAAGCCCGACTACGAGACCTCGAGAATGCAGAGGAGAAGAAGCAGCGGGCCGAACAAGAACGACTCAAAAAGAAGCGACCTGGTCCTGGCGACACTCGCAAGCGCATGTTAGGTGACATCGCCGCTATCATCGGCGGATCGTCTAAGAAGCGTAAAGTTGATGATCGGCCAGACGACGAGTCGACGCTCCAGGTGAGGGCTGGGAAGGTTAGTGCGAAGATTCCGCGCGACGAGGAACATACGAAGGGCAAAGAAAAGAGCCGTGATGCATCACCTTCGAGGAGCAGGAACGCTAGGAAGGAACTGTTCACGGAGCGTGATGGAAGGCGGTCACACATATACAGGAGGCGCGACAACGACGAGAGATCCAGATCGAGGTCTACATCAAGAGAGCGTTCTCGCCATCATGACCACAACCACAAAAGCTCTCTCCAGGTTCCGAGGTCCGACCGGGATGCGGACAACGACACAGATCATCGTCGACACTCTTCTGTCGCGGGCGTTGATCAAAGAAAGTCCGGTGCTCGGCGAAGGTGCAGCGACCTGTTTGACGGTCGGCCTAGTCGCTCTGCCAATATGCGACTATACCGGGCGGAGCGCGCCCCTCATGAAGCGTCATCAGACTCAGATCCGCTGGAAGACATCATTGGCCCTAAGCCACCTAAGCCTGCCCCCGTAGTTAGGAGAAGGGGCCGTGGCGTAACGGCAGACACTTCAGGTATTAACAGTCGCTTTGCATCTGACTACGACCCCAAGACCGATGTCTCACTAGACGATGATGATGACTGGGGCAGCTCGCTGGAGGCGCTTCGCGACCGCCAAATGTGGAAACAGCAGGGTGCGGATAAGCTGCGAGCCGCTGGGTTCACAGACAAGGAGATTAAGAAGTGGGAGAAGGGCGGCAAACGGGACGAGGCAGACGTGCGCTGGAGCAAACTAGGCGAGCAGAGGGAGTGGGACCGCGGCAAGGCTCCAGTCCCTGGGCCTACGTGGAAATGAGGCATGGAAAAAGATCAAAGAGTACGGAGGACTATGATGTTGGTTTTCTCACGGGATTGATGACACGGAAGACGAGTTCGGTACGATAACAGGCGATGGAGCTCGGCGTTGACGGTTCGGTTCGGTGCCATTGATGTCGCGTAGCATTTGGTTTTGCATTTGCGGCATAGCATGTTGCATTGAGAGGCGTTTTGCATTACTTTATGTCCGACAATAGACACACAACTGTTTTGTCAATATCGTTGCCTTGCCCTGAAATAATTCGATCTCTAGAGCTCACAGGCTTCGGGAATAAGCCAACTTTGAAGAGATCAAGTTTGTCATATCCACTAGAACTTGGCTAGAGCTGCCTCCATTTTTCATGGCTCAATTTATGTACGTATGGGTCTCCTGTGCTTATTCTAACTGATTGAATCCACCTTCGCACCACCTTTTTGCATGCACCCCCATTTTGCAGGGAATTTCTACGCCTCAACAACACGACGTCTCTCAATTTACCTCGCAATTGCTCCCTATCTACGTACAAAATGGCTAATCCAGTGGAGAATAGTCTGGACGATTTTGAGTAGCGAATCGAACGCGCTAAAGAGCTTGTCCGTCAGGGCTCTTCCCAGGCCGTAGCAGCTCATCGGTACGGTATCAAGGGGACTACACTGCCCTACCGTATTCGTCACGGTAATTCGCATCGCGACGCGGCCTCCAGGCAACAAAAGTTGACTCCAGAGCAAGAGGAGGTTATCGTGAACTGGATCCTACACGAAGAAGTGTGTGGACAGGCTCCTAGCAAGCGTTATGTGGCCGACTTCGCTGCCGAAATCCTCCTTGCTCAAGGGGATAACAATACACTCGGCCAACACTGGGTGGATCACTTCGTTAGCCGCCATCCACAGATATGTACCAAAATTGGGCGCGTCGTAGATGCTAGCCGAGTTAGAGCCTCCGATTCGAACAAGATCCGAGACTTCTACACCCTCCTCGAACGCTTACGTACGAAGTATTGTATCAAACCCGACAACGAGTATAATATGGATGAGACAGGTGTCCAAGAGGGGGAATCTGGGCATGGTACGGTCATTGGGACGTCTAATTCACGCCGGGTACGCGTATCAAAGTCGGACGCTTCGTCGTGGTGCTCCTGGTTAGAGTACATTTCGCATACCCAACGGGGTACACCTGTCTGCGTATTTTCCGGCAAGAGAGTCCAAGTACAGTGGTTCCCAGACCAAAATATCCCTGAGTGGGGATACACCGCGACGAGTAAGGGCTGGAGTAATAAAGTTATCGCAAATAGGTGGTTAGATCAGGTTTTTCTCCCCGAGACGAAGCCTAGGGGTACCGAATGGCGAATCCTTATCCTCGACGGCCACCAGACACATATTCATGCCGAATTTATGTGGAAAGCCTACTCGAATAGAGTCGCCGTGCTGTATTTACCCTCACACTGCAGTGACGGTCTCCAGCCGTGCGATGTCGGGCCGTTCTCACCTTTGAAGACCTACTACCGCCAAGAGCTCAGGGCTTACGCTTCCTACAAGGCTACAGCCCCAATTTACAAGCAACGTATGCTAGAAGCATATCTACGTGCCTCGGAGAGAGCCTTTACTACGGAAAATATTAAATCTGGCTGGCGGAAGATGTCAGATAGGGCACCTGGTTCCTAGGTTCAGAAATAATATGGCACTAGAGAAGACTATTGTCACTTAAAGTTCAGAAGGCGAAAGAAACCCCTCTTCTCAAAAGTAACACCAAAGTTACCGACATGTTCTAAAGCATCTATAAAAGGCAGAGCAACGGGAGTTCGCGAGAACAGAAGTGTCAGAGCCACAAGTGTCATCCGAGGCGGGCCGGCTTCCACCAGGAAGGAAGTCGTTTGTGGCGGCTAGAGAGCCGCTTGTGGCGAATGAGAGCTGTTGAAGCCGTTTGCAGCGGATAGGGAATCGCTTGGTTGCAGATAAAGAGCCGCTATCCAAGATGTTGGCCGAAGTCGGAGGAACACAGACATGCGGAAGCAAACATCCAGAATCCAACAGAGAACCTCGGCTGGCTATAAGTAAGGAGTCGAGACGGAGGAAGATAGAGAGGGGAGAGATCAATAAACTACTGTGGACACCCCTACCTGCCATCACCAAGTGACCACCAGTGAACACCAGGTGACCACCAGGGGGACACGCCTATTTCTCCCCTTCACTCTGTACTATCGCCTTCGGTCCAGGCCGTACCCTGACAAGAAGACAGACAGACAAGAACACACCTCATTTATATACAATCTTACGCACTGCTGACTACTCGATTGGACACACGTGATATTCGACAGAAGACTGGTATATGGCCCCTAGGCTCCGAAGGACTAGTCGACGTATCTTGTGATCCTCCGGAGCCTCATACACCAGATCCTCCGCCTCATATATCACCACCTTTAGTTGCTTTTACTACAGTCGATAGAGAAAGCCGAGGGCGGGGTATCTCGTAATATTCGTACCCTAGTAGGCAAGGCGGGCAAGGCCCTTACACTCCAGGCCGCCGAGAATACCACATTACGTATCGAAAACGAGCAACTATATAAAGAACTCGATAAATACGCTCCAGATATACGCCAGCCCATCGAGCCAGACCCGAATAAAGTATTTGTTAACTTATCAGCGATCCGAACAGCCCAGGACAAGCGAAATAAGCGAATACGGCCTATTTTACCGGATAAGCAGTTAGAAATTGATACTTTTCTCGAAGGAAGGGTCCCTCCTAAAAAGAGGGCTTGAAAGAATATATCTAAGTCTTCGGACACTTAAATTAAGTATGTTCTGTATATAAATAATATGGACGAAGTATTTAGGTTGATTCAGTTAGACCCTGCAAAATGGGGGTGCATGCAAAAAGGTGGTCAATGCGGTTAGGTCCTCTTTCATCGGGGCTCGCTAAAGTGTGCCTCTAGCAACCCTGACCACAAAGCGAAGCATCTGTATATGATCCAGTTTTGGGCTTACGTGAAGCCCAGAGAAGAATGTGTAAATCGAAGTGTCTTTTAGTCTCCCCAATAAATAACTGAGTTTACAGACGCCAGATGACTAGTGACTTGACCAACCTGTGGTGTCTCAGGGACTCATTGCCGAAGTGACAACGATCTGGAGTGCCTGTGATCTATGCGAGGCAAATCCCTGGAGTTATGTGGGTAAGAGGCCGAGCTTGATGCTCTCCGTGAGGCTCCCGACCTTGGCGCCAACCCATGTGCTGCACCTTGGGGCAAGTGACTATAGGCGCTGCGGGCACGGCGCGTACTTGAAACTAGGGCCCGAAGGAACAGGTGAGAGTACTGGCCAGGCGGAAGACCGCATCGTAGTATTATGTTTTTTCCGGGCTTCGGATTGATAGGATTGAGTGGATCTAGGTAGGGGACTGGTGATGAGAGGGCCAACGTGAAGAGCCTGTTGCTGCAGAATCCTGGTGTTTCGAAAAGTTTATAATGTGGCTTCTCTGTGATGTTGGCAACCCCTGAGAGTAGTACGTTCTGTTTGGGTACAAAGTATTTTCAGTGGTGTGGTCGTTGTTGCGGCGTGGGGAGTGATGAGTCAAGGAATGCAGGGGCTGTTCTGGTGCTTCTGGATTCCGCTTACGCGGTGGACGCTTTCGGAATACAAGGCCATATAAGTGAACGCGCAAACTATTACTGTTAAAATAACAACAGAAATAACAATAGCAGTTATAGCGCCCGGAGATAAAGTAGTGTTGGGCACTTCTGTCCGTGGGGTGAGGGTTTGGGGAAAGGGGTTAGGCACTTGGCAAGGCAGAAGTGGAAGTCCAAATTAAATTCGAGATTTAGCTGAAAATGACAAATGAGCCTATTGGGTAAAGTGCGTTTGTCTCGTTTACTTGGACACTGTCTTTATATGCGGGGATCGCTGTCAATAAAACCATAGTCTGTGTTTCTGGCCTATGAATTTATTTGAGAGGTGGTATCTGCTTGAGCAAAACTCCCCAGTGTAGTTCAGCATAAGCTTTCAAGATGAGGTCCACAAGGGAGTGGACTTATGCTTAAGTAGTTTCAGTGTACTCCAATATAAACAGTGGTAGCTGGGTCAAAAATTTGCTAAAGGTATCTCACCCTGCTCGAGGATTGAGACACCATCTAAGAGGTCGAAAAACAACGGGCATCAACATTTTCTATAGCGGAGGAAGATCTTCATTTCCCTGAGCCATAATAGCCAGCTCATTTTCAACCGTGGCAGCGTAACATAGGGATTTATGGTGGGGCTCATACTCGAATTGTTCCATTCAAACACATGTCGCTCCCACTGAATAATTCAACTTTGACCAATCTGACTGTCCACATATATCGATCAGTTGGATTTCGAGACCATCTGCCGGATAATCCCAACGAACTAGAAAACTGGCTTTCACGATCAGCTAAACTCTATATATGCAGTGACTGGAGAAGCTACTTAAATCGTATCATCGCAGTTGCCTCTCTAAAGAAAGAAACCGAGGACTGGAAAGCGACGTTGCCACGGCATTCAGGCCCTGGGGTTTTCTTTGACCCATCCTCTTTCAATCTCCTAGAAATTATACCATGGGAAAGGTAAAGTCCCAACTCCAATTAAATCCAATCCGAGCACAGAAAAGTCTGTAATTTTTATGACAGACCGCCAAACTCTTTGGACTGATGATCCAGAATAAATGAGCATCATCGTCGTACGTGTGTTGTGCTAGCTCGCTGATTCGCCATCCATCTCGGATTCAGGGGTCTCGCCCTATAGTCTGGCACGACAGGTGGGGGAATGCTCTGCCACTGTGGCCATCGAGTTGGTCGAGGTAACGGGGGTCCGTCAACATCTGAGATGTACGAAGACATAAAACTATCGTGGCTGCTGGATGTGGAGGAAGTAGCGTAGGCACGATGGCGGCCGAACGCACAACAGAACCAGATGACTAATATCAGGACCAAAACCCCGAGACAGCACCCTAGGATTATACCGATCTGCTGTTGCGTCAAACCACCAGATGAAGAACCTGCGCCGGTGGATGGACGGGGGGTATCAGTGGCGGTATCGTCATTGTCGCCGTTGCCGAGTGTTACGACTGTTGTCAACGTGGACTGGGCATATGTGATCGTTTGTGTAATGATGACCTGACGTCGGGCAACATCCGGTTGCGCCGTAACAGCGGGCCGAAGCACCAGCGTCAGCGCAAGCATGTCGAATGGCAGTACCGCACGAAATTGTTACCTAATGCAAAGTTGAAGAGAACAAAAATCGGAACAGACGATCAAGGGGTTTCCCTGAGATCCACGGGATCTTATTGCTTTAAGAGTGCAAATGCTGCCTTATGACTTTGATTCATCCCCGCTCGCGCGGCACCTTATCCTAGATCCAAGCTCTAGCCGGATTGCGTGCATCATGAAACCCATCCTGCTAGCTGCATGAGGCCCAGGGTGGCTTGTCGTCTGATGAGTGGTCGGCGTCGGACCAGGTGACCTCTTTGGACGGCCACCGGAACGAGGTCGGGGCCCACGACAGTAGCAGGCCTTATAGATCCGTGGACCAAGGGCGGCCTATCCCATAACCGTACGGTGGCATAATGTCCCTTTGACGGGTTGTACGGCGCGACGCTAATGCGCGATATACCCGAACATGCAAGTCTAGCGTGTTGTCGATAAGTAAGCGCCTCCCAGAGTATTGGAAATATGTTACGCTAGTGCTGGGTTTTACACAGTGGTGATTGGTGGACAGAAGGGTTGATAGGTAGAAGTGGTTGGAAACTCCAATAAAAGAAAAGCTTGGGTTTCCCGTCCGTCTCGTGTTCTGACCAATGTCCGGTCGGCAAAGAATCACGGCCAAGTCATTTTCGACCGAATATCGAATAATTGGCAAACCGTTTCATTCGTCAAGTGTAAAATAGTGATTTGACGATAGAGACCAAAACGCCGTACGATCGACATATGGGACGTGAGATCTTGATAAGACGGGCTAGCGCATACAAATGAGTGAGTATGCATGCAGGACAGCCCAAGAATACCGAGAAACAATCGTAAGCACAAGATCCTAGACTGTAAATCGTATTCGTCTTCCACGAAGTGACTTGGCAGTCAGTGGAATAGTTGGACATTTACTGTGGAAGTCCGACGACAGCTATTTATATTATTATTAAATGCGCCGTAGGCTCGAAGCCCCCGGTACCTCTACAAGTGCTCCCGTATGTCAAACCGTGCCCTAATGGCTGGACTAAATACATACGCTGCTACGTAGGTTCGCTCTATTAGCGACTGCGTTACGTCCACCACAATACTATGTTAGTTCTCACCCTACTAACAATGTCCCCCTTTATTTATATTAAAACCCCCATCTGAACGTTCGCAGCAACACAGTGGAAAAGAAGACATCCTTCTCGGTTACCAATATGCTATAATGAAATATAGCGCCTTTCTCAGATACTTACCTCTTCGAATTGATACGAGATACCGATCTTTCTCTGATTACCACAAACTTGATAGCAAAATAGCTGTCTAGTCTTCGCGAATAATAAAACTTTCCTTTTACAATATATCTACACCGCATATTTGGAAAACAAACATATTAGCCCAGCATTTTAGAAATATCTCAGGTTACAGCTATGGCCTTATTGTAACGAAACCTCTAATATCCTACAAGGCTAGGAATAGCTTCACAGGTAGAGAGGTCTAGTACTTGACCTAAGACAAGAGGGCGTGTACAATTAGGGGCCTAAGGTCACGTGGGATAAGGGCAAGATACTTAAATACCTGTGTGCGGCTTAGACGTCCCAACCTATACTTCCCTTCTTCACCTTCGTATGTAGCCGGAATGCCAATACCAGTGCGATCCCACAGTATATACTTGTTTAATTAGCTCGCTGCTTACCCTCAGGCTCATTACCCTGGCGTGAAGAGAATATTCAAGCCGCGACACAACTTCCATCAGCAAATATGTGGATGTCACTTGCTTTACTTGTGGGCTCTGCTATTCCCGCCACAGCATGCGAAATTCTTATATTTTATCGTATTAAGTAAATTTTATCTTCGCTTCGAAAGTTTAGTTGTTTAATCCTTTTCTTATTAGCGTAACCCACCTATAAGCGGGCTACACCTATTAGCGGGCCACCTATTTCGGCTCTGTCGAATTAGCTTAACTTAATAATAATAACGTAGTCCACCGTCCAATTGCACACTTTGGCAGACCTTATACGACAATGTATAAGTTAATCCAACCGCAACGCCTATCATCAATTGAAACTACTCAGAATCGTTATCTTCAGACGTCTCTACATCATTTCCACAAATGCGCGCATTATGTCCGGGCTCGCCGCAGATTCTACAGCGCCGTACACGCGCAATTCGCCGCCTCGTACAACCACCAATTTGACGAAATTCGTCATGTAACTGCCCATCAACCTCTCGTTGAGACTGTAGGTCCTGTCCAGCTTGTATACGAAGTGACCCTCTTCTCTGTAGCTGTTTTTTCTTCGCACGGCGACGTCGACTTAAGGTCTCATTTGCCTTTCGAAGTGATTCGACCTCGCCTTCTAAAAGGGCAAGCCGATGCATAACCTTCGTTGTACCTCACGCAATCTGATCTATTCCAGCAAAAATTGACGTTGGTGAGCTATTTTGATGTCGTACAATCCTATTTTTCACATAATCGCTTTGTGATTGGGCTTCAGTTGGGTTGTTCCGAGTCTTTGATTCCCAAGGGACGGGAAGACCAGCCGAGCTACCCGGAGGTGTTGGCGTATATAATTTCACATCGAGCTGTGATATGACATAATCTGCATCGTACGGAACTATTCCTACCCCTCAGAAACCTCCTTGGATATTTGAAACCATGAAAATTGCGTTGTACGCGTTTAAAAACGCCGGTAAAAAGTCTTCTTTCGAGATATGACTTATATGTGCTCGCATGAGATCTTCGAATTCTTTTCCGTACGCTCTTTTTAACCCGCGAAAACAACCAACATCAATAGGCTGGAGCTTATGCGACGAATGAGGAGGCATACAAAGCGTGACGATATTGTTAGCTTTGCAATATACCTCGAAATCGGTCGGTGATGGCTTTCGTGACCGTCGAGGATCAATAGGCGATGAGTACCTTTCGTACGAAACTTGGTGTGATGATCGAAGTGCTTTATCCAATCTTCGCCTCTCTCGTTCGTAATCCAGCCATTTTTAGTAACTGCTATAACCCAATCAGGCGGTAATGGGCTGTTTTCGTACCATGACGAGAGGTGGGGTTTGCCGGCGAAAATGATGTACGGAGGGAGGGTATAACCGGACGAACCAACGCCTTGAATAACTGTAACCCATTCCCGATTTTCTTGCTGGGCTGCTCTAGGCCTTCCGCGCCGATCAGAAGTCGTCACGACCATTTCGGACGAGATTTGGCCCATCACAAAACCGGTCTCGTCGAAGTTGTAGATATCCTCCTCCTGGATCGCGTATTTCGCAATTGTATTCCGTACCAGGTCAAACCACGCGCGATACGGGTCAGGGTCTTTGCAGAGGACTCTCTGATAGTCGATCCTTCGATTTAAACGCGTCCGGAGGTCTGGTTGTCGTCTTACAAAGCTCGAGGCCCAGTTGACGCCGACGCGTCCTGCGTCGCGACTTCGAAGTAATCGGTTGGCCATATCTTCAACACCACTCAATCGGGGAGGAAATGCTCGCGAATCTAGGTCGGTTATATGTCGTACGATTGTCTCTTCTTCGGAAGGAGTCAACTTTTGCGTTGGCGATCGCGTAATCGCTCGAGCGGTTTTACCGCCGCGTTGATACGCAAGGGTTCTAAAAGGTACATTATAGATCTCACCAGCGCGATGTATACTTAATTTTGGATCAGATTGAAGCGCATGTAGTGCTAGAATCATATTAATTTCATTCCAAGAACTAACCATAGTTATGTGGTGAAAAACCGCAGGTCAAAGTGGTAGCGTACGAGAATCTGCCGAAGTGTGCAATTGGACCGTGGACTATGTTATATCTTTATTCTTTCGTTAAATAGATCAAGAAGACTAGATTAAGAAAGCTATCACGTCTATTCGTTCTAGGGAAGTCCCTAGTATACGTAAAGTAGCCGAACTCTTTAGGGTCCCTAGAATAACCCTCTAAGCCCGAATTTAAGGCTGCTAGAGCTGGACTACTGCCTACTAATACTGATAGTGATTATTACCTGCCGAAGAAGCTATGATCGAATGAGCCTTACTTTAGTTAGCTACGTAAGGATAGCCCTTAACTATTGAAATAGTAGAAGGGCTAGTAGTAAATCTACTAGAAGCTAAAGAGGATATAGACCCCCTAGTGGTTAATTAGTATACTAGCTTTCTAGACCGCTACCCTAAGATAAAGACCTATAAGGTTCGTAGTCTAGATCAGGATCGAAAGGATAGTATTACGTGTCAGATAGGGCACCTGGTTCCTAGGTTCAAAAATAATATGGCACTAGAGAAGAATATTGTCACTTCAAGTTCAGAAGGCGAAAGGAACCCCTCTTCTCAAAAGTAACACCAAAGTTACCGACATGTTCTAAAGAATCTATAAAAGGCAGAGCAACGGGAGTTCGCGAGAACAGAAGACAGAGAACAAGACACCTCATTCATATACAATCTTATGCACTTCTGACTACTCGATTGGACACACGTGATATTCGACATTACGTACGGTATCCTAACGGAATAGTTCGACCTCTACCGATAAGTTAAAGAATAATACGCTATTACGCACGATAATACCTATAATATAGACGAGAAGGGGATCAGTAAAGGGATCGGTAATAACCCTAAAGTTATTATCTCTCGAGAGGACGATTAGGCCTTTATTAACTAGCCTAGTAACCGTGAATAGGTCTCTATTATCGAATATATAGGAATTAATGGCTAATCCCTACCGCCTTTTATTATATTCGAGGGTAAGAGGATTCTACCGTCTTAGATAAACGAGAGGATCGATCTAAGGACTATTATTTAGGTTAGCCTAAATAGCCAGACCGATCGATAAATTACCTTAACCTAGTTCCGCTATTTTAATACGTATATACGTTAGTAGTATCGTAGTTAATACCGCCTTCTTATTCTAGATAGCTATATAAGCTACGTATCCCTTAAATTCGTCGAATACTACGAGGTAAATCAAATTATTTCTCTCTACCTACGAGCTTCAACCGCTTAATAAGGGTATCTTCGGCCCTCTAGTAAACGTACTAATTATAAGGAAAGTATTATATTGAGTTATTTCCAAGGTTTGAAGTTTTCTTCCTCGTTTATTACTAGCATAGCTTATATACTCTTGACGATCTCTTCTTTAGAATCAGATTTTTAGCTAAGACTATTCTCGCCAATGGTTCTAACTTACATGCAAAGGCCGATAGCAGGCCTAGTGGATATCCCTAGTGGATAACAAGAGCAGGGACAACTTGGAAACAACCCTACTCTGGAGGAACAAAGCACCGATAGATCACGTGACCTAAT